AATTGGAGCATAGCCTTTGCTATTATCTATCACTGGTCCTCCCCCATGAGTCTTCTGAGGTCAGCAGACTTCCTCCCCTTCCCCCCTATGAGCCATCTGAGGTCATATTTCCTGTCCTACTAGCTTCTATTGGTATGCAAAATTCTCTGCACAAGCATCTCCTAAAAATATCAGTCTGTACCTGGATGGGCCCGATACGATCTTTATTAAAACACATCCATCCCAGATACAGTTCAGATTAGTAATGGGTTGTAAGATATGCATAAGCCTACACACGGAGTTCACACCGCTTGCGCATTGCGTTATGAAGCCCACGTGGTACCATGCTGCTGATATGTGGATACAGGCCCACGGTCTACTGACAACAGCATTCGCATGGAATGCCGTGGTGGTATACACGCCGGTCTATAAGCGCAGATCTGCCATCTCATCCATTACCAAGCTGAGTACATTGTACATGCGCATGGCCCAATTGCAGCCTTCAGAGCTTTAATTAAGCCACACGAGAGACATATGAATAACACGAATATATGACACATTTAAAGTTCGACCAACAATACAAAATTTCCATGACACAGTATACATAAATAATAATTTAGTCTAAGCTAAAGTCCTTGCAAAAAAATGGAAATCACAGATGTGACCTACCTGATAAACTGCTACATTTGTCTTTAATCCAGAAACATTGTACTTGCCGTGTTTCCTCCTGTCATTTGATATCATTGTACCTTGTGAACTCTAAGCCTTTTTTCATTCTTGCCCATGATCCTTATTCTTGGCTGCATGTATAAAATAAATCAACATGATCAGACATCTATTATTTGGCAGGAACTAAGCTTTGGGTACCTCCTGAAGACAGTTACATAGGTAGGACTGTTGTTCATGGTTCTGCCCTTGCACATCCATATAATTTAGTTAAAATTACCTTCTCACTGTTTAAATAAAAAATCAAGGTAAGCCAACTTTTTAAATGCTTGCACTTTCTAGTGTGTGGTTTGAAGGGTCCCGCATGCCACTGCTGTCTGATACTTCCATTTATGTTGGATAACATGCCCCACTGGATGCTGTAGTTCTTTTTGCCAGTCACTATGTCACTACTGTGTCTTAAATTGATGTAGGGACCAGTGGGGGGAACCACAGTGTGCAGCAGGTGACATACTCTATGACACACCCATGGTAATGTTGTAGGGATCAGTGGAAGGAACCACAGCTCCCAGCTGGGGACACACTCTCCAGCACATCCTTTAACCTTTCCCGCAAGGACCCCAAGACAAGGAGCCCAGGATATGGCAGTAGTATTACATGTACTGTAGAAGCTATTTCTTGTTTTGCTGTTTACATTCCAACAGATTTGGCTTTTAACAAAATTTAAAGTTGCTGCACTTCATCAAGTGACCCAAACTTTTGAGAGGGTTACTAATTCCTAACATCACTATTACATCATGTATTTCTACATATGTTTGTTTCTAATTGTTCCTGGTCAAGTATGAAATTCAGGAACATATGATTAGACTTGTGGACAGTCCTCATTTGTAATCCTTATTAAAGGAAACTTGTGCTTTTAATCAATTTCCTTTTTACTCTGTTTCCTATTTACCCTTGACGTTTTGTCTTTCTCTTTAGGCAACACCATTACATGCCAACGAAGACTCACTTTCTTGGATGATTATGGAGGCTGCAACATCCCTGTTCCAAATTTGCTGAGATTTCTGGGAAGAATACTGACAACCTTGTAGTGTGTAAGTCTGTCATTATCATGTGTGTCTGGCTTAGTTTTATGTTGTCATTGGTTTTGTTTTGCTGGTAGCATCCCCAGTTTAAAAATGAGAGATGATGTTATAAGTGTTAAGGTTTTTTTTACCCTCTAGAAATTTTATTATGGATAGTCTGCTTACCCTAATGTAAATTAAATTGCAATCACTGAAATAGATATACTCTCACCAGCCACTCTATTAGGTACACCTTGCTAGTGCCAAGAAAATATCCCCCACACCATTACACCACCACCAACCTGAACTTTTGATACAAGGAAGGATAGATCCATGCTTTCATGTTGTTTACGCCAAATTCTGACCCTACCATCTGAATGTCGCAGCAACCCAATGTCTGCACATTCTCCTCTGACATCAACAGGGCATTTTCGTCCACACAAACTGCCGCTCACTGGATATTTTCTTTTTCGGACCATTCTCTGTAAGCCCTAGAGATGGTTGTGTGTGAAAAAATCCCAGTAGATCGGCTTTCAAAATACTCAGACCAGCACATCTGGCACCAACAACCATGCCACATTCAAAGTCACTTGAATCCCCTTTCTTCCCCATTTTGATGCTCAGTTTGAACTTCAGCAAGTTGTCCTCACCAGGTCTAGATGCTTAAATGCATTGAGTTGCTGCCATGTGATTGGCTGATTAGCAATTTGTGTTACCAAACAATTGAACAGGTGTACCTAATAAAGTGGCCAGTGAGTGTATACTAGAGGTCTAGATAGACATTTATACTAAATTTATCTTTACAGTGTTACCCCCACTTTCCAATAGTTGTGCAGTGTGTCTAAATATGACTGTGCAGTCCAATAAGCACTGGAGTTAAAAACAGTGTAACAGTCGGTAACCATCTTGATCTGATACCTCACTTCCTACAGTACAAGCAGGCACCGCAAGAAGGATAGGAGCTCTGTTAAAGCAGAACAACACTGTATCTGAGCACCACAAACCAAAATGCTATTTAATTAATTTTAATATTCAGAGAACTCCCCCATCCATACATGTCCCCATGCTTTTATTTTGCTGATAAATCGCTTAGAAAAACGCCCAATAGCATTTGTGGTTGTGGCCATTTTGAGTAAGGGCAAATGATTCCTCCCCTGAATACTCCTGGGATGTATGACATAATTTGCCTATTCATGGAGACTAGGAAGTAGCTACAGAAATTTAAAAAAAAACGTTTAAAACGAGTAAATATGATATACTTTCCTATCAATTTACTAATGCTAGCAGAATAAGGATTCAAAATAGTTCACGTTGATTGAGAGAGTGAAGTTCCACTTTTAATTAGGTAAATAATATACTAAGCTGCTGACCAGTCCAACTCTTCCTAGGTACTGTTCACTCTTCGACTTTCTCTCCTCTACTCCAGGATCACTGCCTGGCTTCTCTTGAGCTGGCCATACACTAGTAGAATTTTTTGTTTTAAGAACATTTGTTCAATTTTCTATTTTTTTTTTTTTTAGGGGGGTAAAATCAACTTTCGTTTTTGACCAAAATGATGAGAAAATTTTAAGGAGCAGTATAGAAAATTTCTAACAGTGTGCGTGGTGGTGTTCAGGAAAGTCAATTCATTCCAGAATTGAATATTAAAAACAAGCAAACTTTTGGAGTATTTTCAAACGACATTCTAATGTCCTGAGGACTTTCATGTCCATACATTCATTTGTTCTACTGGCGTATGGCCATCATTACCTCCAGCAGTTCACAAGTCACTTGGGACCCATACCTCTTTTTTTAGGGAAGGGCATCTTCTGTTTCTGATTGTCTTGCCTACCTTAGGCCCATGAAATGGGACCTGGCATACAATGAACATTTAGGGTGGGTGAGTATCCTTTTTCAGCTTAACCCACTAGAAAAAGTAAAGTGGTTTAAGTTCAAAATTTACTCTGGAAAGTGACATTCCTCATTCAGGAGGCTTAATAGTCCATTCAGTTTGTTTCCTATCAGACAGACCCCAGCACTACATCATTGAAGGATAAAGCTAACCTTACGATCTACCATTTACCAACATTACACAGATACTATTCTGTTAAATACTCAGTTCAAGTTTTTTTTTTTTTTTTTTTTGTTTTTTAGTTGTGGACATAGTAGAGAGGGATTAGAACACTTGTCTGTTTTTATTGCTGTGTGTGCCCCTATTAAGGATATTCATCCTATTTGTCCTGCTTACCATTATCATTGAAAGTAAAAGAAAATCCCAAATTTTGGGTTTTCCCCAGAAAAATAATAGGGGGATATCTTCCAATGGGAACGTTAGTTCTGGTGACCTGGGAATCCCCAAGGAATTCCCTCAGCACCCTCCACTTTTGATTTTATTGTTGACATTTTTATTGATCTGAAACCCATTATCAGTTACTTGTTTCTTTCACTTCCAGCAGGACCCATGGCAGTAGAATAAATGGCGATGGCTGGCATGATGCCCCCTGTGAAGATAAAATGGCTGGAGCACCTGAACAGCTCCTGGATAACAGAAGATAGTGAATCGATTGCTACACGGGAGGGTGTCTCTGTCCTATATGCCAAGCTTGTCAGCAACAAAGAGGTGGTCCCATTGCCACAGCAGGTCTTGTGCCTCAAGGGACCACAATTGCCAGATTTTGAGAGGGAATCTTTGTCATGTGATGAACAGGATCATTACCTTGATGCTTTACTCAGCAGCCAGCTGGCTCTGGCGAAGGTGGTATGTTCTGACTCTCCATTTGCTGGTGCTTTGAGAAAGAGATTGCTAGTTCTTCAGAGGGTTTTCTATGCTCTTTCCAATAAGTATCATGACAAAGGCAAAGTTAAACAACAGCAGCACTCGCCTGAGAATAGCTCAGGCTCTGCGGACACACTGTCTGTTAGTGAACGACCACGGTCCAGTACTGATGCCCTTATTGAAATGGGGGTCAGGACTGGTCTTAGTCTTCTCTTTGCCTTGCTGAGACAGAGTTGGATGCTGCCGACTGCTGGACCTGGTCTGAGCCTGTGTAATGATGTCATACGAACAGCCATTGATGTGGTAAACTCGTTGCCCCCTCTTTCCCTTGCTAATGAGAGCAAAATACCCCCCATGGGACTGGATTGTCTGGCACAGGTCACTACCTTCCTGAAGGGCGTTACAGTTCCCAATTCTGGTGCAGATACACTAGGAAGGCGTTTGGCCTCAGAACTCCTCTTGGGCCTTGCCTCTCAGCGTGGCTCTCTCCGCTACCTCTTGGAGTGGATTGAAATGGCTTTGGCAGCTTCTGCTCTGGTTAATGAAACTGACAAGAACAAGATGCTGACAGCACAGGAAGGCATGATCAGCTGTGACTGCTTCATTAGTATCCTTCAACAGATGAGGAGGTCTTTGGTAAGTTCGAGGAAATGTCTACTAATTGTTTCTTTATGGTGTAGCTGCTGTTAAAGTGATGTTTTACATGTTTCCTTTAAGAAGCAAAAGGTTTGCAAAAAGGGGCAAGGAAAGGTAACTACTGAAATATAAAGGGTATCTTCACTTTTGTCATAAAATTTAAGTAATATATAATGGCTACATGAAATCTTTTGAAATTTAGTGACTGCAGGAAGCAGAAAAGTGAGTGGAATCTATGTTTGAGCTTCAGTACAAACTGCAACATGTGCATTGATGTTTGGGAAAATTCCTTGTGATATGGTACCAGCCCAAAGAGAACTGCTTTATTTCTTAATTTTAACAGTTTCTTAAATATTTTACATATGATTCTGTGGATGGTACACTATTGTAGACAGATTTGGGATTTTATTATTCATGTATTTTAAATAGCTCTTTAGCAGCAAGACAGTCTTTGGGCCAGGTACCTCATTTGAGAGATCCCTGTCAGAACAAAAGCAGTTGAAAACTGCTGTATCTTGCCACCTGTCATTCACTTTGGAATTTGGGTTTGGGTGTTACATTAGATTCCTCATAGTTTCTCATTACTTAATGGCACCCCAAACATCAGCTTCTTTAGCGTGTTTCTGGAGTGGAAGAAGGCCCGTTCAAATGAATGGTGCCACTCCAAACGTGCGCTGCAAAAGCCCCAAAAATGTCACTCAAATATGAATGGAGCCTTTTTCATATAGTACATGGGTCACCAGATTCATTGCTTTATAAAACTGTTTGGGGGGGGGGGGGGGGTTCGTGAATATTTGTAAAATGTAGGATGCATACTTAAAAGTTTGGAGACCCCTAATATAGTTCTAGTAATATGTTGATATTTTAATTAAAAGGCCTGAGCCTTCTAAGGTCATGCTTGCCAAGAAGAGTCCTTCTAAACCAGAAAAGAGACACTATGTAGAGTGTTAATGCCGCATTGTGCTTACTGTAGTTGCCATCTTGGCATGAAAATTATGTTGAATCTGTTACTTATCACGTCCTAGTTATTACAATATGGTATTTTTTTTACTGGGAAAGGCCTGCCTAAAAAACAAAGGTTTATCCTGATAGTTTGTTTTAAGTGTCATTGAGGAGTGTAGGTGCATCAGTGTTGCCCATATGGGTCACAACCTTCCTGTATTAGCTGCTTCATGATGACCTTCAGTATGTTTTACCTTGTTTAGTATATCATAGTGGTTCTGATGTGACAAACATAAATGCATCCTTTTGCAGGGTTCATCAGCTGATCGGAGCCAATGGAGGGAACCCACTAGGACATCTGATGGCCTGTGCTCTCTCTATGAGGCTGCACTGTGTCTCTTTGAGGAGGTAGAGAGTCTGTTGATTATTGTATTGCCATGCTTTATGTGAATACTGCATATTCTGTACATGGTTGGCAATGAAAATGTACTTTTACTAGTTTTATTAGGCCAGAATAGCTTTGCTAGTACATTTATATAGCTCTAATTGTTAAGAATATGTCAAATTTTTTGCATTCAAGCCTTTGATCACTTTTTCTTTGAAGACTGACAGAGACCTGTATACCGTCTAAAAGTGTAATATGTCATGATACATGCACAGGAGCTGTCAACGCTTTTTCAAGTAGCTTTGTTAGTTACAGAGAGATATGCAGGACTTTCATTTGATTTAGAAGGCACAGGCTTTGGGGCTTATCACCTTTTTTTCTTGCTTCACTACCTAGCAGATCACTGATCTGGAACAAGCTGGTTCCCATAACCTGATAATGATTCTATGTTCAGGTCATTAACCAAGCAGGAAAGGAAGTATAGGGATGGCATGCCTGCCAAACGCTACTTAAAAAATATGTTGACAGTGCCCTTTTAATTAATAAACCCCTGCCTTCAAAAATATAAAATGTGCAGTTTGAATTGTCAGAGCTGCGTAGCTCTGTAAATATTATGGTTGCTTGCGGTCTATGCTCACCATGCTTTGACTATTGGGAGTGAGCAGCAAAGAGCTGTGGCCAATCCCACTGCTCTCCGCTATGACATGCTGTGGAGGAAATGTTGCCATGCATAGCCTGAAGTTTTTTGATTTTTTTTTTTTTTTATAATTAAGTAGAACTAAAGTCTGTAGTACTTACAGTACCACTGGTCCAGTGATGCGACGGCCTCAAGCTCCCTCGCCACTGTGGGTGTCGTCACCCAATCTGCTTCTGGGTTCTGTGTTAACTTCCATCTTGATTGAGTCTTTGTCCAGCTTTTTCTGGGTTAAGCATAGATATAATGTCACTTATGCAATAAAAAAACCTACCTATCAAATGTATTTTTTCCAGATAATGCTTAGTGGAGGTCACCCTTAAGAAATGTGAAAATTGCGCTGCCGCCGGTATGCATCTAGTGTTAACATGATGTCCAATGGTCTCATATGCTTACTATGGATACTGGGGATTAGGCATAGGACTGCAGAATTTTTATCTCCATTTTTTATAACCGCAAAAACAGCTGGGATTGGAAGAAGGGCAGTGAGGATAAACCCCTGGGTATATAGCAGAGCGCACATGCATTTTAAAAGGCATAATCCCTTTAAGGCTTCATGCACACTGGCTTAAAAAAATGCCAGTAGTCTTGGCCAAAAAAACTCCGCTAATTTTGAATGTTTTTTGCTTTGTTTTTTTTTTTGTACTAGTGTTTAGGAGTGTTTTAGTGTTTGAAGGATATTTGTAATAGGGGTAGCCTAATCACTTCACAAATTCAAACAACAATATTATCTCCCAAATTCTCTGTTTTTCCGATTTTCTGCAACTGTATGCCATGCCTACTTTTCACAATTTGGGACTGATTTTCTTCACCTGCTTCCAGATAACTAAGAATCCCTATTGAGTGCTGATTACTTAACTAAGCCCCTATCCACCGGTTTTATAAAGCTATACTATCATCCGTTCACACTGGTCTCAAATCCCTGCAATTGAGGTGGCGATGAAAGATGCCAGAGCTGGATGGAGAAGACTGGGAGGATGTTTAGGACTACCCCTCTACTCATTTGGTGGCCACAAGGGATAGGCTGATTCAATTTAAAATACTCCATATGACATATTTCACTCTAGTCCCTCCATACACTCTAGTCCCAGACATACCTGCTGACTTCTTCCATATTTTTTGGTCCTTCCCCAGATACAGATATTTTGAACAGATGTTCTTAAATTTGTGTTTTGGTTACCGCAATTTCTGTTTCCCCCCAATGATGGACATCTGCCTACTGGGTCTAATTAACCACTTAGTGTTTTCTAGTGCTTCTCGAATACTGCTAAGTTTACTCTTTCACAATAAAAAGGCCATTGTGTTAGCCTGGAAATCAGAAAGACCTCCTACCGTAGACTGTTAGAAGAAGTTAGTTAATACAGTGATTCCCTTATATAAATTGACATACTGTATCTCTCCCACAGTTGTCCAAAAAAATTCCATAAAGTGTGGGGCATTTGGCTTGATTCCACTTCTACTACCAATGCTAGGGATGAATATGTGTCTGCTGAATTTCAAGCTTCACATACCATATATGCCTTTTATTTGACAAGGGACTGTGGGGGAATATTAGCCTTGGTTACTTTTATGTAACTGCACCCTGCCTTGTCTATTTTCTCCCCCTTGGGGAGTGGAATGATAATGAACCTGTATTTGTAAACTTCTGACTACATGGTCTAATGTGCGCAAACATTTACCAGATTTTTACTATGTTACTAACTTTTCTGTTTATTCTATATCCTTTATGTGTATGCTACTGCCCTTGTTGCTGAGGGGTTATTTGAGCTGGGACTGGAATGAGGGCATAGAAGCAATATTGTTGTAATTTTGGAGCCAGGGAATAGCCCAGGGCTATTTATGTATATTATTACTATTCTTAAAAAGCAATAAAAAACATTTTTTTTTTAAAAATAAAAACACAAAACTGAAGTGTTTATTTTTTATTCTTTTTTCTGCCTCTACACTCGGAGCTTAAAAAACAACTCTAGACTATCTAATGTGCATGGACACATAGAATAACATTAGTTGCTTCTACAGGCAAAATACTAAACTCCTCTAGGAGACTCGTTTTTTTTAAGCCCAGTGTGCATGAAGCATAAATAAATAAATATATATATATATATTTATGCTTCAGCCTCTATCATATTTTGTCACACATTTTCTTCTCAGGTATGCCAGATGGCTTCTGATTATTCCAGAACCTGCGCCAGTCCAGACAGTATCCAGACTGGAGAGAGTCCAGTTGTATCAGAGACATGTGAGGTATACGTATGGGGGAGTAACAGCAGCCACCAACTAGTGGAGGGGACCCAAGAAAAAATCCTGCAGCCAAAGCTGGCCCCTTGCTTTTCAGATGCACAGACAGTGAGTGATTCTTCTCCCCACTGTGTTTACACATCTTTATGTATTTGTCTGGGTGCATTCTGTTTCTTACTAAATGTTGGTATTTTTTTGAAAAGTGAATTATTAATTATCTGAACATTAATCGCTAAGCTAAATGAAATTTCACTTGATCATACTTTCTTTTGTTCACTAAATCCATTGTATTGTGTGTCAGGCTTTTACTTGGTGTCTTTGTTCATCCGAGCCGAGCAGGATGGGTGTCACAACTGTGCCTGTTCAGTTTGTGCAAAGCAGACACAGGCAGACCCTGCTGAGCTTCATGGGCATCTGGGTGTAAATGGACTCCACTGTCTATTTTACATTAAGCAATCGATCTGGTCCGCAAAAAATGGAAAAGATCGCAGCCCTTTTTTCTGTTTTTTGGGGGTTTTTTTGGGTCTGACTCGGAGGTAGATGGCTGTAAACGGATATATAGACACAAGTCTGTTTACACCCACCTGTCCATAGGGCTCCACGGACCTTCTGATCTTTTTTTCAGGTGGACCTGATTGGAATGCCCATGTGAGTAGAAGCTAGTCTGTGTAAAAGACTTTTACTGTCTGGTTTCCTGCAGGAGAGACGCACCACTCTCCATTTTTTTTTTTTTGTACTGGTGACAGTTGTCCCTGAGAAAGAGAAAGAGATGGTGAGCCCAAAATGTTAGAGTTGTCACTAGAACAAAGGTAGGGGAAATCTTCCATTTACCTCTAAACTCCTTGAACACTTAGTCTACAATCGTCTGAGGTCCCACCTCACTGACAACAACCTTCTCGACCCTTTAAAGTCTGGCTTCCGCCCTCTACACTCCACTGAAACTGCCCTACTAAAACTCTCCAATGACCTACTAACTGCAAAAACCAACGGCCACTATTCAGTACTCCTACTACTTGACCTCTCTGCGGCTTTTGACACGGTTGACCATCCCCTCCTCCTCAAAAAACTACACTCTCTTGGCCTCAGAGACTCTGCTCTCTCCTGGTTTTCCTCCTACCTATTGCAGCGCTCCTTCAGTGTTGCCTATAACGCTACCACCTCCTCTTCACTCCCACTCTCTGTAGGGGTCCCTCAAGGTTCTGTCCTTGGACCCCTTCTCTTCTCCATCTACAACTCCTCCCTTGGTCACTTGATAAACTCCCACGGCTTCAATTACCATCTCTATGCTGATGACACGCAAATCTATCTGTCTACCCCTCACCTTACCCCTTCAGTCTCCACCCGTATTGCTAGCCTACTAAGTGACATATCGGCTTGGACGTCACTCCACTTCCTCAAACTCAACCTTTCCAAAACTGAGCTCCTAGTATTCCCACCCTGCCCGTGCCACCTCCACTGACTTCAACATAAATATCAATAACACAATCATCAGTCCATCCCCTCATGCCAGGGTACTAGGAGTAATCCTAGACTCCCATCTGTCCTTCCAACCCCAGATCCAATCGCTGGCAAAATCATGTAGACTTCACCTCCGCAACATCTCCAAGATACAACCATTTCTAACCCCGGAAACCACTAAGCAACTTATCCACTCCCTTGTCATATCACGCCTCGACTATTGTAACTCCCTCCTCATTGGCCTACCCCATCGCAGGCTATCCCCCTTCCAGTCTATCATGAACGCTGCCGCCAGACTCATCCACCTCACTAACCGTTCTGTATCTGCCATCCCTCTCTGCCAATCCCTCCACTGGCTCCCAGTTGCCCAACGGATAAAATTCAAAACACTAACTATGACATACAAAGCCATCCACAACACTGTCCCAATTTACATATTCAATCTTATCTCTAAATATCACCCAACCCGTACACTCCGCTCCTCGCAAGACCTCCTACTCTCTTATCTCCCTTATCTCCTCCTCCCATGCTCATCTCCAAGACTTCTACAGGGCGTCACCCATCCTCTGGAACTCCCTACCCCAATCTATCAGACTATCACCTACTCTACTTACCTTTAGGCGATCACTGAAAACCTATCTCTTCAGGGAGGCCTATCCCGCCCTCTGTTAATACTGGAATCCTCTACTCTTCCAACCACTCCACCCCCCACAGTTTTTACCTATTGTACCATTCACCCCTCCCTCCTGGATTGTAAGCTCCAAGGATCAGGCCCTCAATTCCCTCTTGTATTGAACTGTATTGTTACTGTATTGTCTCCCACTATAATGTAAAGCGCTGAGCAAACCGTTGGCACTATATAAATCCTGTATAGTAATAATAATAATGGGAACATCTGTTCCAGGAATGGGGCAGCTATCTAAGAAAAGAATTTCCCTCACTATAGAATATTTTTCTGACTTTGTTACATCTCTGGGGCAAAAAGTGAAATGAAGTCTCCCCAACAGTACACAGACAGCAAAGAATAACCCAGTGAGGAGTTATTGTATCCAAAAAAAATTGTTGGCTGTACATACATTTTATTGCCAACATTTGGCCTTGTTGAGTCAGGATAGCAGTAACTTGCTGCTGAGCTTGTTTAGAGAACATAAGTGGTTTTTGTTGGTATTTGTTTTTTTAAACTTTTTTTATGATCTTTATCAAATTCATTGTTATATTGTACCTCTGAACTGGCTTATGTGTTGGATAGACACGTAACACATATTTGTTTTCCACATAGATCGAAGCTGGACAGTACTGCACTTTTGTTATATCTACGGATGGCTCTGTAAGAGCATGCGGGAAAGGCAGCTATGGGCGGTTGGGTCTCGGAGACTCAAACAACCAGTCTACTCTGAAGAAACTAACCTTTGAGCCTCACCGTTCCATCAAAAAAGTTTCTTCTTCCAAAGGATCTGATGGGCACACCCTGGCTTTCACCACAGAAGGAGAAGTTTTCAGCTGGGGAGATGGCGACTATGGCAAACTGGGCCATGGAAATAGCTCCACCCAAAAATATCCAAAATTAATTCAGGGGACACTACAAGGAAAGGTAAAGGTCTGACCTCTGAAGTAGCTGGGAGATTTATGTATTTTTTTACACCGGAACCTTTGGTTTCTTGGAGCCTTGATGACATATTGCATGTTTTCTGTTGTCTCAGGTTGTGGTGTGTGTCTCAGCTGGTTACAGACACAGTGCTGCTGTCACAGAAGATGGAGAGCTCTACACATGGGGAGAGGGAGATTTTGGGCGATTAGGTAAGTTTGCTAAAAGTCATTTAATTTCATAAATTTGAAATGCATATACTTAAAGTATGCTCTTACATTTCTATATAAATAAAAGTGACATTCAAGTAACCTTCAATAGGTTAATAAAAATAAAAAGTGGGGGCCGCTGGTCTAATCATCACTGACTTCCTGTCTAGTATTTCAGTTAAAGGATGCTTTGTGCTTTGCTTTAAAGTGGAAGTCTAGTCAAATACAAACTATACTTAAAACCTGCTCCCACCCCCATTGTAAGCCTATTCGAACTACCCTGTGAAGGAAAGCTGTCTATACTAACCTATATTGAGGACTCTCTGACACGGTTACATGATTGGCCCACAGCACTGGCTTCTGTGTAGAGTGGTGACAGCTGTCAATGGATGCCTCATTGTAATCTTATGGGTGATATTGCATAGGCTTTGCAGCCATTGCCGGCAATCTCTCCTCTTCAAAAAGCTGAGAGAGAGAAAATTTTGCATTCTAAATTTAAAACTGACTGTGCCATTGACTTGGTACCTCTACACTGCAATGAAGGGGCATTAGGAAAGGAGGTCTAGGCGCTCTGATTGCCTTCATTGTTTTCAGACTCTCCTTCCTTGACCTTCATAATCAATTCCCTTTTTAACAACTTGCCGTCCGCCTGCTGTTTATAAACGGCAGGGCGGTGGCAGTCCAGGGGCAGGTTGCCGTTCATAAACGGCACCCGCCTTTTCTAGCTGTGCGTGCTCCCTGGGAGCACGCAGCACCGCGATCCGGTGCCCGCTGTGTCCTCCGGACACAGTGAAACACTGATCGTCGGATGGGACCTCTGTACGAGGTCCCGATCATGTGATCACTGATTGGTGGCCGATCAGTGATCACATGCAAAGTAGTAAGCAAGATGTCACTTGTGACATCATTGCTTACTACGTGTGAAATCTGTGAATGATCACAGAGGTCACATGGTACAAGGCTATTCACAACAGCCTTGTACCATGTGACAAGCTGTGACCAATCACAGCTCACTCAGTACTTCTCAATGACTGCAAGAATGCAGACAGAGAGAAAGAGAAATGATTGCTTTTACACCCATATAGGATGTAATTTACATAGCAAAAAAAAATTTAAATCCCAGCGGTGAATAAATACCACCAAAATAAAGCTTTAGCTGTCTCAAAAAAATGGTAAAGAATTCATATGGGTACAGTATTGCATGACCGCGCAATTGTCATTCAAAATGTGATAGCGCTGAAAGCTGAAAATTGCCCTGGTCAGGAAGGGGGTAAAAGTGTCTGGACAGGAAGTGGTTAAAGCTTGCTTTCAATAATTACTTTTAACTCCCACTCTGGTTACATTATTTTCCCAGAGCCTTCTTCTGTTCCATTCCTAAGTTTAGCTTCTTTAAACTCTAAACAGTCTTTTTAGGATTATATGAATTTAGTCAATTAGCAAACCTTACTTGTCACTGTGCTGTGCTTTATACTTCTTATCATAAAGAAAAGTGAGTTTATGGTGTTTTTACTTTCAGGCCATGGAGACAGTAATAGCAGAAACATCCCTACCCTGGTGAAGGATATCAGTAATGTGGGTGAGGTGTCATGTGGGAGCTCTCATACTATTGCTTTGTCTAAAGATGGACGGACTGTGTGGTCTTTTGGTGGAGGAGATAACGGTAGGGACCTCATGTTTCACTGTAAGCCATGCAAATGGCAATACATTTTGTGTGTGATGCGTACTAATAGAAACTTCTTCTTCCTCAGGAAAGTTGGGCCACGGAGACACTAACAGGGTATATAAACCAAAGGTGGTGGAAGCACTACAGGGGATGTTCACCCGGAAGGTGTGTGCGGGGAGTCAGTCCTCTCTGGCTTTGACATCTACTGGACAGGTATGGCTGATACATGTTCTATATTATTTATTTATTATATTAGTATACAACCTGCTGGTGTAATTAATTTCCAGCTTTCTGTCATCTTGTATTCAGGTCTATGCTTGGGGCTGTGGAGCCTGTCTGGGATGTGGATCTTCAGAAGCAACTGCCTTGCGCCCCAAGCTAATTGAAGAGCTGGCTGCCACCAGAATAGTGGACATTTCAATCGGAGACAGCCATTGTCTTGCACTATCACATGGTATGCAATACATGTACAAACAATTGGGATTCATCATTTTAAGCTCCCCATAAATGGATCAAAATTCAGCTGTAGAGCAGGGACTGGACGAATTTCGATCCATCTGTGACCATTCCTGCTTGACAGAAGAAACTCTAACAAATGGCTTCTGTCAAACGGGACCGTTGGAAAACTTTTATTGATCATCTGGCTGTAGCCCCTGATCTGTGTATTCTGGCAGTGGAGGAGTCCCCTCTGTCAGAATACAACAGCACAGCGGGGAGGATTCCTTCGTCCACCTTGATTGTGTGGATGGGGGATCTGTTCGTTTTGAAAAAAAAAAAAAAAGGAATCTATGGCCAGCTTAATCCTCTTATGTCAGATGAATGAATTAGCTATATGTGCTGTATGCATAGAAGAGAAATCATTCCGCAATGTTTTCAGATGTGAAAATGCACTTTAATACACTAATTTCCTAGTGCCAGGACAGACCGATTTTCTTATTTAACACCGTACTAAGAGGATATTAGAATGCAGCAAGGTTTCATGCATATGACATGTACAGTTATGACATTTTTATTTGCATGGGGGACTAGTCATTTGCTACATAAGTTATGTTTATTAATAGTTCAAGATATGTTACTTCCCTTTATCTGCATAGAAGTAATGTGTACAACATACTGTATTTTAACAGACAATGAGGTTTACGCATGGGGAAATAACTCCATGGGACAGTGTGGCCAAGGCAATTCAACCGGTCCTATCACTAAACCAAAAAAAGTCAGTGGACTGGATGGTGTGGCTATTCAGCAGATTTCAGCGGGCACCTCGCACAGCCTAGCATGGACTGCTCTGCCCAGAGACAGGTATGGTATAAAGGCTCATGATAATATAATACTTTGTTTGAGAGGGTAGTGGAGAAATTCTTCAAAAATGAGGAACTATGATGTGCTATTCATAGTTACTGAAAGCATACTGCATGCAGGAGGCCTGTAGATCAGTATATGGTTTACACTTTTATTGTACATTTTTTTTTTTTTCTTTCATTAGATCTTTTGTGCTTAGATATGTAAACTGGCTAAATGGTTAGCACTTCCGCCTGGCAGTATAGGGTCGTTGGTTCGAATCCCAACCATGGCACCACCTGCCTTCCTGCACATGCTCAGTTTGGTGTGTATTGCTAGAGAGTTGTTTTTTTTTTTTTTTTGAAAGTGTGTGAGATCAGCACAGGGCCAATCAGCACTGTCCAGGCAGAGGGTTAGGTGTCCTGCAGCCTCATAAGACAATCAGGGGAGAATGAAAACTCCTCCAAGCTTTAACCAGTGCTCTGCTGGACACTGATAGAAGTCACAAGACTGCTCTAACTGAGAATAGGCATTTTAGCAGTTTATATTTACTGAAATAATTGCATTTCTATGTTCTGTGTACTGTGGGAAACCAGATGTAGTGAATGCAAGGTCCTGGGTTTAGTAACACTTTAAGTAACAATTATATAAATACAAATTAGGTAACAGTAATCCATTTTTTTAAAGGTTGTAATGCAGTAATAAGTTTAAATAATATAATAGCTGATCTTTATTTGAATGAAAGGGCAATCTTAATCTTTTCCCATGAAAGTGGTCTGATATTGCACTGCCAGACTGGAGTGAGACACTGTAAGATGCAATTGCATTAAAGTCACTGGTTCTTTCAGACAAGTGGTGGCGTGGCATCGTCCCTACTGTGTGGATCTAGAAGAAAGCACCTTTTTCCATTTACGATCCTTCCTGGAACGATACTGTGAAAAAATTAATAGTGATGTCCCCCCTCCTCCCTTCCCATCATCCAGGTATTGTTTGAGTCACTGTTTTATTATATGATATATATAATGTTTATGTATTCTTTGTTGTGGCTAGACTATACACATTCTAGTATTTACATATTCTTTTCAAGTAGTAAATGTACTTTAAAACTAAGCTCTCACTCACCTCTGCAGCTACAGGCACTGAGAATACATTCCTATAAATTCACAGCAGAAGCACTGAAGTTGTTTGGGTCCTTTTTTTTTTTTTTTTTTTTTTTTTTTTTTTTCCATCTCACCCTGTTTACCATTCCTGATACCCAGGTGTGTGTTCACATTAAAGTGGAATTAAACCTAAAAAAATACGGTTAGGACCCTATTGGTTTCTTCTATCAGAATCCCTTTTCCCTGCCTGTCAGCATTTATGTACACTGAGCCACAGTGTATGCACAGTTCAGCATACATTTACGGTACCACTCTTTGCTGTAATGATGTGACTTCTATGAGTGACAAGAATCGGAATTTGGAAGGAAGACTGGAAGCAAATTACCGTGCCCGTGACCAATGTGAGCGCTGACAAGGCTATGTTGGAGTGGACTGCTTGCCAGGTCTGTTATAATGTGCTAATATGCTGTGCATACTAGCACATTATGGATAAAAGTTTCTAGGGCCCAACGAAAACATGAAAAAACATGGTGGTGGCTTAATTCCACTTTGAAGATTAGAAGACAGACAAGGAGATGTAGCAGGGTGAGCTGAACTGGCTTAGACAAATACTTAAGAGGAATGTGAATTTTGAGGATGAATTGCTCCACACTGCCTTCAGCTACAGAGGTAAGTGATGGCTTTTTTATAACTCATTTACAACTTGTTATGAATGTGTAAGTATTTAAATGTCTATAACCTGGCCAGAGTTACACTTTAAAGAAGAACACTAGGCAGAAATGTTATTTTCCCATGCAGTGGGGCTGTGCCCCCACTGTATGGGTTAAATGCTTGTTTTCGTCTAGGTTTTTGGTAAATGGAGATATACTTACCTAATCTGCCGATCCTCTGAAAGCAAGACCGGTCCCTGTCACTCCTGCCCTAATCCCCCCCCCCCCCCGGCACGCTAGTGGTCTAGTGAATGGGCTGTTCCTGGTGTCATCATGCCCATAGACTGGCTCCGGACTTCCCACTGCATGGGAAAATAACATTTTTTACTGGAGTTCTGCTTTAAGCTGAAGCTAGGAGAATGTTTGTTTGTTTTTATCCTTTTTATTGTTTGTATGTTCTTCTTTTTCACTTTTACATGCATTTAAAAGTATTTTGTCTTTTTACATGTTTTCTCTTGAAGAGAACATCATAACTTCCTAAAGTTGTGCCTAAAGATGCTGTCCAACCATCTAGCCCTGGCTTTAGCAGGAGGCGTTGCTACCAGCATCTTAGGACGCCAAGCTGGTCCTCTGCGAAATTTGCTTTTTCGCCTAATGGATGCAAGTGTGCCAGATGAGATTCAAGAGGTGATCTTTGTTTTTATCCATCTGACTTTAACTAAATGTTATGAATATGTTAAGTGACTTTCTAATTTGACAAGAGACCATACTATTGTTTCATATACTATATGTGTATCCCTTTCAACTATTGTGACTGCTGTAAGTACAGTTTTGTGACTGTAGAGACTTACAATTGATTGTGTCATTTGATTTATATGAAGGTTTCATGGGTCACAGGAACCTGCCACTGTCATCGGGATCCCTGCAGTCTGTATAGCATGCTAAAAAAAAACAAACAGTAATTTGTTACAAGAACAATGGGGGATTCTTAGCTTTGCAGTAGGTTAATTCAAGAATATATGATATTGCAAAGAAGTTACATTGACCTCTTTACCACAGGTTGTAATTGAGACTCTGTCAGTGGGAGCTACCATGTTGCTGCCTCCGTTGCGGGAAAGAATGGAGTTATTGCATTCTCTCTTACCCCAAGGCCCTGATAGATGGGAAAGCCTTTCCAAGGGCCAGGTATGTACATTTTTTTGTGCTAAAGATACCTCCTGCATAAATTATTTCCTTAGTAGCATATACCAGAGATAGATATCCCAGTGTTTCCCAAACTTGTTCTCATGTCTCCTCAACAGTGCAGGTAACCTCCAATATGTAGGCAGTTTTTGTAATGAGCCTTAGTGATGTGATTTAGTTACCCTTCTGCAGAACACAAAAATGCACTATACTGACTCCCAGGGAGCAGACCCATAGGAGAGGTTCCTCTTGGACAGAGGACCCAGGTTGTCCAATTCATGGTCTCTAGTCAACCTTCTCCCTACTAGTGGAAACACCCACCCACTGGCACCAGTGTTATTTATGGTGAACAAGTAGATGCATCAGGCTGAGGAAACAAAGTTTCCTATAGGAGGAAAATGAAAAATGTAAATATGCAAGGTCAGAATTTACAGACCTAAAGGTTTATAGATCTTTCAAGATCTTGGATGTTGCCACTGTTCTGCTCACTCTTTGCTCCTGATGGGCCCCATACAGTTGGAGTGTCTATACTGTTTTGTAGGTGTGCGGTCTTGGTCCTATTGGGCTACATTTATTTACCTTTTTTATATTGTTTTTACTTCCTACACTCACCCGCCACTTTATTAAGTACAATTATTTAATTGCTTGGTAACACAAATTGCTAATCAGCCACTCACATGGCAGCAACTCAAAGCATTTAGGAATGTAAACGTGATGAAGACGACTTGCTGACATTCAAACTGAGCTTTAGAGTGGGGAAGTAAAGGGATTTAAATGACTTTGAATGTGGTTGTTAGTGCCAGACGGGCTAGTATTTCAAAAACTGCTGATCTACTTGGAGCAGCTGTCTCAGGCTCTCAGCGGCTCACGGAGAGGCTAAGACCCTTTTTTTACATGGGGCAGACTCCGTTAGCTCAGCAGGGGATTTGTCCGCTAATCCCCACTGAGCAGGTGGATGACTAGTCTGTGTCCCCTCCACTTATGCAGAGCGGACACAGCCCGTTCTCCTCTATGGGTGGTCGGATGTAACAGGACTGCCTGTCCCATTACAACCGACTGCCATCCAATCTGCGAGATGGAGAACTGATCCCCGTCCGTCCTTCTTCTTCTTCTTCTTCTTTTTTTTTTTTTTTTTTTGCGGATTGGATGTTAATGAGTGTAAACACACATGTCTGTTTACACCCGCTGCTCCATAGAGAGAATAGAGGGTCTGATCGAGTCTGCTTGAAAGACGGGCAGGCAGACCTGATCGGACCACTAGTGTGGAAGGGGCCTTCGTCCAGCTGCCGGTCAGGAATCTGAGTGGATCCTGACTCTAATATTGGGATTTCTCCCCAGCCTGGGCTGGCTCAGTGATGGAAGTCTGCTGAATATAACCACAGGAGCGCAGCTAGTCTAATATTTGGCAAGATTTAGAGGGCCTAATAATCCATGTGCAAATATTCGCTTTTTGTTTAGAAATGGGATTTACCTGAACTTTAACTGAGCTTTTAGTGCTGTATTCAGGCACAAATAGTGTAAGTGCTTAGTTGTTTTTTTTTTTTTTTTTTTTTTTTTTCTTTTTTATCACTGGTCCCCCCCTAGTTTGCATTTTTCATTTTACATTTATCACAATAATGTTCATCTTTGAAGTTTGCTTGGCCTGCAAAATGCAAGGCAGTCTTGATAACTTTGCGCCAAGCCTTGTAGGTTGTGTTGTTTCTAACAAGGTATAACTAAAGGAAAAGGGATTAGAACTCCTGTCAGGTGTTTATTCCTGTATGTGCCCCCACTGGGGAGATTCAACCTCTCTATTTGTCCTTTTTACTGTTAACAGAGTGATAATGGGAAAAAATGCCAAATTTTGGGTTGTCACCAGAACAGGATAAGAGGAGAAATCCCTAGTGTTCTAATAGGGACACTAGTTCTGGTGACAATTTAGGGATTTCTAATGGGAAACAGATGGCAAAAACTGACAGGGATTATAGCTCTCCTTTTACTTTCTCAAAAATGAAGAAAAAAAAGTGTGCATTTAGTTCTAATTTAAAGTGACCTTATGTCTAAAAGATGATATCTGTTATAACAAACACATGTCAGTATTTCTCAAGATTAGACATGTAGCTGATAAATGAAACCAAATGTATTTAGAACACAGGTGTTTCTATGCAAAGTAGACATTCTATCTAGAAATTGCTAGAAAAGTGCCTTATGCTGATTTAGTTTTAGTGTTTTGTGATTCTGTGTTTGATTTGGGGATTGTATTGTACTCTGCTTAAAGGCATTGAATATATTAATATTTAGTCATAGAAAAAGTTGTTTTGTATCGGAGCTCTGAGATGATATCATTGCAGAGGATGCAGCTGGACATCATTCTGACGAGCCTGCAGGATCACACACATGTGGCATCCTTACTGGGATACAGCTCTCCTTCTGACTCCTCAGACAGCTCCTCTCTGCCTCTTTCCTATTGCTCCAGTTCTGACCCCAACTCTCAGAGCAGCCATCCAGACACTCACCTGGCAGAGATCCTGATGAAGACACTTCTGAGAAACCTGGGCTTCTACACGGTGAGACTATATAGATGGTGTCTAGTTCATCTGTTTATGGGTTTTCCCTAAGCACATATTCATTTTATTGCTATAGACTTAGACTAGCCATACATGCTTAGATTTCTCTCATACAGCCCTGCAAGCTGAATGGAAAAAAAAAACATTTAATAGATTCCTCCATCCACACAGTCCCCTCCTGACTATTGTAATCTGACAGCCATTGGCACCCATGGCTGTCAGACTACCCTATCAATGAAGTTTAGTTGCCTGCAGGGCCACTCAAGATTTTAAAGGATAAATTGATCTTTTTACAAAAAATAATAAATGCATGTTTTTTTTCAGGTAAAAAAATGTGTATTTACAATTTTTGCTTTAGAAGCCTGTAAAGCATTGCATCAGCGATCAGTAGATTGCTGGTGTTATGCAGTTCTTCTGCAGACTGTCAATGTAATCGGTCTGCTCCTACCTTGTACAAGCAGACTGTTACACTGACAGAAAGGAATGCGCGCTCAACAGTGTCGTGGTAGTTCATTGATAACTGCAAGCTGACAACCGCAAAGGCTGTTGGTACTTGTAGTTCATTGATTCACAGGGATCTGTGAATCAATGAAGCGGCCGTGTGGGTGGAGCTCCGCACTGCCACGCTTTTTGAATTGTGGCAGTGAGTACGTGGAGAAGATCCCTGGCTTGCTGCCACGAGGAGGGTGGGGGGGATCTGGGGGAGAGGGGTCTGAGGCTGACCATGTTACATGTTCTACCCTAAATATGGGTGTAACATGTTCAGAAAGGTGAACTTATCCTTTAAAAAAATTCAAGCCATTCTACCATTAGGGTTACAGCTGGCTGCTAAATATTGTTTCATTTTATTTACGGAGGGTAACATTCTGATTTATTTTCCTGAGTTTTAATGTGATATAATTCTGTATGTATAAAATCTAGGGCAGCCAGCAGTGCTCTAAAGAGAACCAGTCAGGAATATGCATTTGAAAGAATCTGAATCTCAATTCTTATGTTATTATACCAATACAGTTTTAACACTCGAAGAAAGTGTGTGTTATGTTATTTTTGTTATATTCTCTCCGTGTTAGAGCAGAAATGTCATCTTAGTGTAAAGCTCACTATACACTCGACAATGAGATTGTACCATCAACAATTTAGTTAGTGTTATTAAACCAAAAAGCAAACCTTTATTTTATTGCATCTTACCATTTCTTAGATGTGATGGCTGTATTCATTTTCTTTTGTAGACTTTCTTCTATTTTCATCTAGCGATCTGGCCAGTAAGTCTGTTGTCTTAAATACCAAGCTCTCCAGCAGAATGTGCCAGTTGCAGAGATGAGATAAATCATTTAACACTAGCAGGGGTACTTACATTGTTCAGCTTTAATTAATTTTATGTAAAAAACCTTTATCTCAAAAGGGAAAAAAAAACTGCTGTAACTGCTTATAAAGTATTGGCTGGAGTTTGGCTTCAAATTGTTAGTGTATTTAAATCTTCTAGTACATCTGACACTAACCTACCCCAGACTGACAATGCCGCTGTCCAAAGGTGCCCATGTGCTCATTAATCCAGAATGGGGGCACTATAACACAGAAGGCATGTTACTGGCCAGATCAGCAGGTGAAAACAGAGGTAAAAAGCCTAAGAAAACAAAACTAATTCAGCCACCACATCTAATGATTTGTAAGCTGCAATATGTAAAATTTTTGGTTTTGGGCTTAATACATTTTTAAGGACCTGCCAGAATTGATGCTAATTAAATGAGTTTTTAGGTTTTTCCTCCTATTACATAGTTTTAAATGTGCTGTGGCAGTGAGCATTATGGCAATGATATACTGGCTGCACCTAAAATCTTCCCACATGTCAGTGCAGAGAAGAATGGATATGACCTCCTCTTATTATTTTTATCCAGTTTTAGAATAAAACATTTCAAAACGTAGAGCAGAAAGCTGCACACCAGGTATGGGAGGAAATAGAAAAGTATAGATTTCTGCATACTAGTGTTTTTCTTGCAGCAGGCATATGAGTTAGAGTAAGGAGCTAAATACATTCAGGTTGATGCCATGTCACATCTTACAATCTTCAAATGTTTCACGCTTCACTGGTGCCAGGCAACTCTGGAGTTACATAACAGAGCTTGCAAGGGTATTCAAAGGCCAAAAATCCAAGGAAAAAAGAAACTGAGTGAGCTGGATATTGCAGATACCACTTCTTTATTAATAAACTACTTTAATAAAGTATTTTTAATAAAGCCATTTTATCTGCAATATTCAGTGGGCTGTTACTTTTATTTTTTTTTTATGTCTCATCTTCCCCCTAAACTTTGATACTGTTCCCTTTTGTATTTCCTACAGTATGTGGGCACCCCCTGGGGATTACAGAGAGATCTTTGTAACACTGATGCAATTCTCAGATCTTCTGTAATCTCTTTGAGTATGGAGGCTGATTATAATCTTTCTCTTTTTCCACAAGAAGAGAACTCCTAATTATTTATTCTCTTTTAGGATCAAGCTTTTGGAGAATTAGAGAAGAACAGTGATAAATTTATTGTAGGATCATCGTCCGCAGAGAACAGCCAACCGGCTCATCTTCATGAGCTGCTGTGCTCCTTGCAGAAACAGTTGCTGGCATATTGCCACACAAACAATATAAGCGAGGTATGTATCGCAGCAAAGTGCAGTGGATGATGTCATTCTGCTTTGCTTACTAATTAAAGAGGAAGTTCAATAGGTTTTTATTTTTTTCTTAAGAGCATTAGATACTTTGTATAATGTGTATCGACTTTACATTACCAGGATTAACATTTTATTTTTTGACATACACATTCATAGGACAAAGAACTAAACCAGAAGAGTGCAGTACATAGAGCACATTTAAGCAAGAAATTGCAGACAGATGAATTAAGTGATTTTCTTTTTTTGTATTTTACTTTAGGTTTTTACTGTCTACTCTCTAACAATAAAAAAAAAAAAAAGGCGACTCCTTTTCTCTGTCTTTTCTGTTAACCTTTGCTGCCACTGACGTATGCCATGCTTCGTTTGCAGCAAAGGGGGGGGGGGGGGGGGGAGTGGGGTTTTACACACACTCCTGTAGAAACATGTGTCCCAGCCATGTTTCTCTGGCTCCCATTGGTGGCAGACCCAAGACTGACATTGCATGTGTCATCGGGAAAAGGGGAAGGAGAATGGATCCAGCTGTCATTTTCCCTGGCCGTTGTGGCTGGGGAAGAATTGAATGGTGCATGATCTGTGCTGCATTAGGAGAACTTTTCACCAAAAGAACATCAATTAGGGGACTTTTTGTTCCCTATGTAACAAACAATGTTTAGTGGGAAAATTTACCCCCCAAGCACCTAAACACATCCTCTCAAATACATTTCTGAGCCCCCCTACCCCACATACACACACATCCAAGTGTAAACATATGCACCAGGGGCACTTAGACATGAAAATGACGATTGCTGTACACATATTGCTGTGCATGGGAGCAATACATCTAGGCCCAGGGGCGAACTGACCATTTAGAAACTCAGGCACTGCCCGGGGTCAGTAGGGGGCCCCATGAGATGCCCCTGGTACCTTTTTTATAGGCTTTTTTGAGTTTTGGCAAGGACACAGGGGCCCCATGATCCCCTATTGCCCGGAGACCCCATGAGTTGTCAGTCCGCCCCTGCCTAGGCCCATTATTCATAACTAACTCTAAATGGATGACCTGTAGGGGATTTTGAAGCGCTGCCTTTAGGAAATATAGGGTACTGAAGTTTGTTCCTGATTACAAGCACGTGCTATTTGTCAAGACTTGACATGTTGGGTGTCTATTTACTTGGTACATCTTTTATATTTTACTAATAAAAAAAATGTGGAATATATTGCTGTTGTGTGCCCTAAAATTAACTTTAGTGTGTTTTTTTTGCGACTGATTAACCATTGTGCTAATATTGTAATAATGACACAAAAACTGGAACTACCGCTATTTTTTGTTTTCTGTCTGTCTGGGGGTTTTAAGTAATCTTCCAGCCTAAAATGTGTGCAAAAAACTCAGAAACAACTCGGACCGATAAACGGTTAAACAGGGGTTACATGCCTACGCTATATGAACCAAAACAAACTCTGCTGTTTGTTATTAAGGGAAAGGTTTAAAATGTGGAATGAGACACTTTCTAGCATCACAAAGGCAGGTAAAGAGATATTGGGGTGTAATGTCTATACCATCTAAAGGCACCGTTAAAGCAAAAAAAAAAAAAAATCTGTAATATGCTCTGTCCTCACCAAATCTCTTGCTTGGAAAAATAGAAACGGGTGTACTTACTCTACATGTATAATACATACATGTTTCAGCACATAAGGGATTCCACAGTGGGAACAGGTGGAGGGTGAAAGCAGACTAAAGCTGGCATACACACTTTTTTTTTTTTTTTTTTTTTTTTTTCTTTCAGCAGAAAAAATGAATGGATTCCCTCATCCACACAAGCCAGGTGGATGGAGGAATCCTCCCAGTTGTGCTATTATATTCTGTCAGCAGGGACTTCTTCACTGATCAGTGCTGCACTGGCTGATTGCAGTCCCAATCAACAGAAGTCAATCTGACAATCTATCGGACAGGGAGGGCCACACATATATCAACATTCTGCAGCTCCTTGCTGACCCAGCCTAATTTCAGTCAGTGTGTATCCAGATTAAGATACATTTTTTTTTTGCTATTTGTCTGATGTTGGCAAAGCGAACTGTAATTAACGGACAATCAAATTCTGTGTATTTTTATGTAAAATATGTATAGAACAACTATGTATTACCTCCTTAGCTGGTCATTTGAAAACGAAGAGATTATGAGGGCTCCAAGGAGTTATAAAGGAAGAGAAAGTGTCAGTTTTTGTTTTTCTATTGTGTCTCTTAGAGGAACTACAGTTTCCTATGTAACTACAAGTTAAAATAATTTTTATATATATCATGTCCAGAAATGGAGGTGAAATGTTTGTTGTGAAATGTTAACACTATCCTCTGTTTGCAGAACTCCAGCAGTGTGGCGTTGCTTCACAAACACCTCCAGCTACTTCTGCCCCATGCCACAGACATCTACTCACGCTCTGTTACCCTGCTGAGGGAAAGTCCATGCAATGGGAGTGTGGGAGAGAAACTGCGTGGTACGTGTTACTTTAGGAGTATGAAGTTGGAAGGTGCTTGTATTGTTACACAGACACAAAGGGGGGGATTTGCTAAAACTGGTGCTCTCAGATTCGGGTGCAGCTGAGCACAGTAGCCAATCAGCATCTCACTTCAGCTTATTCAATTAAGCTTTGATGATAAATCCTGAAAGCTAATTGGTTTCCATGCAGAGCTGCACCAGATTTTGCACGGTCCAGATTTAGCAAATCTTTCCCCAAATTGTCAACACAGAATGCCATTATTTATCCTATTTTGTTGGTATACCTTTTATTTCTGTTTTCCCAATATTTCCTTTCTATTTATTTGTGTATCTGGCTACATATTCATTTTTTTTTTCTTTCCATACAGATGTGATCTATGTGTCTGCAGCAGGCAGTATGCTTTGTCAGCTCATAAATGCCTTGCTGTTATTGCCAGTGTCTGTGTCCAGACCTCTTCTCAGTTATCTACTAGACCTGCTTCCACCACTGGATCGTCTCAATAGACTATTACCTGCAGCTGCTCTTTTGGAAGATCAGGAATTACAGTGGCCTCTTCATGGTAAATGGGGGTCCTATTAATATTTGGTTTTACAGGAATGGTAAAAATGTTAATATTGTTGGGATGAAAACTAGTAACTAAGTTTATTAGATGAGTAGGACAGTTTGGTTCAGATATCTGTGTCTATAATAGGCTGAAAATATTGCACTGAACAATTTAGCAGAGTTGTGTAGAAACTATTAAGCCACTTCTGATAAACGAAAGTTTTTGTTTGACTGCAGTCCACCCGTTTCTCCTCTTTATGCAGGAGGACCAGAACAAGTGGACCCTGCAGGAGTATTGTTGCCTGCTCCAGCTCAGTCTTGGGTCTGGCTCGTGGATTTGGAACGAACTGTTACTCTGTTGATTGGGTGCTGTTTGGGAGGCATGCTGCAAGGATCGCCCACATCACCAGAGGAACAAGACACTGCTTACTGGTTAAAGACTCCTTTATTTGGGAATGGCATTGAGATGGATGTTCCTCAGCTGGGTAAGTCTGAGTACAAATAATTGAATAGCTTCATGGTGACTAGTAAATGACTATTCTGCAAATACATTACAAAGGCTAATATACACTAGGTAAATATTTGCTTGCTTATCTGCACACATGTACTGAATGTATGTGGTAAATCTGTCTTATGTATAATAAATGTTTGTTAGTCGTATTAGCACTGTTTGCAGTTGTGTTTTTACACAGTAACTTTTTTGTATGCATTCTTTGTTTATTGATTTTTCATAAGTGCAAAAAATACAAGAACATTAATGCAGTCTGTAAGAAAAAATAAAGTACAAATATACCATTCGGTTACTTGCACACGGTACTGATGTTTGAACATCAGTATTCTTAGCCAATATTTTTTGTGTTTATTTTGCACATATTTGTGCATATTTTGCTCGCGTATTTGCTTGTATACAAGTAAAATAAATTCTAGCTCTCAGAATGGAATTTTAACCTCAAATTAAAAATGTTTGCATGTATTTGTGCAAATTTGTGCACAAAATCCTCACCAGCATCTTAAATTTTCTGTATTCTATACACAGTGTGTGTGTGTACATGCACATTGAAAAGGCTGCATTTTTCGATCAGTTAAAATAAAGTTTTTAGGTAGCAGCATGCAAACAACCTTAAAGTGATATTAAAGGCAAGTTTAAAAGAAAACCGGAAACATGTCATACTTACCTGTTCTATGTAGTGGTTTTGCACAGAGCAGTCTCGATCCTACTCTTTGGGTCCCCCACTGGAGCCCCTGGCCCCTCCGTCTTGCCAGGTGTCCCCAGAGCAAGCAGCTTGCTTAGGGGACACCCAAGCAGGCTTGCTCCCAAGCCGCAGCTCTGCATGTCCATTCACACACACACACAGCCGTGGTTCGGTCCCGCCTCCTCTCTCTTCTCATTGGCTCACTGGCTGTGATTGACAGTAGGGTCGAATGGCTCCCGCGGCCATCTCTGCCAATGAGAAGGGAGAGTCCCTGGAGAGCCGAGGCTCTTTTGCACATCTCTGAATCGTGATGGGGCTCAGGTAAGTATTGGGGGGGGGGGGCTGGGGGGTCTGCTGCACACAGACAATGCATGAAGGTAAAAGACCTTGAGTCTTTACAACCTCTTTAACTGCACAGTAACTTTTACTCTGTATTAAAAGGCAAATCATTTTCTTTCAGATAAGTGCATGAGTGCTCTGCTTGAAGTGTCTCTGTCTGGAAATGAGGAGCAGAAGACCTTTGATTATAAGCTAAGGCCAGATGTTTCAGTTTTGGTGGATCTGGCAGTTGGCTCTACTAAGGAGCCAGCACGAAGCCTGTGGATTAGTATGCAGGATTATGCTCTTAGTAAAGGTAACTGATTATGGATAAGATGAGTGCATAATATAAACAATTGGCAGGATCTAATTGTATAATTCCATTACCAGACTGGGACAGCGCCTCTGTTAGTAATGAATCCCTACTGGACACGGTATCACGCTTTGTTCTGGCGGCACTGCTGAAACATACAGATCTTTTGTCCCAAGCCTGCGGAGAGAGCAGGTAAGGAATTCCCTACAGTAAATATGTGAGATAACCTGTCATTACTTAATGTTGATATGTATAAGCATACTTGCACATACATGCAAATGCTTGGCAGTATTGGCTATTCATATTGCTTGAAAAGTAGTCACACAGTATGGATCAAGAATTTTTGTTTTATTCAAAATGACCAAAATTAGTGATGGTAAACCATATAGTTTAAATACAACTGTCAATTAATTGCAGCAAGCTTTCATGGTACAAGTGAAGTCCACATCAGCTCCTACACTACATACCAATAGCTATATTGCACACAGGCCAACCTAATTGTATACAGTTAATGGATTAAATAGGTTGGCCCTCACATTTACCTACTGGTAAATCTAAAGTGGATTTCACAAAGATTGTGGCATCAGATTATAGCTGTTTAGTAATTACAGACTTGCAGATTTTGATTTATAGGAAACAATGGCATTCGACTACTTTGCTAACTGTGCATAGTTTACATGGTGTGCTAAAAGCAAAAGGATCAAAAAAAGTGTGCTGTCATAAGTCATCTGAAGTGCTACCCTAGTGTTATGATCTGCTTTGCTACTTTGCTTTAGATACCAGCCAGGGAAATCGCTAGCTGAGGTGTTCCGCTCCGTGTACAAGGTCAGAAGTCGATTACTTGCTTGCAAGAATATGGAACTCATCCAAACTCGCTCCTCATCCAGAGAGAGATGGGTACGTTGAATGCAATTAGAGAGTAGAGAATTAATTTGTTGGACGTAAAAAATAAAGACATAAGATATAATAATACTGGAAAATGACTGTCTGTCTGGAGAATGTTAGTGGGTACTAGAATAGTAGCAAAATATTTCTGATTTGTCCATGTATTGTATAATTAAAGTGGTATTAAACTTAAAAGCAAACATTTTATTCTATTGAGGCTTACCACTTCTCATATGTGATGGCTGTATTGGGTTTCCTTTCTAGACATTCTTTCTTCTATTTATATCTGGTGATCCAGCCAGTAAGTCTGTTTGTTTTTTTTCGAAAGAACAAGCTCTATTTCAGAGTGTACCAGTTACAGAGATGAGACAAACCATTTAACACTAGCAGGGGTCCTTACAGTGATCAGCCTTTATTTATGTAAAACCTTTTTCCTAAAGGAAAAAACTGTGCTGTAACTGCTTATAAAGTATTAGCCATAGTTTAATTTCAATTTGTTAGTGTATTTAAATCAATTAGTACATTAACACTCCCCTCCCCCCAGACTGACAGTGCTGCTGTCCAAAGGTACCCTCTGTGCTCATTCATCCAGAGTGGGGGCACTGTAATACAGGAGGTGTGTTACTGGCCAGATCACCAAGTGAAAACGGAGGGGAAAAAAAAAGCCTAAGAAAACTGATGCAGCCACCACATCTAATGATTGGTAAGCTGCAATATTTTACATTTTAAGTTTTGGGTTTAATACTACTTTAAAATACCACCTTATGACTGTTATGGTTGGAAGGCAATGTGTACTTACAAACAGGTAGGTGCACCAAACAATTGGTAGTTTGTAAGGAATGAAGGTGGGCAGAGGCGGCTCTAGGCTCTGTGAGGCCTTGGGCAAAACTTAGACATGAGGCCCCACTCATACCCATAATGGGAAAAATAAATCAAGCGATAACAATTAGATGTATAAATTGCATATATAAGAGCTTTAAGAGCCTTTGAACTGTGAATTCACAGTATGCAGCAAGGGGACGTGCCCGATATATGCAGCAAGGGGACGTGCCCGACATATGCAGCGAGGGGACGTGCCCGACATATGCAGCGAGGGGACGTGCCCGATATATGCAGCGAGGGGACGTGCCCGATATATGCAGCGAGGGGACGTGCCCGATATATGCAGCGAGGGGACGTGCCCGATATATGCAGCGACGTGCCCGATATATGCAGCGGGGGGGGGGACGTGCCCGATATATGCAGCAGCGAGGGGACGTGCCCGACATATGCAGCGAGGGGGACGACATATGCAGCGAGGGGACGTGCCCGACATATGCAGCGAGGGGACGTGCCCGACATATGCAGCGAGGGGACGTGCCCGACATATGCAGCGAGGGGACGTGCCCGACATATGCAGCATATGCAGCAGCGAGGGGACGTGCCCGACATATGCAGCGAGGGGACGTGCCCGACATATGCGTGCCCGATATATGCAGCGGGGGGACGTGCCCGATATATGCAGCGAGGGACGTGCCTGATATATGCAGCGAGGGGACGTGCCCGACATATGCAGCGAGGGGACGTGCCCGACATATGCAGCGAGGGCACGTGCCCGATATATGCAGCAAGGGGACGTTCTAAATTATGCCGCGCTCCTCCTCTAAGTGAAAAATGACAAACTAAAAATCAATTCATATTTCCAAAAAAACCATATCATAAACCAAAATATATCAATTAAAAAAATGTGATCAACAAAATAAAATATGACATCCCATGCTTATCATTTACAAATAATAAGTCTCTATGAATAAGTGGTGATAATTCCCAGTGATATAAAGCAATAAATAATTCCAGGTGACTTCCATAGTGAAATTCAGATGTGCGCTCACCTCCAAGATAGCCTATAATAGGCTAATAACGCTTTTGTTCACTATATGGAACTGTTGTGTGTTGCACTATATGAGGAATGGTGGTTCCCTCTCCGCCGGCTCTCCGTTTCCTATCCCTGCTGGGATCTTACTCTCTTGTTGCTTCTCCCCTGCTTTCCTCTCCTCTGCATATGCCCTCAGTGAAAATAGAAAATTCCAGAGATAGTGCTTTATCCTTTTAAAATTGCTTTAATAAGGTACCCAATTGCACTCACATATAAAAAAAAGTTAAAACCGCTTTTGTATTTACAATGCTGCGTCCTCAGCATGCCAAACACCGCATGCCTGATATGAACCTGTCGTCCTCGAATGGCCAGTGACGTCGTAGCTCCTCCCTTACGCGTTACGCCGCCGGTCACGCGGCTTCATCAGGGGGTTATGATATATATCCCCATATAGCCAGCAAGGGGACGTGCCTCATATATCCAGCTAACGGATTGTCCAGTCCAACTAAGAGACAGTCCCAGCTAGGAGACAGCTCAATCCAGCTCAGAGACAGTCCCAGCTAAGCTATGAGACAGCCCACTCCAGCCTCTGAAGGTGGGTCCATCTTTCGATTGTGAATTACTTAACCATAAACTAGCATCTGGGCATGCATGCCAGTTTTCTACAAAGTTCTCCCTTCCTTCAGATACTGTAGAATGCATTAAAATAATTCTGTATATATGAATAAACAGCCTTTCTAGATTCTTGTGGCTGCTTAGTACATTCATTGGCGTAGAATACCATTAGTAAGCTCTGGCTTTTGACTATCAGAAAAATTTGTTGTGGATTTTCTTGCTTGGATCATGTTGGCAATGTTTACACATTTCTGGACAGGTTTCTGAGAACCAAGAGTCAGCAGATCTAGGCTCCCAGGAAAACTCTTTTACAAGAACAATAGATGAAGAAGCTGAGATGGAGGAGCAAGCAGAGAGGGAGAGAGAAGAGGGACACCCTGAACAGGAGGAGGAAGATGAGGACCGTGAACATGAACTACTTACTGCTGGCAGTGAGTATAATATGGTCTGGACTGTGGAAACATTGATTCCTTTGTAGATGTAAAGTTCAGGGGTATTGGCTACTGTGGTACTGCTCTCAGATCACTTGCAAAGTCATTTTTTATAAACCTATATGTCTTTATTTTTTCCAAGGCAAACAAAACAATGCTTTCAACAGCAAATGTAAATGGCTTAAAATGTTACTAAACCCAGGACCCTGCATTTACTATATCTGGTCTCTAACAGTTCACAGAACATGGAAATACAGTCTTGTGACTTCTATTAGTGTACAGCAGAGTACTGGTTAAAGCTTGTAGGAGTTTTAATTCTCCCTTGATTGTTATATGGCGCTGCAGGACCACTCACCCTCTGTCTGGACAGCGTAATTAGCCCTGTGCTGATCATATGCATTCTCCCAAAGGAAAAAAAAAAAAACCTCTATCAATACACACCAAACTGAGCATGTGCAGCTTGCCCCCAAGGCTCAGAGCAGACGAGATCAAATATCTTTTTTACATAATGTGAAGGATTAACCCCTTAGGTTCAATCATGAGCATAACAAGCATGCTTTACTGTATATACAGACTGATTTTATTGTTTCGGGTTTAGTAACACTTTAATTCCAGCAAAAACAAGGAAACTAAAGTCCATTTATCTTCAGCACAAGGTGAAAAAAACCCCCAAAAAACAGTGTATCAGCACACAGCTACACAAGGGTTTTACCCGCAGAAAGAAAAGTCCAATCAAAGCCTTTTTTTGGGGGGATTCCAGCAGACATGCAGTCCTTCAGATGCTTGTCTCCTCTCTAAACTCTTTACTATTCCACACCTGCTGTAGGAGCTTCCTGTCTTTTAAGGGCTGCTTCTTACAGGTAGGCTTAACCCTCTTGGGACCTGAGTCCTGAGTCCCTGTAATCAGGGGTGGAGGTTCTTTCCACCTTAGTATCTCTCCAAATTCCGGGTCCCAAATGAGGCCTTATCAATCCAGAGAGTCTTATCAGACTACCCGGAACTCCCTCACACTACATGAGTAAAAGCCCCTGAGTACACCATCTGCACAAAAATCACCCCCCTTTAAAGGTACCACAACCCAAATATGGGTGAAATATTACTTCCATCCCGCATTCATCCTTGGCATCCTGTACAATGTATAAAGCCTAATGTTACAGCCTCATCACCCTTTGTGTAAGAAACTTTCATATTTTAATTGTACAGTACATAGGCAAAGTATATATAGACCCTGGAGTTTAGGCTGGTACCTTCAGGAGACATTTAAGGACATGCCTCCTGGGTGCCTTCCCTATAATCCTACCCCACTCAAGGTGATGGACATCTTCTCCCTTCACAGATGCATCACTCTGGGCTAGTTTTTTGTTTATTTTTCTTTATTATTTCTTAGTCAGATTGTTCAATCAACTCCTCACTGTCTTTTAATACCACAATTAGAAGCAATGTATCTGGATTGGCAGAACCTTTGTAATCCTTGAAAGCCGTACCTGGATCCCACTCTGTAGGGATGGCTTGAAATGTTGCTCAGGGCACTGGATTCTGCATGGGCTCTCACTTTGACACTTACAGGGGAGTATATTGTTTTTTTTTCCCATAGCCCATTTTTCTCTTTTAACAATAAGAAAGTCTTCCCTATCAGTGGAAAGTGATAATACACCAGTCTTTCAGGCTGGGGAGGAGTGTGTCAGTCCCTCATGGTCCATTTTGAAGCCAAGCTTCCCATCAGAATTCTGGAGATCAGAGCAGTTTGAATGGCTCTGCAATACTGGACCCTTTTCCTGCGAGGACACCCATTCAGGGTGCAGTCAGACTGTGCTATGGCTTTGGCCCCTGTCAGCCTCCAAGGGAACACCAGGAGTCTTTCAGCTTTGAAGAAGGCTCATTTCATGGACAGGAACTCACAATCCTTTGATCTCCACAGTTCACATCCCAGGATTCGACAACTGGAGAGCAAACTACTTCTGCCCCCACCACCTGGATCAAGGGGAATATCTTTAATCTGATACATCAGAAATGGGGCACTCCAAATGTAGACATCCTGGCCTCCAGATTCAAGTTTAAACTACCTCTGTTTGTATCAGGACCAGGGATACTCTGGTGCTGGCCTCAGATGCCTTGATAATTCCCTATTCTCAGTTCAGGATAATCTAATTGCCTTAAACAAACACTTTACCAGGACAGGTTTCGACCTTGTCCATTTTTTTTCAAAGAACTTTGCTGTCTCTTGAAAACACGAAACCCCTTCACACTTTACAAAGACAAGGTTGTCTTACACCTCCATGAGAACTTCGTCCCACCATCCTTATGCCCTGCTCCAAGGCAACCAATAAAAATCTCTCTTGATTGCTTGGTCGTTGTCCGAGCCATTAGTATCTAGATTAAAGCTCCAGCTTTGATCAGACAGACTAATTCCTTATTTGTCCTGTCGTCAACACCCTATTTCTAAGTCCACCATCACGAGATGCTAACGCTTACTCTCAATGACAAATCTCCTTCTGCACTTGTACATGTCCATTCCTCTAGGTTGCTGGGAATTTACTGGGCATTTCAGCACCACACATCTGTATGTGTAATGCTTTGTAAAGTCTCAGTCTGGTCTTCTGTCCATCCTTTTTCAAAGTTCTACCAGATGGATGTCCAATGTGAATGCAGCTTTCGGCTGCAAGGTTTTTAAAGTGGCACTCTGAAGTTGGGTCCTTTTTTATACCTTTGTTATTGTTGGTCCTGTTGCCACAGTTCTGTTTACCTAGTTGTTGGCCACTTATCTCATTCATTGGTTTGAGACGTCCCAGGGTCTATGAATACTTTTGCCTATGTCCTGTAACTGTACGATTTAAGATGGGAGTAATTTTGATTTGCCTATAAATTTCATTTTTGTGTCACAGTACAGGACACAGACCCCCCCCTCCATACCATTCCCTGGCTTCTTCTGCATTGCTTGCTACAAAACTGAGTATTCACATAGTGAGAAATAGTTATAAAGGAAGGGAAAATGTCACCAGCACACCGAGGATAACTAATATGGGTCCAAAAGTTTTAATGAACGATCACATAGTTACAGCAAGGCAACGTTTCGGAGCCTCGCGGGACCCCTTCATCAGGCATGTGACGACTGATGAAGGGGTCCTGCGAGACTCCGAAACGTTGCATTGCTGTAACTATGTGATCATTCATTAAAACCTTTGGACCCATATTGGTGATCCTCGGTGTGTTGGTGACATTTTCCCTTGCTGATTCTGTTTGGTTCCAGCCGACGGTCGCTGCAGCATCCACTTATACTCACAGCCATTTTTAACGCAGGAATGTGTGCGTTTGGATTGTACACTTGTATAGTTATAAAGGAGGCGCTCAGTTGGGCTTTGCCCTATTACTGCATCCAAGAGCATCACCGTAACACTGCACTCTTCTACAGCCTAACCATTTCAGGGCAGCGTATGCACATTAATTAGATCATGTTGATGGGAGCTTAGCTATTATGAAAGGTGGATTATAATAAAACTGTTCTGTCCTTTTGTGCTTTGCAGCATGTGTTTTTCTCATCGACTGCAGGTACAGTTGATGATCTCACATAAGTAAAAAGCAGGACATTTGTCAATTCTGTCATGCAACAGGAGCAGTAAGTCAAATCATGAGACTGTTATATGATCTTGCAGCTTTGTTCTTAAATTTCTCCTTTAGCTACTCTAAAGTAGCACTGCAACATAATAAAACCTGCCCCTGACTATTTCTTAATTGTACGCTCTCAAATAAAAAAAATCGCTTTGATCTCCAGTGGGAATTCTGTAGCAGACTTGAGCATAGCTGTCTCCGTTTGCTGCCCAGGATTAGGAGTGTGGGGGTTTCAAATACAAAAAATCTTTGATTCTTAACTTGTACATGGAAACCTGAAAGTGTAGGGATTGGGTTAGAAAACAGACTTTTGAGTATTGCAGAAATATATTTAACACTGGACCTCCTAGATATAGTTCCCGCCACAGAACCAACATGTGCATGAATGATTTAATACATCGTTCTAAATCTTTGCAGAAAGTTTGTGCTTTATGCTTACGAATAAAAAATTTTTGCAAAAGATTAATTTTGTTGTTTTTCAGTATGTGATTTTGTTTAGGATTTGTTATTGTAATTTGTATTTTTGTAGTGCCACAAATGTACACAATATATTTTATGCATATTTTGTAATATGTTTTTGAAAAACTACGGGAGCTACAGAGAGACAGGAGCTACATGAACTATCCCAAATTGATGGTACAAATATATCAGTACAAACACTGTACTGTTAATGTTCAAATTCTTCAAGTGATTTCTCCAGGTCACTGGTGTTACTGCTCTCCTGTCCTAAGCTCCCCTCCTGTCTCTCTTGTGTTGCACCTTACAGAAATATTTCAATGTTTCCTATCAGCCCGTGAGGTGGCGCGCAGCCGGGAACGAGACAGAATTAGCCTGGGCTCAGCCGGGGGCTCTGGCACAAGTACTAGAGCGGAGGAGCATTCCCCACAACTGGTGCAGGCAAGGAGAGACAGTGGACATCTCACAGAAGGACAAGACCTATATACTGCAGCTTGTAACTCTGTCATCCACCGCTGTGCTCTTCTCCTTCTTGGGGTAAGCCCTGTAATAGAACATCTGGAGACCCCAGCAGAGGAACTTCAGCAGCAAGTTTCATCAGCAGTCTCCCATGAGGCTGCTGCAGCTATGACAAGGTAAACAGACAAAGAATCTGGAGTTTGATCAGCAATGTCATGTGTACATGAAAAAAAAAGCAAAAGATTAAAATGCTGAAATTACTCGAGTATAATTTAAATTCCTAATTAAGATGGATTCAAGCAATTTGTTGTAATAACACACGTTCTTTAACATTTCAAGAATTTGTCCATCTGGTCAGCGCAGAAATCCTAATTTAAAAATGTTTAACTGTTCAGATTAAGAACATGTTTTTGTTGCATGCATTCACAACTATATGTGAACACTCACTGCCTTGATTTTCAGCATCTTGATTTGAGCAAATGCAGTATTGTTGGATTTGGTGTAGACACACTCTGAGGGAGCTTCAGCAATTCTGGGCTTTTGCTGTGTATGTGCCTTTAAGGAGGAAGCAGCTACTCTTAAGCTGGCCATAGATTATACAATTTTTTTTTGTTCAATTTCCTTTAGATTTACCTTCAACTATGTAGTGTAGGGGTCTGCCTGATTACATACAAATTGAAAGTGTTTCGGTTTGACCTCATATTATATCGTTTTGGTTAGTGTTGCCGAAACCGATACCGAATATTCAGAATGCACATGGTCAAAAACCAAAACTGAAATGTATGAGGGGGTGGAGAGGCTCAAATGAATAGTCCCCTATGTGATGGCATATGAGTGAAAGGTCCCCTTTGTAGGGGGGAGAGGGTGGGGCGGCAGTGTGTGCAAGGAGGGGGCAGGGGAGGAGCAGTGTATATAGTGAGTTAGCAGTGTATACAGTGAGGGAGCAGTGTATACACTCGGGCTCCCTCACTGGCTTCCCCTATATGTAATTACCGGTTTTTAAATGTAATTACTGGCTTTTTTTCCCTTCACTATAGCTCCAAGAAGGAGCTGTCATTCTCTCTGACGCTAAAGAAAACTAAGGGGCGGGGTCACTGTGTAACATCACTGGGTGACTTTGCCCCTTTTTTTTCTTAACCAGCGGCAAGAATGACAGCTCCTTCTTGGAGCTATAGTGATGAAACAAAAAAGCTGATAATTGCATTTAACCGCCTCCCGCAGTGACGGGCGCAAGGCGGTTCTCTTGTTCTGGGAGGACGTCATATGAAGTCCTCCCATTCTAATCGCGCATGCACAGCTCCGGGAGTGCACAGCGTGGCGATCGGCGGTGCGCTGTGTCCCTTGGACACAGCGGATCACCGATCAACGGAAAGAGCCGAAGATGTCGGCTCGGTCATGTGATCAGGTGTGTCCAATCACAGCTGATCACATGTATATAGGGAAATGTCGGTTATCGGCAATTCTCTCCTCACGAGCTGTCACGCTGACCGCTCGAGAGGAGAGCCGGAAATCGGCATCCCTCAGAGGGGACTGATCAGTGTGCCCTGATGATCTGTGTAGCCCCAGCAGTGCCACCTGTCAGTGTCCATCAGTGCCAGCTGTCAGTGCTCATCCATGCCACCTGCCAGTGCCCATCAGTGCCACATCAATACCACATTTCAGTGCCTACCAGTGCACATCAATGCCACATGTCAGTGCCTATCTGAGCTGCCTTTCAGTGTCACCCATCAGTGCCAGTTAGTGCCACCTATCAATGCCAGTCAGTGCCACCTATCAGTGACCGTCAGTGCTGCCTAACAGTGCCAGTCAGTGCTGCCTTTCAGTGCCCATCAGTGCTACCTATCAGTGTCCATCAGTGCAGCCTATCGGTGCCCATCACTGCAGCCTCATTAGCGCACATCAGTGAAGGAGAAAAATCACTTCTTTACAAAATTTTATAACAAAAACTAAGAAAAAAAGTTGTTTTCCAAACTTTTCAGTGGTTTTTGGTTTGCTTAAGAAAAAATAAAAAACCCAGAGGTGATTAAATACCACCAAAATAAAGCTCTATCTGTCACAAAAAAATGATAAAAATTTCATATGGGTACAGTGTTGCATAACCGCGCAATTGTCATTCAAAGTGCAACAGCACTGAAAGCTGGAAATTGGCCTAGGCAGGAAGGGGGTATAAGTGCCCTGTAGGCTAGCGGTTAAAAACAATGCAGCTTTTAAATCTAATTACCGGCTTTTTTTTTTTCCCTTCACTATAGCTCTGAGAAGGAGCTGTCATTCTCCCCACCGCTAAAGGAAACTAAGGGGCGGGGTCATTCAGTAATGTCACTGGGTGACCCTGCCCCTTTCCTTTAGCGGCGGGGAGAATAACCACTCCTTCACCCCCCCCCACACACACATCTGCAGTATATGCAGATTATGCCATGTTGTATGTAGAACTCAAGCAGTTACTTTAGGCTACTGCCTACAAACCAATTCCAGAGCTGAAATGAGATCGAGGAAGATTAAATCCAAAGTGTAGCTAAAATAGTAAAATCAGCACAAGGGACTTAGTCATTAGGATGTATCACCTGTGCTGTTCCTCTTCTGCTGGTAGAAATCTTCCTTTCTTCAGGCATGCTAAAAAACTGGTAAAAAAAAATGCATGAAAATTGAATCCTTTTACATCAGTTTGTACATCCAACTTCAGTTCTGTTTAAAGTAGTATACATTGTTTTTCACTTCAATAAAAAGCATTAGTAACAAAAATATGTATGTTGCCCAAATGGATGTAAATGGAAAGAACGTAAATGGACAACAACATACTTTTTACATCCCTTTTTTGTCTGTAAAAACAGAAAAGGACACAAACCTTTTTTACGTTTTTTTTTTTTTTTTTTTTTTTTTCCCTGCAAACATAAACAGACTTGGATGCAAGTAAATGTAAACAGACATATGTCGTATACATCCGCCTGCTCATAGACTTACATTATGGTTCATGATCCCATGAAAGGGTTTGGCAGCACAGTGGCTAAATGCTTAGCACTTCCGCCTGGCAGTACTAGGGTCGTTGGTTCGAATCTCAACCACGGCACCTCCTGCCTGGAATTTGCGTGTTCTCCCTGTACCTGCGTGGGTTTCCTCTGGGTAGTCCGGTTTTTTCCCCACACTCCAAAGACATGCTGGTAGGTTAACTGGATCCTGTCTAAATTGCCCCTAGTATGTGTATGTATGAATGTGAGTTAGGGACTTTAATGTACAATATATGTGTAAAGCGCTTCGTAAATTGACGGCGCTATATAAGTACCTGTAATAATAATATAATAATCTTTCCTATTTGAATGTCTCTCTTTATCTGTTCAAAACAGAAGTGAAAGTCTTACAGCAGAAAGGAGGTCGGTCAATTCACATCCCAATTACAGACTTATTAAGTCCAGGAGTGAGTCTGATCTTTCCCAACCTGAATCTGATGAAGAGGGGTATGCCCTGGTGAGTGCTTTCAAACCATTGTTTTTTTTTTTTCACTTTCATATAGAAACGTGTGCACTTTTTCCTACAGTTTGTCTGTTTTGAAGTCGGTCACGCTTGTAACTTTCTTTTCTGGAGTAGTGTACCTAGCCTGGAAACTGTATGCCACACTAAAAAAAAAAAAAATCTCAAGTGCGCTACCAAGTACTAATCACTAAGAATAACTATATTAGGGGTTGCAGCAAACACCAAAAAGTGTTCACACTCAGAGTAGCAAATAATATGTGTGGAAACGTTTTGTGATACCCTATTTTCCACACAAAACTATTATTAACATCACTCTAAAACCTACAATATTAAAGTGATCATAAATAGTGACGGCATAAAAACAAAGTGACATTGCATCAATCAATAAAGTGCCATAATGCAAACTCAAGACTATAACAATACCCCCACAACTGTGATAAAAATATACATGTGTCAATATATTAGTAAAAACCTGACAGCCTCACTAACCCATTAAATATATAACCTGCAATAATGGGATAACCAATAAATAAATTGCAGTTTTATAAATGTATAACAATATAAATCACGTTCACAAAAAGTAATCCATATGAAAAATAATCTGTATGGAAACCTGACAGCCTCATTAACCCCATTAAATATATAATGTGCAATAATGGGATAACCAATAAATAAATTGCAGTTTTATAAATGTATAACAATATAAATCACGTTCACAAAAAGTAATCCGTATGAAAAAGTCCAATCATATTAAAGTTTTGAATGGAAACTATATTCCCAACTTCCCAGGACACAGTGAACACCCATAGCTCCAATACACCTCGTGCACCCTCACCACATGAAGTGTGCCCTTACCTTGGTAGTTGACCCAGATTATTAGGTCAATATGTGCTCACGAGCCAGCTTGTCACGGTTGCCCACCAGATAAGTAAATCCACCTCAATTGGGATATGGCACGGTCCCTGTCCCCTTTAAGACTTCAGCAATCTAGGATGAGGTGTACACTCAAGAAAAGAGAGAAGCCTCCCGTAGTGCAATAATTTATTTGATAAAACCTAAACATATGCAAATGCATTTTAAATGACAAAATAGTCTGCAGACTCTAAAGCAGCATGTCAGTGTTACAGGCAATCGCACATACGGTCCTACGATCCGGACTGGAAATGACATCATTAGCCTTCGTTTTGACGCGTTGCGTCACACCCACTTGACTTCCTCAGGAAAAACTTTTACCCTCCTTTTTTTTGTATGCACACAAGTGTGAACCTTGCCATTAGTTGACCTTTACAGAAGTACACTGGGTACTTTGAAGGATTCACAATTTCTATTTTTGCAGTCTTAATTGCAGTTTTACAGTACACGTGGGTGAATCTGGGACACTTATGTTGTGGGAATTTTTTTCTACTAACAAAAAATGCATGTTTGTCATCAGAATAATACCACATTGTAATAATAATAATAATTTCACATTATTAATATCTTAAAACTTTGTAAAATATCTTTTAGAGTGGAAGACAGAACACAGACTCAGACCTTGCATCTCACCGGAAAAGAGGTGAGCCTTCTTTAATTCGTACCCTGTAGAAATAATAGTATTGTACATTTTCCTTGTTTTATACCCGTGCATGATGTTCAGTGATAGCTGTAATGGCTGCATTTATTTTCCTGATCTAAGCAGTATGTTTTACAAATGTCTCTGAAAATAGATCAGGCACTTTAACCCCTTTATAACCGCCATACATATGCATCACTGGGTGGCCTATGTTTATGTGCTGGGAGCACACTCAGTGCACGCTTCCAGCACAAAGACCGAGCAGGGCCGGCATCTAATCTTGTGGTTGCCGATCCTTTCCTCCGACCAGCGTTCCAGATTGTTTAAAGGGATGCCAAGGTAGGCGGGAAGGGGTTAAAAGAGGCCTTCCAACCTTTTTAATAGTATACCTCTACAAGAGGAAGCTGGTTATTGTAGAGAAATATTTCTCCTATTTATAATAAATTAAATTCAGGTCTGATGATCCTTTTAAGTCTTTTAAATACAAAAATGTTTTTAAAGATTTTTTTTTTTTTTTTTTAATACAAAACAGAATTATTTTTAATATCTTGGCCTTTTTCAGTGAAATCAGTCAAAATGGCCATCTGGTGCAGAGTAGGAGTGTTTTACAGGAAACCTATCACAAACCTGGGCAGGTCAGCATATGATGCAAACATGCATAAGTAGAGGTACCATCAGTGGAAACTGCATGTCAAAACAGTCAGATTATCCAGATCTATAGTTACTAGCAGGGTCTTGTGTTTGTACAAGAATAGTCAGAATTTGCATAGATCTTCAGTTATTTTTTTTTCCAAGTCTGATCATTTCCATTTGCAGTTTTCTTTTTTAATGACTTATTCTCCTTATGCATTGTTATCATATATCCTCTCTTGATTTCCCAGGTTTGTAACAGGTTTTCTTTAAAGAAAGTGTATATTGTTTGCTAAAGACCTAAGCTTCAGGCAGAGCATCTGGTGAACTCCCAGTGCTTCTCGTTTTGGGAGTTTGCAGGAGCACACAGCAGCTAAAAGGAGTGGCAGCTTCTCTCTTCTGTAGTGCTGGGGTGGTTTTTTTTTTTTGGTTTTTTTCGGGGGGTTTTTGCCTCTTGGCAAAACTCATGACTGTCAGATTTATGGCTGGAATCTGACTGTTTGATAGGTGGCTGTGTGCTTACTCTGATTCCACATTAATGCTTTGGGTGGATCATACTCTCTGACATTATTAGATAAAAGGAAGGACAGCAAAGATGGTATGCAAACAAAATTACCTTTTCTTTTGTGTCTGTTGAGGGTCATAGGAATTCAGACTCCAGCCCTAGTATAGCTCTTCCTACTCTCAGCATGTCTTCGTTATTTGCTAGTATCCTAGGAGGACGAACGTCTTTTCTCCACTAGATTACAGCTCCATCACTACTGAGCAGCTATCTGGATCAATGTTTCCTCAGCCTGGCTTTGGAGACCGTACTCAGACACTTCTAGATTAGACGTGTGGGGCTAGCCTCGAATGTGACTTTTGGGCTCTGCATTTTGGTGCTTTTCAGATCTGCATGTATTAGTTAAGTTAGCCGCAGCATTCCTTCAGGGTCCATAGATATGGCATTGCTTTAGAGTTACCCTGTCATTAAATACTCACTTAATAAGTAGGCCGTTCAGGCCAAGCACTCGGTGCTTCCTCGTTACTGGCACTGCTGGACACTGTTAAAATTCCCGCTTTCTGCTGGCATCACTGTGGAGAACTTTAATGCCGAGAGTTTGAGTTTTGACGTTCTCAGTTGGGTGGAGTGCCACATGCTTGCAGTCTGCAATCTCTTTCCCACTATTCATCATTGAGCAAACACATTCCTGCTGCTGTTCCTACTGAAAAAGACACGTAACTCTTAGTTTGTCTCTACTGCCCACCTACAGTGACTTGGTTACTTCAGATGCCTGTCCCTACACCTGCATCCAAGCAATTGTGTTTGTGAGTACCAGAGTCCTACCCTTTACCCTGTGCACGTTGCCTTCTGCTTTGTGGTGCAAACCAGTATATAATTCTAGACACATGGCACAATCCCACAGCCTCTAGCTCGCACTCCACTAATTATTCAAGAGCTGCCTGCAGTGTTGTGCCCTTGAGGTGCCTGACACTGATAACTTGGAATTTTGCCCTCTGCTATAGTCTGCCATTATCATAAATCTTCCTTAGCTCTGTCAGGCTTGTCCTGTTCCTCTGTTTTTTCCTGGAAGGATGTCATTGCAATCATGCAGGATTTTATCTTCCTAATAGCACTGCTTATCATAACCATGACCACATAAGGGTTGGAAATGGCCTGACTGTTGTAAGAGACCTGATCTCTATTGCGGTGTATCCCTTTTGTTATGGAACATTTGGAACTCTTGCCCTCAGCCTTGAATTACATTGTCAATGGGTTGTTAGAATTCCCACCCCTCATCTACATTACCAGTCTCCTGTCCGTAAACATAAGGAGGCCATCTTGCCTAAAGTGTTGGTCTGCGGAGTCTACCTTCAGCACATTTACTCTGCATACCTTTTGAGGATCAGCGTCTCTTTGGGGCCACTCTGGATGCATCTAGAAAGACTGGCTGCTCTTTAGAGGCCAAAACAGTATATTTTTGTTTCTCCCAGGCTTTCACTTCCAAAGCCAAAACAATTTCTGGCACCCAGTCTGCCCGCAAACGCTGGACTTCCAAGTTTCCCAAACCATCAGAAAACCTTCCTCAATATGAGGGAGTGCTCCCACTTTTCAAAGTGGGGGATCATCTCTAAGCTTTTGTGGCATTTGGACAACCTGTATCTCAAATTCTTGAGTTTGGGAGTGAGGTGATTTTCAGAGCCTCCAAGCTATACGTTTTCTTATCCCCTCCCTGCTTTCAACCTTTCATTACGCACATTAGCATATCTCCATACTGCCCTGCTGGGGCTTCTGTAGCAGTGTGCCCATGCCCCAGTTCCTGTGACAGATCAGTTCCAGAGATTTTATTCCAGCCTGTTCATTTTCCAAACCAAAAGGATGCATCCGATTTTACAGGGATCCTCTAGGAGAAGCAGTGGAATTCTTTGGTGGCTTTGAGGGATCCGTACACCCTGATCTGTGCCTTTCCTTTTCTAAAACTCCTACCTCATCTGATTCTCAGCATTGGGATTGAGGGCATTCCAGTGATCCTCAATAGCTGTGGACTGGCCAAGGTGGATGTGGTCCTCCGACCTAATGAGACTCCTGGCAGATATTTCATGGACTTTTCCAGATCATTTGGATCTCCTGTTTAAAGAATCCATTTTATTATCCTGCTTCATACTTCCTGGCCTTAACAGCATGGCTGTTAAAGCCCAGGTCCTGTGGGACAGAGGCAGGTCTAAATCAGTCATCTCATGATGCTGACCTAGCATGTCTACTTCCTGCAAGGTTATGGAATACACCTGGCCTTTTTGTAGATGCGTCTGTACAAGCATTTTGCCCTTAGCACCATCAAGCATTGGGTCTCTGTGCATGTGATTTTGTTTCAGAGATTACTTCCTTTCCATTCTTTAAAAAATCTTTTTTGCAGGGTGCCTCCCATGTGGCTCCCCAGTGCACTCTCATGCATTTATCTCACAGCCACTGCTTCCATTAGAAAGAGTGACTCTGTCATTTCTAAAGGTCCTCATAAGACGAGATCTCTTTCTGGTTCCACCATTTCTTTGCAGCTCTGACAGACCATCATTCAGGCCTATGTTCTTAAAGCCTAACTGTCGGTTTCTTTTGACTTTAAATAGTTCATTTGGACCAAGGTGGCCCTAGCTTCAGTAATAGATGTGCCCGCTGCAAGCACTGTATGTCACATCAGATACAATATGCACAGTGTTTTTGCAGTGGTACAGGAACTTCCCGTTCTGCTCCTGAAACGAGATTGAGCCGGGCTGAGTACTGCTCAGCCATTCACAGGAAGCTTTTTATTTGAAGTGTTACTAAACATAAAACCATAAAATCAGTCTGTATATGCAGTAAAGCATGCTTGTTATACTCCCTATGGAAGGGGTTAATCTTCTGCATTGTGTAAAACCGCTGTTTGATCCTGACTTCTCTGATCCTCCCCTTCTTCCAGTGTCCTCCTCTTATCTCATGATAAGACAAATCATGTGGAGTCACTCTGCACATGCTCAGTTTAGTGTGTATCGTTAGAGAGGTTTTTAATTTTTTTTGGGAGAGTGCATGTGATCAGCACAGGGCCAATCAGTACTTCTCGTACTCACTGTGGAACCTAAGGAGTTAATCCTCTGAATTATGTAAAAAGCATGTTTGATCCTCTCTTCTCTGATCCTCCCGTTCTACTGTCCCCAATCCCGGGGTCCTGCATCCTCCTAGAGCAGAATGAAAACTCCTCCTACACGCTTTAACATGTGCTCGGTTGGGTGCTGATAGACGTCACAAGACTTCTCTAAATTCTGATGAGAAAAGGTATTTAGTAGTATATATTTACTAATATAATTGCACTTCCATGTTCTGTGTACTGTGGGAGACCAGATATTGTGAATGCAGGGTCCTGGGTTTAGTAACACTTTAATCAGTGAACACAGTACTTCCTGTAATAGGCTGAAATGGAGAGGCAGGCAGATGGCATCACCATCTCCACCTCAACAAATTGGAAGAAGCCCTCTTATTGAGGAAATATAGGCCTTCCTATGAATGGCTGAGCAGTGCTCAGTTCGACTTGATTTTGTTCTGGAAGTGGGATGGGTAATCCCTGTCTTAGTGCTGTATACAGTATGTAGCTGATACTACATCCAATTTATGCAGTGCTCCCAGCAGGTGCATCTGTTAATGAAGCAAATAGCTGGGACCAGCTTGGTCCAAATGAACTATATAAAGTGTCAAGTAACCTGAAGTTAGGCTTGGATTCGTCTCATTCCTGTCAAGCTCACTCTAGATCTGTGAGTGCTTATTTGGCTTTTTCAGCTTTAGAGTGTTACTAAACCCAGGACCCTGCATTTACTGTGCCTTATCTCCCACAGTACACAGAACATGGAAATGCAATTATTTTTGTGAATCTAAACTGCTAAATACCTTTTCTCATCAGCAGTATATAGCAGTCTTGTGACTTCTATCAGTGTCCAGAAGAGCACTGGCTAAAGCTTGTAAGAAGAGTTTTCTTTCTCCCCTGATTGTCCTATGAGGCTGCATAACCCCTGACCCTCTGGACATCGCTGCTTGGCCCTGTGCTGATCACATGCACTCTCCCAAAGGAAAAAAACTCTCTAGCAATGCACACCAAACTGAGCATGTGCAGCTTGTCTCCAAGGCTCTGTTCTATCATCAGATGGATTGGGGACAGTAGCAGGGGAGGATCAAAGAAGACAGGATCAAACATGCTTTTTACATAATGTAGAGGATTAACTCCTTAGGTTCCACAGTGAGTATAACTAGCATGCTTTACCACTTTAAGTGTTTGTTTCCCAGAATTGCAAGGCTGTCTCCTGGTCTTCTGTTCACATTATTTCTAAGTTTTAAGAAGTGAATGTATCATTTGTCGGATTCAAGTGCAAGGTCTTTCAGATGGCTCTTTGAGCTGCAGGCAGTCCCCAGTTCTGTTGGTGTTTATAGGCCTATTAATGCTTTGTCCACCCCTCATTTGGACTGCTTTTGGATGTCCGGTGCCTCATTGGGCGAGACAGAAAATGGAATTGCCCAAAAAATCCTTGGAGTTGATTGCTGGGACACAGGTCCCACCCCTCAGAGTTTCTGATTATGCTCTTGGTACTGCTCTAAAGCAAAACTGAGGATTTCTAGGAGTAGGAGGGGTTATTCGGGGCTGGCCCACAATTTGTTTTGTTTGCCAGTGTCCAATCCTCCTGTAGGCCGCTGTATAACCTGATGGTTTCTGAATTCTGTGTCCCTCAAAGGACTTGCCTAATCCTAAGAAATGGATTTTACGGTAAGTACAAAATCCCATTTTCTCTACTGCTAGAGCGATATCTTAGCACAAATAATACATACATGTATCACATGATTAGCAGCTATTAGGAGTAAGCCCAACTTCCCTTCCCTTTCCTCTTTGTGTCTCCATTATAAAATCCTTTCGTTTTCTCTGCTGATACCTGGCTATTAGTCCACTTGTCCCCTCTTGGCCTCTTGAGCCCCAGGAAAAAGAAGATCGCCAAGCAAGTACTTAATGGCATGTTCCCCTTTTCTCCTTGTTTACTTGCTTCTTTCCAGCTGGCTATTGTCTTTCATATTACAATGTAATGTATTCATTGTATGAGCTCACTATGCTTTGGCCTGCAACAAAGGGCATCCATTTTATCATCTGCTTCATAGGCACATGCCTGGAAAACATCAGCGCTGAAATAGCTGAGCAGTTAATTTCACATTATTATCTGCAGTAAGTGAAAGTGATGTGCAGTGTAATAATGATGAGTATGTACTGTTGATTTGTTAAAATCAGATAAACATTTAACCAGATTATTTAACTTGTTTCCTTGCCTTTGATTTCTCTGCAGTTAAATTTGAGCAGAATTTTTCAGTGTGATTTAGGCTAACCTCCCGTAGACATACTCTACATCATTATACTTAAAGCATACTCACTTAACAATATGGCTTCATGGGGAAAAAATTGTACCGGTGCTAAAGTATTAGGCCTTCCTGAATGTCATTTCTTTTCTCTACAGTGTCCCCATCGGAACCCCCAGTCAGTGATTCCTGGGCCCGCCTAAAGCACAGTCGGGATTGGTTGTGTGGTTCCACTTGTGCCTTTGATCCAGATTCAGAAAGCAGCAAAACACTTGGTGTACACACGCTGATAGACAATGTACTGAGCTTCGTAAGTGGGGATGTAGGTAATGCTCCTGGCTTTAAAGAGCCTGAAGAAGGCATGTCTAGCTCTCCCCAGGCCTGTATCATTGCAATGGAACAACAACAGCAACGTGCTGAGGTATTTTATTTACTGCAAACCTTTAATATCTTCTAGGTACAAACTGTAAATACGGAGAAACAAATATAAAGTGCTTTACAAACGTATTCAATTTCCTTGGTATTCATCCTTTTTTGTTGTATTTGAGTCAGGAATTAAATCTATTTTTTTCTGGGCTTTGTACCATGCAATGTACACAACAAGCCCATGAAATTGAAGGTAAAAATTTTTTTTTTAATTACTGTAGACACAGACAATACAAAATACAATAAATAAAAAAAAATCCTTGAGTGCATAAGTATTCACCCCCTTTTCTATGAACCATTTTAAATAAAATGTGGTCATATCAATTTAATTTAGAAGTCCCAGTTAGATGATTGCATAAGGTCCACCTGTGTGCAATCAAATTGTCTGTCATGATCTGTCACATAATGCCACTATGAATACAATACATTTGTTTTGAACAGGCCCCTGAGTCTGCAACACCACTAAGCAGCAACATGAAGACCAGTGAGCAAGTCAGAGAGAAAATGTGGGGAAGTATAGATCAAGATTAGGTTATAAAATTTATCCCAAACTTTGAACAACCCATGACGCACCATTAGATCCATTATAACAAAATAGAATATGGCACCACTACAAACCTGACTAGAGGACAACCCACAGACCAGGCAAGAAGGATATTATTCAGAGATGTAACAAAAACACCAAAGGTAACACAGAAGGAGCTATAAAGATTCACAGGGGAGATGGAGTATCTGTCCATTGGACCACTTTAAGCTGTATACTCCACAGAGCGGGGCTTTGTTAAAGAGTGACCAGTAAAAAAGGAAAAAGGTTCTCTGGTCAGATCAGAGTAAAATTTAACTTTTTGGCCATCCTAAAAACACACTGTGGGGTTGATTTACTAAAACTGGAGAGTGCAAAATCTGGCCTAGCTGTGCATTTTAGCCATTCATCATCTAACTTCAGCTTGCTCAATTAAGCTGGAATCCTGAAAGCTGATTGGTTTCTATGCAGAGCTGCACCAGATTTTGCACTCTCCTGCTTTAGTAAATGAACTCCTATGTGTGGCAGACACCCAGCAGCACGTAGCATCACCCTGAGCACAACATCCCCACACTGAAGAATGGTGGTGACAGCATTATGCAATTGGGATGCTTTTCATTTCCATGTATTGATAAACTGGACAAGATTTAAAGATGGATGGCGCTAAATACAAGGCAGTTTCTTGAAAAAAAACCTATATGAGTTTGCCAGAGATTTGGGACTGGGATGAAGGTTTACCTTCCAGCAGGACAATGACCCAAAACATACTGCTAAAGCTACACTGGATTGGTTTAAGGAGAAACACTGAAATGTCTTGGAATGACCTAGTCAAGGCCAAATTTAAATCGAATCGGGAATCTGTGGAATGATTTGAAGTTTGCTGTAGACCAATGCAGCCCAACTAATTTGAGCTTTGAGCAGTTTTGCCTTAAAGAAGAGGTAAAAATACCAGTGTCTAGATGTGCTAAGCTAATTGAGATATACCCCAGGAGAACTGTAGCTGTAATTTCAGAAAATGGTGGTGCTAAAAGTAATGACTTTGAATACTGATGCACACTCAAAATTTCTGTCCTAGTTATTGTGTGTGTGTGACAACAAACATGTTTTCACCTTCAGAGTTGTAGGCACATTGTGTACATCACATGATGCATAACCCCAAAAAATCCATTTGAATTCTAGGTTGTGATGTAACAAAATAGAAAAGAAACACTAAGGGTGGAGGAAGGTGAATACATTTCTTTAGTATTTCAGTATGTTGGAACAGAATTGCTAAAAAGTTAGATATTATATCATAACAGAAACTGCCTGTAAGTTCTATGTATTATGTTATCCCCTCATTGAGTTCGAAGCTATTTTATTCTTAATGTAGCTCAAGAAAAATGGAAATGTCTGTAGCAAATGATGAGCTATGGGCTACCGTTACTCTAGTAGTGCATGCAAGCCCAAAATATGAAAGTGCTTCTATAGGCAACAGGTGAAACTTGCACTAATAATGCCATCCAGCAAACAATGCAGCTGATCTAGTCTAGTTGTCTGTATTCCACCACACTCAGATTTTTATAAATGGAGGACAGATGTGTCTACATCATAAAGTGTGTGTGGTGTGCTACTTTTTTCTCTGTGCTGTCATCAATCTAATTCAAACTTCCAAGGTAGATTTGAATGCAGTTAATGATTTATGATTCAGTGTTCATTCCTTTTTCAGGGAGTGTTTTGTGCGTTGTTGTTTTTTTGTTTTGTCAAGACACGCTTATGTTTGTGAATGGTAGCTCTTAAAGAGAGAGCATAAATATGTTTTCAGTGCAGGGGCGGACTGACCATTTGGAAACTCGGGCACTGCCCGAGGGCCCGAGGTCAGTAGGGGGCCACATGAGATGCCCCTGGTACCTTTTTCATAGGCTTTTTTGAATTTGGGCAAGGACACGGGCCCCATGATCCCCTATTGCCTGGGGGGCCCCATGAGTTGTCAGTCCGTCCCTGTTTCAGTGAATACATATTTTGAGTTGTTAGTGCTTTACTGTAAATCATTTTTATATGATTTTTTTTTACAAGATTTGTTCAGTAGAGGGAGATGTATGGGGCCATTTCTTTCTTTCCCTCTCTCTCTGTCGGTGTGTGTGCCTTCCACTGTCTTTGTTTCTCTCTCAGCAGTATAGGTAAGAATTTTGCCATGTAGGCTTTGCATTGTTTTCAGTGGGTTGGCCGACTCATATACCTTCATCGTGAGCGTTCAGAAAGCTCCGTTAAAGTGCAGGACTGCAGGTAGCAGAGCCTGCATATATAATCTGCAAATATGACTGACCCCATGAACATATATAAGTAAAAATTCTATACAGAACAATGTATTTGAATGTGAAAGTGGAGCTCCTGGCACATAGTTCTTTGTAACTTCTGGTGTGTAAAGAAATGTCACCTCTGCTCAGTTGTAATAAATGGGCAAATCGTTTCATAGTAATTTAATATAGTGCAACACAGTGGTTAAATGGTTAGCACTTCCGCCTGGCAGTACTGGGGTCGTTGGTTCGAATCCCAACCACTGCACAACCTGCCTGGCGTTTGCATGTTCTCCCTGTTCCTCCATGGGTTTCCTCCGGGTACTCCAGTTTCCTCCCACACGCCAAAGACATGCTAATAGGTGAACTGGCTCCTGTCTAAATTGGTTCTAGTATGTGTATGTATGATTGTAAGTTAGGGACCTTAGATTGTACGCCCCTTGAGGGTTCGGGTCTGATGTGAATGTACAATATATATCTAAAGCGCTGCGTAAATTGACGGCGCTATATAAGTACCTGAAATAAATAAAATAAATATAAATTATTTTTTCCTGGTGAGTAGTAAAGCTCCTGATGTACTTCCGGACAGCTTGGATGTGGAAGCTGCTGGTCTTGGATTGCTTCACAGAAATTTAAAATTTCTTTCTGACAAGTTCTGCAAGTCTAAGCATTGATTAAAGCTGAGCAGGGTAAGAGTTCCTTATTCATCAGAACTTTCAAAACCTCTGTGCTCGGAGTTCCACTTCAACAAACATTGATAAGAAATCAACGTTATGCAAATAACACTGTTCAACAGGTAAAATGTTTTGGGCATAAAATTAGCTAATCTTACATAATTTTGGGGTGCTGAAAACGAAAATGACCCTAAAAAATGTTGATTGGCTCTAGTTTCCATGATATATTCACCCATCTAATGACGTAAGCCATTCAAAATTATGATGCAACTTCAGCTGCATATTGCGCAATTGATACTGGTGACCAATAGAAAATTGCATGTATACTGAGATGATGCAATATTAGCCTTTAATTGCATCACTTCACTGCATAAAAGCTGCAGTATCTGTAGCTGATTGTAGTTCGACAGCGTCTTTACATTTCGTTTTATGCTTATATAGGCTACTCAGTAATGCCTCGAACTTGTGTGAATAAAGCAGATAATTTCTGCTATATCTGCGGTGAAATAACTTTTTATCTCACAAAAAAGGAGGATAACAGGAATGATTAAGAAAGCCTACAACTTGTATTTTGGCTGCAAGATAGGAGACCAGGACAAGAGCTGGGCACCACATATATGCTGCAATTCTTGTGGGACGGCACTGGAGCAATGGTTGAATGGAAAAAAGGCATCTATGCCTTTCGCTGTGCCAATGATTTGGAGAGAGCCAACAGATCATGTTAGTAATTGTTACTTTTGTATGGTGCCTCCAATTGTAAAAGGGCTAAATAAGAAGAAAAAGTTATCTGTGCACTATCCAAATATTCCATCGGCAATACGTCCAGTTCCTCATGGAGAGGGGCTACCAATTCCTAAAGCACCAGAATCCTTCGTGGTTGAGTCAAGTGAGGAAGAACCTGAAGCGTGTAGTCACGTGCAGTTGTAAGAGATAGCCCTTTCCTCGAATACAAGAGAAAAAAAGCCAAGAGAAGCAAAACCGACACAAACTGAAGACAAAACTAGTGAGAATCCTAAGTATTAAAATGATTCAACTTAGCTTATGGCTATAATTTTTCTTGGTAATCCTATGCAATATATTATGCCATTTAGGCTTTGTTATGTAGTCAATATCACTTGCTTTATATTTGTGGAAAGACATCTATCTATATAATTATTGTGCATTATGTAGTCATTACGCCTATAGTAGAAAACTTTCCGTTTACAGAAAAACTAGAGCCAATTGACAAATTTCATTGTTATATTTGAACTCAGAATGTGAAATTCATTAAGAAATGGATCCTTTTGTTTCCAAAACTGGCAAAAAATAAAAATTTGTTGAACAGTGTAATCTTATGTGTTTATCTAAAACATTTTCTGTTTTCCGTTTAGCTGCGTTTGGAAGCTTTGCACCAAATCCTTGTCCTGTTGTCTGGGATGGAGGAGAAGGGAAATGCTCAAACACTAGGCAGCCGCCAGTCATCTGCCACTTTTCAGTCCTCCTCCCTCCTCACTTCTGTTAGATTGCAGTTTCTTGCTGGATGCTTTGGGCTGGGTACAGTGGGTCATACAGGCTCCAAAGGTGAATGTGTCCATCTGCATCACTATCAGGTAAAACCAGTGAAAATGGCTAAGCACAGTGTGTTGGTATGTTTTTGTAACAATAAATACATTTTTATATTTGTTATTAGGATGGAATACGTGCATCAAAGAGAAATATTCAGACTGAGATCCAAAAAGCAGTGCACAAAATCTACCAACAGCTGTCTGCTACCCTAGACCGTGCTCTGCAAGCCAACAAGCACCATGTGGGTGAGTACATTAGCCGCCTCGCTGGGACTTACTCTGCAGTAGTACAGAGAGAGGGGTGAATTCTTTATACATGATTTTTTTTTTTTTTTTCAGTAGACACCAGTAAGCGTTGCTCTGTGTTTGGAGAGAACTTTCTTTTCTTTGTGGTTATTAAATTCCTAATTTGCTGGTGACATAACTGAGTGGTCTATTGGTTTTACTCGTTTCAGTTCTGCAATAAATCTTTTCTCATTTCAGAGGCACAGCAGCGTCTACTATTAGTGACGGTCTTTGCCCTCAGCGTACGATACCAGCCTGTAGATGTGTCTCTAGCAATTTCTACAGGTCTACTTAGTGTTCTTTCCCAGTTATGTGGTACTGAGACTATGTTGGGACAACCACTTCAGCTGCTACCCAAGTCTGGAGTTTCCCAGTTGAGCACTGCACTAAAAGTAGCCAGCACCCGACTGCTACAGATCCTTGCAATTACTACAGGGTGAGTATCTCACAAAATGTTTTATTTATTCAAAAGATTCTACTGAAAAGTACTATAAAATGTTTTATTCTTGTGTCAACCGTATATTTGACAGCCCTTATGTAGTATTTGTTTTACTACATAATTGAGAAACCGCAAAGACTTTATTGTAAGACCTCACAGTACACATACTGTAAATGTACACAATGTTAAAGTGTTACTAAACCCACTACAGTAAAATCAGTCTGTATATGCAGTAAAGCATGCTTGTTATACTCACTGTGGAACCTAAGGGATTAATCCTCCGCATTGTGCAAAAAGGATCTTTGAAAAGCTGTTTGATGCTGACTTCTCTGATCCTCCCCTTCTGCTGTCCCCAATCCATCTGTTGGGAGAGTGCATGTGATCAGCACAGGGCCAATCAGCGCTTTCCAGACAGAGGGTCACGAGTTATGCAACCTCATAGGGCAATCAGAGGAGAATGAAAACTCCTCCTACAATCTTTACTCAGTGCGGTGCTGGACACTGATAGAAGTCACAAGACTGCTCTAACTGCTGATGAAAAAAGGTATTAACTAAAATAATTGCATTTCCACGTTCTGTGTACTGTGGGAGACCAGATATAGTTAATGTATGGTCCTGGGTTTAGTAACACTTTAACTTAGGGCTTAAATAAATGTATAGTCATTTATTACTGCTCATTTTCCACACTGCATTAGCCACAATATAACACTCTAAGTTATGTGCAGCCTTTTGTGAGAATGGCAGACATGAATAGCCTTGTGCAAATTTCAGACTCACAGTGATACTGGGTGAACTGGTGGCATCTCAGGGTAGATAGGAAGTAATGTGGCTTGTAAATTCAACCAGCTTATGGTGAAGTGAACCTGCTGCTTTTCCTATTTATGAAACCTGATTAACTTTATTTGTAATCTTCTCTGGGCAGTGGTCCGGGGGCCAGATGCAGCCCTTTGCTTACTTTTACCTGGTCCTTGGAGCGCTACTTCATCCCAATGACACCAGTGATGGGGTGCAATTCATCCCAATGACACCAGTGATGGGGTGCAATTCATCCCAATGACACCAGTGATGGGGTGCAATTCATTCCAATGACACCAGTGATGGGGTGCAATTCATCCCAATGACACCAGTGATGGGGTGCAATTCCTCCCAATAACACCAACGATGGGGCACAGTTCCACCCAATTGCTCCAACAATTGGGCCCAATAACACCAATGACAGGGTACAAGTCCTCCCAATGACACCAGCGATGGTGCACGATTCCCCAATGACACAATGATGGGGCACAGTTTAGCACCAAAAGGGGGGCATTGTTTGCTCCCACTGATACTGGGACACTTTCTACTCCCAATGTCCACAGTCCGTCCCCCCTAAAGTCTGATGGACCGTAAACTGGCCCTTTTGTGTATATATAGTTTTGAAGACCCCTGTTCTAGGGCAATAGCATACTAGCAATCCTGATGGAATTGCTATACAGGGCAGAGAAATACTCACCTGTTTCCATACTTCACTCCCTCACTTTGTATGCCAAGTGTTAAAGCATAAAATGTACACATTTGTTCCACGTCAGTGGGCATACTGATCATATTATTTTTAATATTTAAATTAAAATGTTAGTGAAAGTTATTGTTACCTATATTTATTTAGTTCTTTACTGACGCTATCGCCGGAAGATTTGCCATTCACTAAAAATTCTGGGTTTTTTTTGCAATGAATTACAGCAAAATTAAAATGAGTACACTTATACTTTTCTTTGTAATATTCAACACACATCCCTTTTTGTTTTTGTAGATTTCTAAGTATGTAAAGTTTATGTTGCAGCTTATTGACTATTCTGTTTTTGTTTTTCTTGTTTAGGACATATGCGGATAAGTTAAGCCCTAAAGTAGTCCAGTCATTGCTTGACTTACTTTGTAGCCAGCTGAAAAACCTTTTGTCTCAGGCTGGGGTTATGCCATCCTTTGGAGAAGAGGAAGAAGACAGGAAGGCAGATCTTATTGGAGAAAGTGAAAGAAAAGACTACAGAGGTATGATTACCAAAATAACTTCACTTGGTTTAGTATGTTTAATTGACATAAAATGCTTTCTATAGACTGAATGAGATGAGTAATTCCAGGTGTGATGTATGTGGTGTTATATGTTCATGAGCCACTAGCAGTCTGGAATTTGTCTGTGGTTGCTGTTGTAGGTTCTATAGTCCTTCCACTAAAAGGCTAATCTTTGTGTACAGTGTTTTTTTTTTTTTTTTTGTTTTTTTTTCCCTCACATTAGCATCACTTCAACAGCAACAGGAATATACCACTAGTTAAGAGGAAAGTGACATCACACCATCTAAATGTATTTTTTTCTACTCTTTACAGCTACCCTTAGGAAACAGCGCACAGCTGAGCTTCATCTTGGAGACTTTTTGGTCTTCCTTCGTAGAGTGGTGTCTTCCAAGGCTATCCAGTCAAAGATGGCATCTCCCAAATGGACAGAGGTGTTGCTGAATATTGCCTCTCAAAAGTGCAGCTCAGGTAATCTAACATCAGATCAACTTGTGCATATGAAGCTAGTAGACTATAATAATGTTGTCTAATTCCAACAAACTGGTCCTTCAAGATTTTTACCTCTGTTGAAATTGAAGTAATTCACACATCTTATGACAGCTGATGTTTTTGCACAGGTGTTCCACTTGTAGGGAATCTCAGGACCAGGCTCCTCGCCCTGCATGTGCTAGAAGCTGTATTACCCGCTTGTGAATCTAGTGTGGAAGATGACCAAATGGCACAGGTGTGATACTTAGATTCATAATAATTGGGAATGTAATAACATTTGAAATCCTGAAAACTAAGGGGTCACTTTATCAATTAATTCAGTTGTAAGTTTTTGATGCCAATGCTTTTTATTTTTTTCCCTTTCAACCCATTTGTTAAAGTGGAACTTTATCCATAACAACTTAATAAAATATTATGTTCTTTAACAAGGAACATGCATTCCACATTATTAATTATGCTACCAAAATGAGTGTGTTCCTGTTTCTTGTTGCTGGAGGCTGCCATTTTGCCGAAGCCCAGAGCCCCTGAGCAGCAATAAATCTTTAGGCTGTCAGCAGACCAGCCTCTACGTTTTCAGAACAGTCCTGAAAAATAGAGAGCAACTGAGCTTCTGCAGAGCAGGGTGAGACCATGTATTACTAAATTTTAAACAGTATAACCACTTATCTTTAATGTTTTATACACAAAAGGGGCCAGCATGAAGTGATCTAGCAGGACTTAATTTTCTGACGAACGTTCCACTTTAAAGAGACAATGTCACTTTGCCCATACAAGACAAAGTTAAAAGTTAGAACATGGTGTTTATTCTCAGCCTGTTTGAGGTTGGATGATGAGGAAAAACATGCTATTCACCCATGGGCTGTACCTCACTCATCAGACATCAGTTTTCAGACTTGGCTTAGTGTCTGGTCATACTGGTGCAATTTACAAATTGAAATTGCATCTAATATATTTGAATGTCAGTGTCTTAATGTGCGATTTTGCTGAAGTGCGATTTATATAGTTCTTGCATTACTATAATGGAAATCACACTGCAAATTGCAAGAAATCATTGAAAATCTTCACAAGTAGCAATAAAGTCTTTAGAAATTGTGCCTGAAATCGCATTGAAATTGCACACAAATCGAGCGATTTTGAATCGCATCGATGTGACCAGTGACTTAGTGTCCCTGGGAGGAAGTTATAGTTCAGCCATAGGTCCGCATTATTTTTAAATGTTTTTGTATTTCTTGATGTCATAAGAAAAAAGACTAAACATTTTCCTTGATGCTACTTGCAGCTCAAGCAGATTCTGAGTTCCCCTGCTGCAGTGTGGCATAAAGAGATGAAATTTCAATTTTCCCGGTTTCATTTTTACCACCATTGATAAAATAATCGATTTTTTTTTTTTTTTTTTTTTTTTTTTATTATACAAGAGAGATTTGGATGGTGACCTTTTGTTGAGTCACCTTTTCCTGGCTTTCAGGAGTTTAATATGATCTTTTGCTGCCTATTTGTCATTTTATTTCTAAAGCATGTGATTTTCTGCACTTTGGGTGTCAGTTTAATACAAGGGCAGAAAAATAAACTCACAGAAATGATAAAAAATAGCTGTCAGTATATGTCAACCTGTTGTTATTTTTTTTTCTACTACTTTGGCCTAGTTTTCAGGCTTGTTTGTGGTTTCCGTTTGTAACAACCATTTTTGCTACATAAAATACAAACATAAAGGCAAAAGAGCAAATGGCCAAAGTACTCCCAAGATCTTGATTTGTCTGTCATAGTATTACTATTTCTTACACTTTCAAACACCTTGGAGAATAATTTTTGTTTTGAAAAGCAGTGAGATCTTTAGGAAATGTAGGACCACAAGGATAACTCTTCCCTTTTATCCTACAGGTGGTAGAAAGACTTTTCTCTCTCCTCTCAGACTGTATGTGGGAAACGCCCATTGCTCAAGCTAAACATTTTCATCAAGAAAAAGAGCAAGAGGCAAAACTTCAGGTAATCCAACATGACCTTTCAAGGACAAAAAGCCTGATAAGTCTATTTTGCATTTGGCAAAGGTAATCAGTGAGTTTCTTTATTGCAGAAGCAGGGTGAGCTTGAGGAGGAGGAGGAAGACCTACCTATCCAAGAAGTCTCCTTTGATCCAGAGAAAGCCCAATGTTGCCTTGTGGAAAATGGCCAGATTCTGACTCATGGGAGTGGTGGCAAAGGTTATGGCTTGGCATCAACAGGAGTAACATCAGGCTGCTATCAGTGGAAGGTATATAATTGGTCCTGGGATTCCTGAAGGGTCTTTCTATAGTTCATTGCTACTTTATTGTTTGTAGCAGTTTATGAAAGGGTTTGACTTGATTGTGGATTGTTGGGCTTCTTTAACTTGTTCCCGCCTGGCCAATAGGAAAATGACGGCTGAGTGGGACTCTCGTCGATTCGGGTGGGCATCTTATGATGTCCTTGTGTCGTACCTCTGACACAGCCGATGACCAATCTATGTACCGGCCCATACCAGTACCATGTGACCTGCTGTGACGAATCACAGCAGGTCACATGACAATTGTAAACAATGGATGGCTTCCTTTCATGCCATCCATTTATACAATTGTGTCACTAGCTGAGATTGGTCACAATGATCACATGCATAAACTGGGCCAATCACAGCCCATCTGTGTCATGTAATTAGCCGTGGCACAACAAAAAAACACAGCTAATCACAACAAAAAAACCTGAATGAATCGATTTTCATTCAGTTAAATGCATTATTATAGCAAAGAAATTCTTTGCTATAAGCAATAATATTGTGTAAAAAAAAAAAAAAAAATATTGATCACTTCACTTTTTTTTTTTAATTTAGCAAAAAATAAAACCCCAGTGATGATTAAATACCACAAAAATAAATCTCTAGTTGTGTGAACAAAATGATACAAATTTAGTTTGGGTACAGCGTTACATGACTGTGCAATTGTCATTCAAATGCTGAAAGCTGAAAATTGGCCTGGGGCAGGAAGGGTGTAAAAGTGCCAGGTATTGAAATGGTTAAAGTGGGTTTTCACACAGCCGAGGATGCTGGCTACATGAATCACCCACCTGTTGCCCCTATCCCATTCAGTGTCTGGTGACGTTATCTTCACACCAAGTTTTGCATCAATCTGTTGACACTGTTATTAATACATGGATCCTTCTTTCAGATTTTTTTTTTTTTAAAGGGAAGCTATCAGGCTAGAAATGTATCAGCTGGTATTGCAAATGTTTTTCTTTTTTAATCTTTATAGTTTTTTTACTACTTGGTTCGTCTGGAACAAATATGGAGCCAGAGATTTCAAATAAAAAGCAAACACCATTGTTTAGTATCAATGACATGGGAAATGCATTATTTTTGTTGGCTAAATATGAATTATTGCATATTATTATTGTGCTTTCTCCTTTTAAACCAGCAGGTGGAGCGTTAGGCTCTTTTTCATGATTACACCCTTGGCTTCTTTGATAGAATGCTTGTTTAGAAAACCCAATAGTTCAAGCAGATTAGGACATGTAAATTAACTATTCAGCCTCAAAGCAGGATGTCTCTTCAGTTAACTCATAGTGCACTATGGATAATTTATCATATAATAAAAGTTTGTTAATGAAACACTGATTGCCTATAGATTGATAAAATTGATATTCAAAAAAAGAATTTTAGCTTCCCTTTGAAACATTAAAGTTCACCTTTACCAAAAAATTGCCTATGCAGATCAGGGCCTTCTGTAGATAAAAACAACCTGCATCTTTGACCACAGTTGAGTAACACCCTTGCTAAGGACATTGCTCAGAGAGTTGTTACTGTTTACCTCCACCGTCACAGGAGTGAGCTCTTTCTCCGATTAAAACCCCCTCACGTGCTCTTTCTCTCCCCTGATGCAGTAACTCTGAGTTCAATGTATGAGAGTTCACTCCTGTCATGGTGAAGGTGAATAGTAACAGCTAGGCATGTTTTCTACCATAATGAAAATTTTATTCAGCTATGTGAAGTGATGTAACATTCTTTTGCTTCTGCTGTGTGATGAGACACCTAGCTAACAGGTGGGAAGCTTCACTTTTGTCATTCACTGTGTGAGCTTCAAAGAGGGCAAATTGTGCCTGCTTAGCTGGTGCCTCTGTGATTGAAGTTGCCAATTTATTCGCCGTGTTGTAAGGTACGGTATCACAGGTTATGACTGCGTATACAGTTTCCGGGAAAGCATAGCCTGAGAGCATAAGGACAGTGGACATGGTCAGCTGACCGAAAGACAAAAGGACATTGCACAGGATTGTGACCAGGGGCGGACTGACCATTTAGCCACTCGGGCACTGCCCGAGGGCCCTGGGGTCAGTAGGGGGCCCCATGGGATGCCCCTGGTACCTTTTCATAGGCTTTTTTGGGTGTGGTTTGAGTGTTGGCAAGGACACACGGGCCCCATGATTTCCTATTTCCCAGTGGCCCCATGAGTTGTCAGTCCGCCCCTGATTGTGACCCAGAATGAAAAAACCACAGTTGCAAACTGCAGTGACCCTTTGTGAGACTGAGATTGAGCTCTGCAGTCACTTTTGCAACAGTTTTTTTTATTTTGGGTAACAATCTTGAGCAATGTCCTTTCATCTCTTTTGGCCAGTTGATCGTGTCAACTGTGCTTATGCTTATCAGACGACATTTTCCCGGAAACTTTATACGCTGTCATAACCTTTGATACTGTAGCTGTGAAATGGCAAATAAATTGGCAACTTCAGTCACAGAGACACCAGCTAAGTGGGTACCAACCATTTGCCTTCTTTGAAGCTCAGTAAGCTCTGACATGACTCCGTATTGCAAGCAGAGCACGCAGTGAATGACGAAAGTGAGGCTTCCCACCTGTAAGCTAGGTGTCTCATCACACAGCGTAAGCAAAAGAATGTCGCATCACTTCTGCTTTCAAACATGTCCTCACTTTCACACCTGCAAATCATGTCGTGTTTCCATTTTCTTGTCTAACCCCTGTATATATTTAATGTATTCTCAAGACACTGCTGATAAATGTTTTGCCAATAATACAGGTTTGGAATGAAAATATAATAATAATTGTTCTTTGAACACAGTTCTACATTGTGAAAGAAAATCGTGGTAACGAAGGGACCTGTGTTGGTGTTTCCCGCTGGCCTGTTCATGACTTCAACCACCGCACCACCTCTGACATGTGGCTGTACCGGGCATACAGTGGTAACCTGTATCATAATGGAGAACAGACTCTGACTTTGCCCAGCTTTACCCAGGGAGACTTTATAACTTGTGTCCTTGACATGGAGGCTCGGACTGTGTCTTTTGGCAAGAATGGAGAGGTGTGGAGACATTTACTTTCCTACAGTGTTTCAGACCTTTGAAAATTACTTTTGCATGTGAGAGTACACACTGTGTCACTCTTGTATAATTTTGAGTGCTACCTGTCCTGTATGTTCAAGGATTTAGTGTGGGCTAAGGCAGTTACGATTTTTATTAGTGTGAGTCTGCTTGTGATATACACCAATGAGCCATAACTTTACGACCACCTACCTAATATTGAGTAGGTGCCCCTTTTGCTGCCATAATAGCCCTGACCTGTTGAACCATGAACACCACTAAACCTCTTGAAGGTATACTGTGGTATCTAGCACCAAGCCGTCAGTAGCAGATCCTTTAAGTCATGTAAGTTGGGAGGTGGGGCTTCCATAGATTGGGCTTATTTTCCAGGACATCCCACAAATGCTCAATTAGATTGAGATCTGGAGAATTTGGAGGCCAAGTCAACAACTTGAACTAGTTTTTGTGTTCCTCAAACCATTCTTGAACGATTTCTGCATTCTACTGTAAGAGACTACTGCCATCAGGGAAAAGGTGTACTTGGTCAGCAACAATGTTTAGGTAGGTGATACATGTAAAGCACTATCCACATGGTTGGCAGGATCAGGACTGGTGCTACCAGTAAGCAAACTAGGCAGCCGCCTAGGGCGCAGCCACGGTCAAGGCCGCGATAGGTCAGTACAGCCGACCCTGCTGTAATATGAATTATATTTTTCCTGGGCTCCATCAGTTCACCACATTCCACAGATGCTTGATTGGATTTAGATCTGGAGAATTTGGGAGCCAAATCATCACCTTGAATGCGTAGTTGTGTTCCTCAGGGATTACTGTTTCCATGAAGAGGTGTACTTGATTAGCAACAATGTTTAGGTAGGTGGTAAATGTCAAGCAACAACCACATGAATGGCAGATCCCTGCAGAACATTGCCTAAAATGTCACCGGCTTCCCATACTGCCTCCTGGTGCCATCTTTTTTCTCAAGTAAGTGACATACGCAGACCTGGCCATTTCCATGTAAAAGAAAACATGATTCATTAGACCAACCCACCTTCATTCATTGCTCTGTGGTCCTGTTCTGATGCTCACATGTCCATTCTAGGCCCTTTTGACTGTGGACCCCAAGCAGGATGGGCACCCTGACTGATATGCAGCTACACAGCTCCATACACCGCAAACTGAATTGCTAATTTTTCTGCTTTCAACTTCAGGGACATGTTTACTTGCTGCCTAATATATCGTACAAAATTTCAGATGCCATTTGTAGTGAGATTCTTGTCAGTGGTCATAATTTTATGTCTGATCAGTATATACATTTGTTATTATGACTACTTTTTTGGTTGATGTATTATTTTTTTTTTTTGGATCAATTACTTTTATTCATACATAGTTTATTAGCAATAATGTATTGTCTTTATACAGCATAAATAAATGTGTATGTCATGTAACCTGCTTTTTATTGACAGGAGCCAAAGTTGGCCTTTGAAGATGTGGATGCAGCAGAGTTATACCCTTGTGTGATGTTTTACAGTAGCAACCCTGGAGAAAAGGTACAGTAGTCCACTCTTGTAAAGTTTACTGCTGGAAAAAAAGCATGCAGTGAAAGAGTAGATAAGCATAAAACAGGGATTGTGTTTTCCACATTGTAGGTGAAGATCTGTGACATGCAGATGAGAGGGACTCCCAGAGATCTGCTGCCTGGTGATCCCATCTGTAGTCCTGTAGCCACTGTCTTAGCTGAATCCAGTGTGCAACTGCTCAGAGTTCTTCATCGTACTGAGCGCTGGACTCATTGCATTAACAAGAAAATGGTGGAACGCTTACAGAAGATCAAAGGTTGCCTGAGAGAAGTAGGAGGCAAGCTAAAGAAAAGTCGTTCTGTCCAGAGTCGTGAAGAGCATGAAACACGAGATGAGAAAGAAGAAGAGAAAGGGAAACACGGCAGACATGGACTGGCTGAGCTGGGGGAAACACAACTCAAGACCCTTTGTGTGGAAGTATGGCCTGTTCTGGCTGTCATTGGAGGTGTCGACACGGGACTTAGAGTGGGTGGCAGATGTGTTCATAAACAGACAGGTCGACATGCCACTCTTCTCGGTGTTGTGAAGGAAGGCAGTACATCTGCTAAGGTTCAGTGGGACGAGGCAGAGATTACCATCAGGTATGTACATCTCTGTGCTGAAGCTTCATAGGTGCTGCTTGCATCCATGTCCTTCGTTTTTAGTATCTTCTGTATGATCATGCATTGGCCTGGAAGAGGCACTTTTTTTTCAGCTGTCTGTGGACATCTGCTCCTTAAGCTTTGACTTTCACAAAGTTTTCAGTTGTCCTAGCTCTAGAGTGATTGCAATAACTTGAGAAGATATTCTCTGCATATTGTGGATACATATGGAATGGGGCAACTCCAGCCTTTTGCATGAAAAAGGTTTGAAAACCTGCCTTGTAAGGTTTTTTGTTTTTTTATTGCTGTCTGTGTCTTCTGTTCCCAGTGATTTCCATTTTTTTTCTCTGTCCCATTGTCACAGTAAAACTAAGTGGAAAACTCCATTGTGAGGCCACAGACCGAGATAAAAACCTGATGGAAGTGCTCACCCTTCCTCATTCTAGTTAAAACTAAAATAATATTTTGGTTACAGTTGAGTTTTAACGTGCAATATGATATTCCAGCCAACCAGTGTGCCTCAACTATGGAAAAGTATATAGGAATTCCAACAGGGAAGAAATCATGTATACTCTTTGATGAGAATAGAAACTTTCTAGAGAACTTGCAGTGCGTGTGTATGTATGTGTGTATATGTACATATGTGTGTGTGTAAATGTTTGTCTATATTAGAGTTTTTCTCTTCTGATTACCTAATTGGTACTCTGTGATTGCATCTACAGTACTTTCCTCAGTAGCAGCCAGCATTTTTAAAATATCGATTACCGAGTAATCCTGAGTTATTTTTAAAGTGGTTATAAAGCCTGAACATTTTTCACCTTAATGCACTCTTTGCATTAAGCAGGTAAAAAATTATTTGCAGATAAAAAATGTTTAAGCATCAGTATCGCCCCTTCACCCTACCCTTTTACTTACCTGAGCCCTCATTTAATCCATCGTTGCGCCTGTCTGCAGCTCTTCTCTCCCCATCAGTTCTGGTTTCACAGGCTTTGCTGAGGCAGTGGGAGCCATTTGCTCCAGTTGCTTTCAATCAAAGCCAGTGATAAGGGAGTGGTGGGCAGAGGCTGCTGTCTGTGTGTATAGATGCAGACAGAGACTTGGGAGCTAGCTCGCATGACTACCCCCATAGAAAGTGGCTTTCTATAAGGGTACTCACCAGAGAGGAGGAGCCAGGCATGCCAGTAGGGGACCAGAGAAGATGAGGTTCGGGCCTCTTTGTGCAATGTGATTGCACAGAGCAGGTAAGTAATAAACCTGTTTGTTATTTTAAAATATGCATTTGCAATCACTTTAGGCTATCTAATTTCTTTAAGCATTCCTGTCATGCATAGCTAATACATGATACAGTATGTCTCCAGCGTACTTTGCTGTCTGTGCTATTCTCCGGTCTTTGGCTGCATTCTGTTTTAGACTTTTCTCTTATCCTCTCTATGTCACTGTCTGTCTTGTGTCTACTGTTCTTGTCTGCTCCTATCTCTGTGGCACAGCACTTGCTCTGATATGCTTCCTGTGTGTCAGTGACTTGGCAACTGTGATTGTATCAACATAATTTCCTGTATTCTCCTCTTGTCTATCCCTCACTTGCCTTTTCCTGTGTCGTTCTAATTTTTTTTCTCAACCAAAGCTTCCCAACTTTTTGGTCGCCTAGTGACACACCTCTCTACAATCTGGAACCTTGTGATCCCCCACCTTTTGATGTGGCTCGTTTCCGTGGGCTGACTGCCTCCACCCTACTTGATCTTACATACCTAACAGGCATCCATGAAGACCCTGGAAAGGTCAGTGCCAAACGACACGAAAAGAAGCACCGCCATGAATCAGAAGAGAAAGGAGAACAGGAACAGAAGGGAGATCCTGAGAACACAGATCGGACATCAGAGGAGAAAATCAGCAGCAATTTAACGTCAAAATCAGAAAATGAGTCGATTGGTCTTTTGGGAGACAATGCAACCACTGATCAGCAGCATCACCTTATTGATGGGAAGCGGAAAAGTCATGACCACATACCAAGGAGCCATGATATTGCCCAATCTGAAATCAGGGCTGTTCAACTGTCCTACATAAACTTGGGAGCCATGAAATCTCTTGGAGTGCTGCTTAGCTGCAGTAAATATGCAGAACTTTTACTTATCCCCAAAGTGTTGGCTGAAAATGGTCACAATTCAGACTGTGCCAGTTCTCCTGTGGTACATGAGGATGTTGAAATGAGAGCCGCCCTGCAATTTCTGATGCGTCATATGGTGAAGAGGGCGGTTATGCGTTCACCTATAAAGAGAGCCCTGGGGCTGGCTGATCTTGAGAGAGCACAAGCCATGATTTACAAGTTGGTGGTTCATGGGCTTCTGGAAGAGCAGTTTGGTAGCAGGATAAGACCAGGTATTTATTGTATACAATGTACAGTATATAACTTATTATTTAGCTGCATTTCTAAACCTGTTTGTTTTAAGGCTGTTTTTTCTTACTCCACCAGTACACTTTGCAGTTGTACAAAACATCTGGGTTGACCTACAAGAATTTACAAAGATGTCAAGAGGTCATTTCTGTCCAGTGCCAGGCATTTTCTACTGCTCAGCACTGCTCTTACCTGGCCAGGGTGTCCGATATTCTTCACCCTAGTAGAGGGATTTCTCTTTTTTATTTAGCAGCAGGGACAAATTTATTATAGCTTGATCTTATTTCAGGACCACGAGGGTGGGCAGGATCACTGTAAATCCGTATTACACAAAACAGAACGAAGCCTTTTGAGTAACTGTTTTCTTTAAGGCTAGTTTACATGTGCAATTAATATCTTGCAAATGAAATTTAACCACTTGCTGTTATTCTGCTCATTAAGCTGGGGCTATACATGGCACTTTTATTAGCTAATTTGTGCTTACTAGCAATTAATCTATAGGAGAAGAAATTGATTACTCAATAAAACAAATGTCTCCTGTTAAATAAGCTACATAAGTAGCACACAGTCACTAGCGCACGATTGCATAATGCATCGGTCATGTGCGATTGTATACTGCAAGAGGCTGCTTGTGTAGCCAACTTCATAGAGAACCATTTGTTCCGCAAGCAATTGGTAATCCTAGGGATTAATTGCAACTGATATATTTTAGTACCATCGATAAGCTACTAAAAATCTCAAATGTAACTCGCCTATTCAGGTAACTGCTGCCAATCGATTACATTATTCCAAGAGAACAAGAGATGAACATACAGTGAAGGAAATAAGTATTTGATCCCCTGCTGATTTTGAATGTTTGCCCACTCACAAAGATGTGATCAGTTTAAAAATTGAATGGTAGGTGTATTATAACACTGAGAGAATAGCAACAAAAAATTCAAAAGAAATGCATGTCTAACAAATGATGCACTGATTTGCATGTTCATTAGGGAAATAAGTATTTGATCCCCTATCATTCAGCAGGATTTCTGGCTACCAGGTGTCTTTCATACAGGTAACAAGCTGAGATTAGAAGCAGTCTCTCAAAGGGAGTGCTGCTAATCTCATTTTGTTACCTGTATAAAAGACACCTGTCCACAGGCGCAATCAAACAATCAAATTCCAAACTCTCCACCATGGCAAAGACCAAAGAGCTGTCCAAGGATTTCAGGGACAAGATTGTAGACATACACAAGGCTGGACTGGGCTGCCAAACTATCGCCAAGCAGCTTGGTGAGAAGGTGACAACAGTTGGTGCAATTGTTCACAAATAGAAGAAACACAAAACAACTGTCAGTCTCCCTAGGTCTGGTGCACCATGCAAGATCTCAGCTCGTGGAGTGTCATTGATCATGAGCACAGTGAGGAATCATCCCAGAACTACACGTCAGGATCTTGTCAATGATCTCCAGGCAGCTGGGACCACAGTCACCAAGAAAACAACTGGCAACACACTACGTTGACAAGGATTGAAATCCTGCAGTGCCCACAAGGTCCCTCTGCTCAAGAAAGCTCATGTCCAGGCCCATCTGAAGTTTGCCACAGAACATCTGAATGATGCAGAGGAGGACTGGTTGAAAGTGTTGTGGTCAGATGAGACCAAAATCGAGCTCTTTGGCATCAACTCAACTCACCGTGTTTGGAGGAGGAGGAATGCTGCCTATGACCCCAAAAACATCATCCAACTGTCAAATGTGGTGGAAACATTCTGCTTTGGGGGCGTTTTTCAGCTAAGGGGACAGTACAACTGCACCGCATCAGAGGGACCAAGGACGGGGCAATGTACTCTCAAATCTTGTGTGAGAACCTACTTCGCTCAGCCAGGGCATTGAAAATGGGTCGTGGATGGGTGTTCTAGCATAACAATGACCCAAAACACACAGCCAAGGCAACAAAGGACTGGCTCAAGAAGAAGCACATTAAGGTCCTGGAGTGGCCTAGCCAGTCTCCAGACCTTAATCCGATTGAAAATCTGTGGAGGGAGCTGAAAGTTCGAGTTGCCAAATGTCAGCCACCAAACATCAATGACTTGGAGAGGAGTGGGCCAAAATCCCTCCTGAGATGTGTGCAAACCTGGTGGCCAACCACAGGAAATGTCTGACCTCTATGATTGCCAACAAGGGATTTGCCACCAAGTACTAAGTCATGTTTTGTGAAGGGGATCAAATACTTATTTCCCTCATGAACATGCAAATCCGTTCATAATTTGTTAGACATGCATTTCTTTTGAATTTTTTGTTGCTATTCTGTCTCTCAGTGTTACAATACACCTACCATTTGATTTTTAGACTGATCATTTCTTTGTGAGTGGGCAAACATTCAAAATTCAGCAGGGGATCAAATACTTATTTCCTTCACTGTAGCCCCTGTGTATTTTAGCCCTTAATGTGTATTTGAAGCTAACTTGTCTCATTTTATTTTTATATATGCAGTCATGGCTAGAAATTTTGGCACTCCTGCATTTCTGTCAGATAATGCTCCACTTTGCCCAGAAGATTGTTGCAATTACAAATGTTTAGGCATTCTCATGTTTATTTCTTTTGTTTGTGTTGGTATGACACAAAAAAGTGGAGAAACAAAAAGCTAAATCTTACACATTCCATGCAAAACTACAAAAATGGACTTGACAAAATGATTGGCACCCTCAATTTAATATCTGGTAGCTCATGCCTTGGAAAAATAACTGAAATCAATTGCTTCCTGTAAACACCAATGAGTTTCTTACACCTCTACTGGAATTTTGGACCACTCTTCTTTCGTGAACTCTCCAGATTTTGCATATTGGAAGGGTTCCTTTTCCCATTTGCTGTTTTGAGCTCTCTCCACAGGTGCTCTATGGGATTGAGATCTGGACTCATTGCTTGCCAGTTCAGTACTCTCCAGCGCTTTGTCTTAAACCATTTCAGGGTGCTTTTTGATGTGTGCTTTGGGTCATTGTCCTGCTATAAGATCCATAATCTCTGATGGAGACCCAACTGTCTGACACTGAGTCCTACGTTGCACCTCATAATTCTTTGGAAATCTTCAGATTTCAAAATGCCATGCACACGGTCAAGATATCCAGTGCCTGAAGCAGCAAAGCAACCTCAAAATATTTATGAACCTGTCAGTATCCATCGCAGCGTGTGGCTCGGCGCAGTGTGCTGATTCGCACAAGCATGCGGGCACTAGGTCCTGGGCGGCTGCGACGACGGCTGCACTTGCGCATGCGCACTTGGGATCGCGGGCGCGCGCCTGGCACCAATGACAGTGCAGGGTGCGCTATTCAAATCCGCTCTGCACTGACACTGGTTGCCGTATGGTCTAATCTACCTGCTTCTGTGTACCTGTTATTTGATTGCTGCCGACCCTGCTTGATCCTGATCTTATACATGTAAAAATGATGTAGCGCTAGAACATATATACAATATATTCACACGGTCACCCGGTGGGATAACTTATGTCTCGATATTATCAACGTCCTACAATAGTGAGGAAATCAGCATGTGCACAGCCAAAATATGTGAAGTCCTTAGTGCACACAATAGAACACTGCAAACTAATCCACACATAAAAATCCAGTGATCCGTGTCACATTCCTCTTAGGCATGCAAAATAGGGGAATGTGTATGAACCCACAAACCCTCGAATGTGATCCTAGAATGGCTAGAGTGGCCTCTCACCTCCAGCCTGCAACCCTACAGGGCCACAGCGCTTAATGTAGACTCACACCCACAAGACTGGGGTAGGCTCCTCTTAATGCTGGATCATAAAGATGTCTCTGCAGCTTCCACCTCTCCTCTGATGTCCTTGCGGGCCAGTAAGCCGGATGTGTCCCAGCTCAGATCCCCATAAGATATAAAGACATATCCTCCATAGTGTAAAAACTGTTTATTAAAAGTCATAAAAACGAAGAAAAACACACTCACATGGGCCAAAAGACAAATCGCGTTTTCCCCATATGCTGGGTGTAAGCATAGACCTCAGAAGGTGTTCCAAAATGGCGCCACGCCGGAAGTGCGTCACCACGTCAAGCCGTCGACGCGTTGCGTCACGTGACCTCGTGACTTCATCAGGAGTCCTGATGAAGTCACGAGGTCACGTGACGCAACGCGTCGACGGCTTGACGTGGTGACGCACTTCCGGCGTGGCGCCATTTTGGAACACCTTCTGAGGTCTATGCTTACACCCAGCATATGGGGAAAACGCGATTTGTCTTTTGGCCCATGTGAGTGTGTTTTTCTTCGTTTTTATGACTTTTAATAAACCGTTTTACACTATGGAGGATATGTCTTTATATCTTATGGGGATCTGAGCTGGGACACATCCGGCTTACTGGCCCGCAAGGACATCAGAGGAGAGGTGGAAGCTGCAGAGACATCTTTATGATCCAGCATTAAGAGGAGCCTACCCCAGTCTTGTGGGTGTGAGTCTACATTAAGCGCTGTGGCCCTGTAGGGTCGCAGGCTGGAGGTGAGAGGCCACTCTAGCCATTCTAGGATCACATTCGAGGGTTTGTGGGTTCATACACATTCCCCTATTTTGCATGCCTAAGAGGAATGTGACACGGATCACTGGATTTTTATGTGTGGATTAGTTTGCAGTGTTCTATTGTGTGCACTAAGGACTTCACATATTTTGGCTGTGCACATGCTGATTTCCTCACTATTGTAGGACGTTGATAATATCGAGACATAAGTTATCCCACCGGGTGACCGTGTGAATATATTGTATATATGTTCTAGCGCTACATCATTTTTACATGTATATGATTATTGTCTGCCTGGTATAAGATTGGATGTTAGCAGCTGCAGAATACTTTGTGCATACCAGTTAGTATTTGCGTGTACCTGCATAAGAGCGCAAAAGGATTTCTCTTATTACAGTGATCCTGATCTTGCTGACTTCTCCTGCCCTGATCCCTGGCCTGTTTGACTTCTCTTTTGGATACCCTCATTGGATCTGACCTCCTGTTGTTACTGACCCGGCGAGTGACCCGACTATTCTGTGCCTGCTGCCTTGTACCGCGCTGTCCCCACCGTTACCGACCCGGCCTGTCTGACCACGCTTCTGCTCAGCCATCCATCTGTCCTGCACGGACCCATCTGCCTTTTCACGTCAGGCTCTTCTCCAGAATATACCTCTGGCAGTTCCCTCTACCACGGGTGGGTGTACTCAGGGGCCACGACCTGGTCTCTGTCTGCTGCAAGTCCATCCCCACCATCAGGGGCCCTGGTGAACAAGCAGACTGGGACTTAGAATCCGCGCTCTGGAGAATCCTATCCCGTGGGTTGCTAGAGGTACCGCCAGGTGGTGCATTACAGAACCTCCACCATGCTTGACTATATTCCTTTCTTTAAAGGCCTCATTGCTTGTCCATGATTTTCCACAATTTTTGTTCTCAAATCCTCAGATAATTCTTTGTTGCTCTTTCTCTTTTCCATTCTCCATGTGGCACACAGAGACACACAACAGAAAGTTTGAGTCAATTTTTCACCATTTTAACTGGTTGTCGTTGTGATTTCTATATTGTCAGCACCTGTTGACCGATACAGGTGAGTTTAATTACAAATTACAGGAGCATCACAAAACTTGGAGTGCAATTATTTCTTACAATTTTGAGAAGGTGGCAACATTTTTTTCTAGTCCATTTTTAGGGTTTTGCATGGAATGTGTCAGATTTGGCTTTGTTTCTCTACTTTGTGTCAAACTAAGACAACAAAAGAAACATGAGAATGCCTAAACATTTGTAATTGCAATATTTTCTGGGCAAAGTGGTGCATTATCTGACAGATATTGCCAATAGTGCCAATATTTATACACACATTTATAACGATCTGTGTAACCACTATACTTTTGCAGTATCTTTCCACATTAGTAATTTCTGTTTCTTTGTGTATTATTCCTGTGATCCAGATTTAGATCAGCAGGCAGAGGAAAGTGACCAAGTCCAGCAAGCCCAGACTCCAGTCACCACTAGCCCATCTGCTTCCAGCACCACATCCTTTATGAGCAGTTCCTTGGAGGACACCACCACTGCCACCACACCTGTGACGGACACTGAGACTGTGCCAGCATCTGAATCCCCAGGAGTCATGCCGCTTAGTTTGCTAAGGTACAACAAGGGATATTCCTTTCAGAGTCGATTACTTTCATGTTAAGAGCATGTTATATATTCATCCATCACTTCTAACTCATTTGCTTTAAAATAGTTGTAAATCCTTACATATACCCACTAAAGTGACTATCCTTGGGTTATACACAGAGATGAAAAAACCCTACTAGATAGATGGTTCCATGTTTTTCTGCAGTCTTCTGAACAGGGGAAGAGACAGCAGAGAGAAATGACACTTTCTTTGGATTGAGGCTAGTATGCACTATAGAAGTATATGCTTTGGAAATTTTTCATGTTAGTAGTTTGCTCCGCCCACCCGGCTGCATCATTCATTCACAGAGTTCTGTAAATGAGAGAACTACAACTACCTTTGTGGCCAGCAGCTTGTAGTTCTCAATGGACTACCAGGGCTCTGGCGAACGCTCTATCTAGTTCATTGATTCTTCCTGTAATTTTGTAACTGCCCTGCCCGTATTGGAGGTGCAGGCAGACAGCTATACAGACAATCTGCAGGAGCCTGAGATTGCAGCCGTGATCTGCTGATTGCGGGTGCAGTGCTTTACATGCTCCTGATAGAACAAAAAAAAAAATAATAATAATAAATGCACATTTTTTTTTTACCTGCAAAAAAAAATGCATTTAATATTTTTTTTTTTTTTTTTGGTGAACTTATCTGTTAAAACAGTAAACGTGCTATATTTATCTGCTCTGTGCAATGGTATTACCTCCTCTTTTGGGATCCCCTGCTGACGTTTTGCTCCTCTTCTTTAAGTGCCCCCATTGTAAGCAGTGTGCTAGGGGGGCACTTATGCAGGAATGTGCCTGAGCCGGCTGTGTGCATCCATAGATATGCAGCATGGCTCAGCCCCGCCCCCTGCTTCCTCTTCACAAGGTTTGATTGACAGCAGCAGGAGACTATGGCTTTCACTGCTGCCTCTGTTTCCTGTGAGCTGAGGGATAGTGAACATCACTACTGCAGATGGGCACATCATTGGATGAAAATTGTAAATCATTGCTTGTCTAGGCAAAGATTTGATATCTGCAGTGTAATGTCTGTGTCATCTTTAAAAGGCTAAAGAGTTATGGGATTATTTTATATAATAGTTCTTTTTCTCCATAATCTCTAAACTGCATAGACTGAACCACACAAAGTCAGTGTTGGGGATTATTTCTACTGTTTTATTTCTACTGTATCTCCTTACTGAAAGGGGAATCATCAACTAATGATTTTAATTCTTTTTCCATTTATTTCTATAGGCAAATGTTTTCAAGCTACCCTACTACTACAGTTCTGCCCACCCGTCGTGCACAGACTCCACCAATCACATCGCTCCCCACATCACCCACAGATGAAGTAGGAAGAAGACAGAGTCTTACATCTCCAGACTCTCAGCCATCAAGGCACACCAACCGTACAGGTAATAGAACGATTCCCTATATTTATGATAGTGTAGCTGGTGGGTTTTTGGTCATGGCATGTTGATCTTCATATTTTCTTCATTGTAAGACTTCTTTCCCTTAGAAGAAACACAGATCTTTTTTTTTATCTTTGCACTTGTTTCTCCACAACACTTATATGCCCTCACAGCACTTAAAGTTCTTTTAAAGCCAAAACTTTATAAATGTACATTTTTTTGCAGGTAAAATGTGTATTTAGTATTTTTTTTTTTTCTTGGGAGCCTGTAAATGATTGCACCTGCAATCAGCAGATCACAGGTGCAATATCGGGCTCTCACAGACTGTCTGTGTAGCTGTCTGCCGTACCTCCGATACCTGCAGGCAGTTTTTTCAGTCCAGGGTGCTCAATGGACTACAAGAGTGCTCACCAGTGCCCTCGCAGCTCATTGCGAACGACAAGCCGGCAGCTGCGAAGGATGATGGTGCTTGTAGGCATTCATTCACAGAACTCTGTGAAACCCATGATGCAGCCATGTAGGCGAAGCTTCGCACAGCAGCACTCTTTTTTTTTAAATTCTGACAATGGATGTGGGGAGAAGATCCCTGGCCCGCTGTCACTGGGAGGGGGATCGGGAAGAGGCTGCAGGAGCAGGAACATGTTACGTGTTCCACCCTAAAAATGGGTGGAATATGTAACATGTTCCCAAGGTGAACTTATTCTTTAAATACCTGACTGTTAGTTCCCTACTTTATCCATTTTAAAAAAAACTGTTTAGCTTTAGTTATATTTTAATTTTCTCTCAGTTATGTATGTCAGTCTTCTGTTAGAAACATTGCTGGGTATTTTTTGTATATAAACTTTTCTAGTTAAAGGTTTTAAGCATCTGGATAGCTTTTTAATCTGGTATCTGTTACTGTCACATGATAACATATTAGTGCATTTTTTTTGTAATGTAGTGGAAAGAGGAAACTTTTTGAATGATTTGTCTACCAAATGTTTTGGACATTGTCACGGGTACAGATCCCTGTGACAGCCAGGGTTTTCCCCCTCTGCTCCGTTTAGCTGCTGGGAATGAATAGAATTACCCAGGTACCCAGCACTGTTGTGTGGTGGTGGAAAGAGAGTACCTACCCCTATGTATGCTTCAAATCACAACTTGAAGATTACATAAGTCTCCTATCTTTGTTCCTTATAGCTGAACACAATGAAATGAGAGTGACAGGTAGATGAATTTCTGCAGCTTTAGAGCTTGGACGTTAATTCAACCTGCTGATTTGTCCTACATGGACAAACTACAGACTCACTGTAACTTGTAAATCACTACATTTTTATACTTTGTGTATCATATTATGGCTCATTTAACTGTCTTAAATGTAAAGGCCTGTACATTCGGGCTGAATATTGGCCAGTCGATAGAAACCAGCCGACACTCGACTCATGTGTACAGCAGCCTGTCCAACAGAAGCTGGGCGAACGGGCATGCTGGAAAACCAGCATCTGATCAGTGCTGGCAGCAAATGGCAGCAAGCACTAACTGGCGTATTCTGGTGGGGGGCAGTCCCCCTGTCAGAATACAGTAGCTCGGCAGGGAGATCGCTGTGCTAACTTCGGATAGTTAGTACAGCGAGCTCCTCCTCTTTAGTTTTTTTTTTTCGTTCAGCCCGCTGGGTTGAAAGAAAAAAAAAAAAACTGGTAGTGTGTACCCAGCATAACGGTATTTGGATAATGAGGGAGAATCCCCACAAGGGTTGCTGAACAAATACAGACATTGCTGAAATTCCTTATGTAAATATCAATAATGTGTATAAGCCATTTTGTGGCCTAAATCAACATTCTGCCTGTCAACTCATTTGCAGATCCAGAAGTTAAAGTAGAGTAGGAAAGTAATTTAAAGAGAAGTGAAGCAGCTGGAAATGAGCCACCTGTCAGATTTCATTGTTTTGTTGCGTAGTGAGTGAAACACAAAGCCCAACTAGTGACTGCCCTACAAAGTGCCTTATAGTAGCGTCATTAATTCCCTGTGAATATATTGTCTTCATCCGTTAAAAGATTAAGTACACTTAAACCACTTTGATCAGGAATAGTTGTAACAAAATTGATCATTCCAACTACTCTTTCATAATTAATATTTTTCCCTAAAGATATAGTATGCTTTTTATTATTTAAAAAAAAAATGTTTGTAGTTTTTTTACTTTTTTTTTCATATTTGTCACCACAGCTTCGTCGGACCCCAGCAGCCGCCTATCCACATCCCCTCCCCCTCCTGCTGTCGTTGTGCCTCTTCTAGAAATGGGATTCTCCATCAGACAGATCAAAAAAGCCATGGAAGCTACTGGTAATTGTTCTCTGTCTTGGATCTGTTACCCACCACAGAGCACGCTTTGTCTGCAAGATCTATTAGCACACACCACAAGGGAACATAGAGGTTACTTTTTAAATGTTTGCGGTAATGTATGCAATAAATGTTGTTAGTATGTCAAAATTACTGTTAGAACAATAGGGGCTGTAAAATGTTCCAAAGTGTAGTCAGAGATTTTTCTAACACAGACATATATTTTCAGTACAGTACTGAACTTCATTCTTAGTTACACTGTTGCTGACTGATGCTTTTTAATGCAGGTTTCTGTTTATCACTTTCTATTGTGTTCTTTGCACATGGTTACCTTTTAGGTGCAAGAGAGGCTGACCCTCAGAACATCACTGTACTGGCTATGTGGATGATAGAACATCCAGATGATGAAGAGAGATATTCAGGGAGGCCCAATGAGCAGTGCCAGGGTGGTGATGTTTCAGGAGCTGGGGGTAAATCCAATGATGTGGTTTTCACAGGAGACATTTCCTCCACTGACACCCCAGAATTGGAAGAGTGCTTTTGTGAGAGGTAAGTACAGGCTATTTAATGAGTCAAGGGCATGGAAAGCCACTGGTACATAAAAAAAAATCTTTTCTGCTTAATGTATTGTGAATAAATCTTTCACTCTTATAGTACAGTATGATGTACCTTGGCCTTAATACTTGCAGGCCCCAATGCATGGTTTGGATTTCCCATGCTTTGCATTTTACTGCCCCTCTGCAGTGTTAAAGTAGCTACAGTCCTTAAACCTACAGAACTCTGCACTTGGTTGTGTAAGATGTCTAATTCATTAGCTTCACTGTCAATGCATTTTGCAGAACTGGAAGAGAACATGTAAAGATAGAAATATTGAAGATGATGTTGCTAATGTGTTGCAAGGTACAAGCACATGACTTCAGACTTCATTAGCTGAATGCTTGTTTGTCTTTGACTCACCAGGTAGCAAAACAAGGTCACGATGACAGTCCTAGAAAGTACATCTGGAAAACAAGTCCGCAATGTCCCTTCTTATAATTCTGTGCTCAAAGATTCATTTTAACCACTATAGATAGTCTACTCCTACGAAACTATAAAGTGCTGTGTTGTCACAGCGGCGAGTGCAGTCCCTACACCTTATCAGCTTGGGTCAGCGCAGGGTCCTATTTGCTATAGATATTTAGCACAGATGGAAAGCACCCCCATTTTGTGGGGTAAAATAGAAATGGTTACACAGGTGCATGCCTACAACTACATCTTTTATTCTGGTTGCCTAACACATTGGAAAATATCTGTAGAGCGCATGTACATTGGCTGATTTACTAGTGAAGAATGTCTAAAATAATTTCCCTTCTTGTTAATAATCCGCATGTAGATTCAGACATTTTAGATATCATTTTAAGAGTTCTAGCATTTATTGTATCATTAACTTCCATTTATAGCCCAGACAGCATGGAACAGGCAGAAAATGCAGGAGCTAGCAGTGGAAATCAAACTAGAGGGAGGTCTACAGTTACCAAAAGACAGAAGTTTGATCTGGCAGCAAGGACACTGTTGGCAAGGGCAGGTAAGTTTTTGTTCATTGGGCCTATTGGCTATTATTTATTTGAGGTACTTCTATAGCACCAACAATTTATGCATCTATTTACGTGTATATTTTGTATATCAGACCCTGCCCTCAAGTAGCTTACAATCTAAGGTCCTTAACTCACAAACGTACACATACAATTTAGACCAGAGTCTATTAACCTACCAGCATGTCTTTTTGGAGTATGGGAGGAATTCCACCCAGGCACAAGGAGAACATTAAACTCCAGGCAGGTAGTGTCGTGTTTGGGATTCAAACCAACAACTCTAGTGCTTCCAGGCAGAGGTGCTAACCCCTAAGCCACTGTGCTATATGCCATACCAATAGGAGGGTGGAGAGAATACCTCTCATCTAAGTTCACTGCATAAGAGAACTAATGCTTTCCCCTGGTTATTTAAACAGCAGCAGCAGTAATGTGGATGTGCAAAGAACTATATTTTACATAAATAATTCAGTGATGGGATGGGATCAGTAAGCTGCAGCAGGTATAATATGAAACACTAGGGAATTGCCTCTTTTCAGCTCACCAAAGTGCAACACTGATGGTATTTTCCTTAATGTGCATTATTTACTTATTTCAGATGTACTCTATTTACTGCAAGCAAATTATTTTGTCAATGTAAAAAGTCAATTCACAAAGTTAAAATATTGCACTTGAGGTTGCTGATTACTTCAATAAGGTGTCTGAGGAGGAAAGGAACAGAGGCCCCATGAGATAAAATATAACACTTGATGATAAAGCAAGGCTTTTGTATTTATGTGATTTGAAAGTCTTTTAGAAGAAAATTAATGGGACAGCCATTGCCCTATTATGTGGTTGGAGATCACTGATGTTTAATAAACTTTAATTTATCCACCCACCTCCCTTAATTGGAATTGGTTAAATTTTGTGTCCTGCATATGATCTTTTTCTGAAAATAATTCTAAACTCTAATTTTGTCCTTCTTTCTGCACCTCTTTTTGGTCAGCTGGTTTGTACCGCACTGTCCAAGCTCATCGCAACCAAGGTCGGAGAGATGGTGTGTCCCTGCAGCAGGAGCCCGGAGCCTTGTATGATCTAAATCTGGATGAGGAGCTAGAGATCGACCTTGATGATGAAGCCATGGAGGCAATGTTCGGACAGGAGCTAGCTAGCGATAATGATATTCTGGGAATGTGGATCCCAGAGGTACTGGACTGGCCAACATGGGTGTGTGACAGCAGCTGGAGCTGCTTCCATCTCTGCTCTAATCCCTCACCCCTTGCTTTATTCCCCAGCATGAGATGAAGAGCATCGATGCATGCAGCTTCCAGCTAGAGAATTTGAATGCTATTTATCTAAGTACAAATAAGAATACTAATATTTATGGTCTTTAGCAATAATCAACGTCATTGGTTCCGTGAACTGTAATGAAGATAAAATACTAACTACTGTATGAGCATAGTAAACTGCATTTCTCTTACTCTTAGTATGCCAGCTGACGTAACCCTTGTATGTAGTCTTTGTATTGTGTGTCAAGCAAAATGCTGCTTGGTCTCAGACCATAGTAATATGCATGTTCTGCTGAGCTATTCCCTGCCTTATATTTTGAGCTGTTGTTTTCATGCTCACAATTGAAATTGTTTTTTGTTTCCTTTACAGCATGTTTGTGAAACAGATGAACGAGAAGAGATAGTTATCTGTGAACTATGTGAAGCAAGTGTGCTCAGTTTCAATCAACACATGAAGAGGTACCACCCAGGCTGTGGACATAGCGCCAACCGCCAGGGGTACCGTAGCAATGGCTCATATGTTGATGGCTGGTTTGGTGGGGAGTGTGGCAGCGGGAATCCATATTACCTGTTGTGTGGCAGCTGCCGGGAGAAGTACCTAAGTCTGAAGAGCAAGCGCAAGGCAACTACTTCAGAAAAGTAAGTGTCTAAGCTGACAGATTTCTCTTCCATATTGTGCACTATACTTTCCTTTGATCAATAGTTACACCTGACACAAATCAATAGGTAACATGTCACTATAACTAAATCTTATTATAATTTTGAGTGAAAGTTCCTCAAAAATTGGTCATAAATGAAAAATACTCTAGTTCCCAGCCCAGGAAGCTTAGCTCATATGATTTCTAGCGATCAATCAATACTGCAATGATTACTCGAACAAGATTTACATTAAATGGATCTCTTTCACTTGTAATTAAAAAAAAAAAAAAAGTTAATAGACCTTTGTTCCTCTTTAAAACCAAAAGAAACATTGTATTAGGACATTAAGAAGTAATGGTGGACCCCTCCAGCGCAAACTGTTTTTAGTAGTAGTAATAGAAATAACTGCTGTCTTTTAGGGTCATGTCATATACTAGCGATACTGTGCCTGGCAAATTCTGCAATGTTTCATCCAGCAAGGAGAGAGAACATATGAACAGTTGAGTGTTTGCTTTAACAATTCTGTTACTGAAAGGTTGTTGCCAGTAATGGGATCGCTAATGTGACATGGCCCTACATCCTGAGTTTGGTGGTATTTACTGTTGCTGCGCGTTTTAGTTCCAAATGTAATGTTGCCCCATTTGTCTGAAGATTGATGAACCTTAAAGGCTAAGTTCACCTTCAGGAACATGTTACAGCTGTATTTAGGGTGTAACATGTTCCTAAGCACCCTTTTCCCACTCCCAGATATTCCCCCCTCCCTAATGACAGCATGCAGGGGTTCCTCTCCTCCTCTCCCATGAGTGCAGTAATTGGTGCGTTTAGAGTCCATTGACACTTCTCCAGCTCAGTAACTGAATGTCTGTACAGTGCAGAGCAGAGAGCTGCAGAAGCCATTGATTGCAGGTGCAATGCTTTGCAGGCTCCTGTGGGGAAAAAAATACACATTTGTTTTCCTGCATAACATATACATTTATTATTTTCTTTCTTACAAGTGAACTTCGCTTTTAAAGTAGAATTCCATGTTTATGGTGGCCCAAACGAACAACTCTATGGGCTGTAATATTCTGTAGTAGCATTAGCTACATACAGTAAGCGGCACTGTGCTCCAACAGCAGTATATGCTTTAATACTTACCTGTAGTAGAGTATAATACCACAGAGTGCAGACTCTGTTGAATCCAATCCTCACTCTCAGATATATCCATGGCTGGAATCTTCAGCTGTCATATGCTTGTTTCCCACAGATGCAAGTCTGTCAAGTGCAGACTTTTACCAGCCCCACTCTTATCTCCAGGAACCATAGGCTACCAGCCACAGAGAAAAACCACCATGTATCATACACTTGTACAAGAAAGATGTGTGCCAAGGATATTGGTGTTTGTGGTACCCCATAGACTTCCCAGTCATTCAGAGTTCTATATTGCGCAAGCATTTTTTTTACCTGCTAGCTGTCTGTTGTGACAACATGCCAGAAACAGGAATGCTAAAAGTCAATTTGCCTTCACCTATGGCATTCATTCTTACTGCACAAACTAGCTTCACTGCTGCTACCTCTCGAACGATCATGATTCTGCGACAGTTTAGCTCTTGAGGAAGCAATGTTTATTAGGAAATGTAGCTGTTTCATTTCAGTGATTCAGGTGGCAGTGTTTACATGACCCAATTATCACAAGATTGGAAGGCATTTATCTGATGTCTATAGGAAACAACCTAACAATATCATATTGGATACATTTCCTACTAGTATTTGAAAGTTGACTTTTTAGCACCTTCTTATGCACCATTCTTTGCGCTTTTACACAATATATGTTTAGATGTACACTGGATTTCCACATCCTATGTCTTCTATCAGATCTGAGTACATTTGAGTAATGCCCTCACTATGAAATATAATTCCAGTAGTGTATTAGGATAAGATTTTTGAAATACTTTGTCCTTCAGGTACAAAGGACATGCTCCCGATTTGATTGGCAAGCAAGACAGCGTGTATGAAGGTAAATAAAAATTGTGTTTTTTTTATAAAGAGCGCAGGCATCAGTAACATGTCTTAAGATATATGCTGAATATTATGAAGTGATCATATGTTTTATTATTGATTGTAATCTGTCATTAATCCACATATAGAAGACTGGGACATGTTGGATGTAGACGAAGATGAGAAACTCACTGGAGAAGAAGAATTTGAACTACTAGCTGGACCCCTTGGCCTCAATGACCGTAGGATTGTACCTGAACCAGTGCAGTTTCCAGACAGTGATCCACTGGGGGCTTCTGTAGCCATGGTAACAGCCACCAACAGCATGGAGGAAACACTAATGCAAATAGGTACCTTGGGATATGGGTTGAAATCATCTTCTATTTTTCCAGTGGGAAGGAGGCATAATTCTTGATGGGTGCTGTCTGTGCTTTGGTGAAAATTTTAGTGTCCAAAAAACATTTAGGTGTTTGTGTCTTCAGCTGTTACTGTTGCCACTTATTCATTTCTCATTTCCTTTCCAGGCTGCCAAGGAGCTTTGGAGAAGAGCTCATCAGGCCGGATAACACTAGGAGAGCAGGCAGCAGCTCTTGTAAACCCACATGATCGTGTGATGGCATTACGAAGGGTAATAGCTGCTGCCCAAGTCCTCCTGGCACGTACCATGGTGATGCGTGCCCTTTCACTGCTGTCTGTTAGGTGTGTTTTTCCTTTCCTGTCATTGGTATGTTGCTTGCGTTGATAAATTAGTGGGGGTGCATATAAATGAGAATTATTTTTAGCAGTGAGGGAGGAGGAGATTTCCAATGATAGGCCTCCAAAGAAACTGTGGTTTTCCATTGTGCATGCCTACATTACCATTGGATCAAAATGACATGAATAGTTTGAGTTAATTTTTTGTAACAGCATTTCAGTATTGCACTTCCAACAAAATGGTGTCAGTCTGTCTTAATACATCATGTTTCCATTTCTCCTCCAGTGGGTCCAGTTGCAGTCTTGCCGCAGGCCTGGAGTCTCTTGGCCTGACTGACATTCGCACTTTGGTACGCCTCATGTGCCTAGCTGCTGCAGGTAGAGCTGGCCTTTCCACCAGTCCATCAAACACTTTGGCTAGTTCTGCTGATCGCTCTCGTGGTCTCCACACCAAAACCAGCAAACCCATCTCTTGCCTAGCATACCTGAGTACCGCTGTTGGCTGCTTGGCATCCAGCACTCCTAGTGCAGCTCGACTCCTTGTTCAACTTTGTACGCAGGTTAGATATTTTCTATTTTCTGTTGACCTTTGTCTTTGTGCAAATACAAAATGTTTAGACCAGTGCTGGACAAAGAAATGCTCAATTCAAAAGCCAATACGTTAGGAGACTTGAGAACCTGTGAGGATATGAATATAGGAGCTGTCATTGCTGATGTTTTTGAAGGAGCAGTTTCTCATCCTAAATCTGGCTCTGTACCTTGTTCTGCATTCTTGTTTCATGTCAGGGACTTTATCACATAGTGAAAGGAAGAATCATGATTACAGTATGCTGTTGAAAACCTTCATGATTCTTCGACTTGAAGACCCTTTTAGGGCAAAGTGAACATGTTTTCTGGTAGCTCACCAACCTAGAATAGTATTCTTGCCATACTGTGCTCCCCACAACAGGAGTCCACCTTGGGTACGCTTCCTTCTTGGATAGTGTGGAAACATACTCAGGTAGTCAATGTCACTACCCCCCCATGTGATAATGTTCAGACCTGACTGGTCAGGCCCAAGCAGTGACACATATGGGAGGTCCCATGCTCCCCTTCATACCGAGAAGCCCCATACTGTTAAAGCAATAGAGTGAGAGCTACATTGTCTCTTTAAGGACCCTAGCCCAAAGTTGACAACATAAGCTGTTTACCCAGATTAGGAAATTGTATTTATTTTTGGCCTATGTGTTATTTTACACAAACTACTCTTAAAAGCACTTTGCAATAAGATTTTTAGACAATAAGACATTTATGAATAAAGCAATGCGTGTCCTTTGTTAAAGGAAAAGTTTGCTTTTGGGAACATGTTACATGTTCCACCCATTTTTAAAAAGAGCTCTGCCCACACAGCCGATTCATTCATTCACAGAGTTCTATGAATGAATGAACTACAAGTACTGATATCCTTTGCTGCTGATGGCTTGTAGTTATCAACAAACTACCAAGGTGCTTGTGAGCGCTCTGTGTAGTTCTTTGAATCTTCCTGTCATTGTGTAACTGCTTGCCCGTATGAGGTACAAGACAGATGCACATGCACTGACAGTCTGCAGAAGCCCTGCATTGCACCTGCAGTCTGCTGATCACAGGTGCAATACTTTACAGGCTCATAAAAAAAAAATACTTGCCAAAAATATGTACATTTATTTTTTTTTTTTTTTTTTGAAAGGTGAACTTATCCTTTAACTTTATGGTAAAACTTGTGTGTCCTAGTTAAACAGTCTTTTTTTTTGCTGTGTTCTGCAGAATTTGATATCCGCAGCAACTGGTGTGAATTTAACAACAGTGGATGACCCAGTGCAAAGGAAATTCTTACCTAGTTTTTTGCGTGGAATTGCGGAAGAAAATAAACTTGTTACTTCACCCAATTTTGTGGTGACACAAGCACTGGTTGCACTGCTTGCAGACAAAGGAGCTAAACTGCGACCCAATTACGACAAAGCAGAAATGGAGAAAAGAGGTAGGAGGACGTTTGTTAAAATTACGATTTTTTTTTTTTTTTTTTTTTTTTTTTTCCCTGTCTAGATGCCTTTCAGATGTATCAAATGTTGTCTTTACATGTTATATATTTATCACCTGTTCTTTTATTTCACCTGTTCTACTTTAGGTCCTTTGGAGCTGGCCAATGCTCTGGCCGCTTGCTGCCTTTCTTCCCGGCTGTCCTCCCAACATCGCCAATGGGCTGCTCAGCAGTTAGTACGTACGCTAGCTGCTCATGATAGGGACAATCAGACTGCACCACAGACTCTTGCAGATATGGCTGGAGACTTGCGGAAATGTTCTTTCACCAAACTGGAGGCTCATCAGAACAGGGTGAATTTTCATTTTTTTTAACAAAATCACATATTGATGCTGTTTCTCTGGGATGTTGATTGTGAGGTATCTTGTTGATATTTTGGGGGGATTGTAAGTTGAGATTGCCATGAGAGAAAGTGTGGGGGCTGCCATTGTTGGTCTCCTTTTCTAAAATGCTAGTTGATTGCCTATGTCTGGTTTTAGGTACTTCCAATTTGCAGACCCAGAACAAGGTTACTGTAAAACGTTTCTGAATTTCTTATCTCTATACCTGTCAGAAAGCATTGACAAAGCATTAGCACTGCAGCCAGGAAACTAGCAATTTCAAAGGAGAGTTCAGTAATGGAGGTCTCCATTATTCTCTCATGAGTCTCTTTAAAGTTATTATAATGAAGTGTTTTATTCTGTCTAGTGTGTAGACTTTTTTTTTTTTTTTTTTTGCATGATTTTAACCATTTCAATGCCGTGCAATTTTACACCTTCCTGCCCAGACCATTTTTCAGGTTTCAGCGCTCTCAGACTTTGAATGACAATTGCGCGGTCATACAACACTGTACCCAAACTAAAATTTTATCATTTTCTTCACACAACTAGAGCTTTCTTTTGGTGGTATTTAATCACCGCTGGGGTTTTTATTTTTTGCTAAATTAACAAAAAAAGACCAAAAAGTTTGGAAAAAAAAAACACATTTTTCTTTGTTTCTGCTATAAAAGTTTACAAATAAATAATTGTTCTTCATAAATTTAGGCCGAGATGTATTCTGCTACATGTCTTTGGTGAAAATAACCCAAATTAGGATGTATTATTTAGTTTGTAGGAAAGTTATAGAGTTCACAAACTATGGGATATATCTGAAAATTGATCAATCCTGAAGTACTGACGGCCAATCTAATTTCTTGAGGTCCAAGAATGTCAGAATAGTACAGATATCCCCAAATGACCCCTTTTTGCAGAGTAGACAGTCCGACGTACTTCATAAGAGGCATGGCGAGTTTTTTGAAGTTGTATTTTTTTTGTCATAATTTTTCGGAAAATTAAAAAAATTAAAAAAATTATTTTCACTTTTTTTTTTTTTTACATATTGTCACCAGTGCAGTACAGCGTCATCATATAACTGGCATGACGGTGAACAGGGACACTGACTGGTGACAGTATGAAAAAAAAATATATATATATATATATATATATATATATATATATTTATTTATTTATTTTCATATTTTACTATGACCAAAGTAGTACAATGTTACCATAGTAACATTGTACTACTTTGGGGAAGTGATCAGTATTTTTTTTTTTTTTTTTACACAATTTGCTTATAGCAAAGAATTACTTTGCTATAAGCAAGCATTTACCTGAATGAAATCGATTCATTCAGCTTTTTTTTTCTTTTTTTTTTTTTTTTTTTTTTTTTTTTTTTTTTTTTTTTTTGTGCTTAGCTGTGATTTGGTCACAGCTAATCACATGACATGTGCATGTGATTAGCTGTGACCATTCACAGCTAGGCACTAGTATACAATGGATGGCATGAATGAAACCATCCATTGTATACAACTGTCATGTGACCTGCTGTGATTGGTCACAGCAGGTCACATGGTACCAGCAACGGGAGCAGGTACTCGGATCTGTCATCGGCCGTGTCGGAGGTGCACGGCCGGTGACAGATCGCACTGCTGCGCCGCTCTGCATTAGCGCAAACTGCGCATGTGCGGAGCACGCCAATGGCGTGCACCCGGAATGCAGGAACACTTTTGAAGCCGCCAAACGGCCATTGGCCGGGCGGCTAATGGTTAAGTGTAGTCAGTCACCATGGTACTCCACTTTCAATATAGTCTACAGCTGTCCATTTCCTAACATTACAAGGAATGCCTCCTGAATCAAGATACCTGTGTGGAAAGGTTCAGATGAAAGTTGCTGTTTGCTGCAATAAGACAGTAATGCCGCTCACAACGCAGCTGATTGGCTTCTGTTTCAATGCTACACAGCAAGTATACAACCTGGGATTCTGAGAATGGCAGCTTCTGTCTGAGCCTACTAAGAGATATTTTTTGGTGTTATTACACAATTGCCTTCAATTTATACAATATATAGGATCTACAGGAAATGATAAACAGTCAATTACAGTTAAATTATAAATATGTTGGCTTGAAAATGTTATGGAAATTGGATTTTGAACGATTTTTTTCCCGTTTTCAGGTGATCACCTCTGTGTGGAGCACTAAGAAACTGTTATTGGCCACTAGTGGAAGTGATGGGACCGTCAGAGTGTGGAATGTGTCTAGAAACCAGTATTCCCTCCAGCAGACATGCGTGTTCCAGAAACCGTGAGTAGCTTATGCTTCTGCAAAGGGTTTTTTATGCTCTGTCAAACATTTGACTGAGAAAGTTCAGTTTTTCCATTATAAATATTACTGTAATTGTAATTGGAACAATTCTGAGAAAAGGAAACTTGGATTTATTTTATTGATTTTTTTTTTTTTTTTTTTTTTACTTTTTAACTCACAGAATGCAATACTCAACACCTGTTCCCGCAGTCACCAGATTATTCAGTATTGCCATTTGCTGGATAACCACATAGCATTGGTTCTGAATAAAGTGTTATCCTCACTTAGCACTTCCATGCTATAAAGTGGTCGTTAAGCTCAGGGTCTCCAAGACACATCCCTGGCCAAAAGTTTTGAGAATGACACAAATATTGATTTTCACAAAGTCTGCTGCTTCAGTGTTTTGAGATCTTTTTGTCAGATGTTACTATGGTATACTGAAGTATAATTACAAGCATTTATTAAGTGTCAAAGGCTTTTATTGCCAATTAGTTAAGAGTCAGTATTTGCAGTGTTGGCCCTTCTTTTTCAAGACCTTGTGTGATTCGCCCTGGCATGCTGTCCACCAACTTCTGGGCCACATCCTGACTGATGGCAGCCCATTGTTGCATAATCAATGTTTGGAGTTTGTCAAAACTTGTGGGGTATTTTTTTGTTTACCCGCCTCTTGAGTCTTGACCACAAGTTCTCAGTAGGATTATGGTCTGGGGAGTTTCCTGGCCATGGATCCAAATTTGGATGTTTTGTTCCCCATGCCACATTATCACTTTTGCCTTATGGCAAGGTGCTCCGTCATGCTGGAAAAGGCATTGTTTGTCACCAAACCTTTCTTGGATGGTGTGGAGAAGTTGCTCTCGGAGGATGTTTTTGTACCATTCTTTATTCGTGGCTGTGTTCTTAGACAAAATTGTGAGTGAGCCCACTGCCTTGTCTGAGAACCCCACACATAAATGGTCTCAAAATGCTTTACTGTTGGCATGACATATGATTGATGGTAGCGCTCACTTTTTTCTTCTCTGGACAAGGTTTTTTCCAGATGCCCCAAACAATTGGAAAGGGGATTCATCGGAGGAAGTTACTTTACTGCAGTCCAATCCCTGTACCTTTTGCAGAATATCAGTCTGTCCCTGATGTTTTTCCTGGAGAGAAGTGGCTTCTTTGCTGCCCTTCTTGACACCAGGCTATCCTCCAAAAGTATTTGCCTCATTGTGCTTGTAGATGCACTCACACCTGCCTACTGCCATTTCTGAGCAAGCTTTGCACTGATGGTGCCCTGATCCCACAGCTGAATCATATTTCGGAGATGGTCCTGACGGTTGCTGGACTTTCCTGGGTGCCCTGAAGCCTTCACAACAATTGAACCTCTCTCCTTGAAGTTCTTGATGATCCAATAAATTTAGGTGCAATCTTAGTAGCAGCAATATCCTTGCCTGTGAATCCATTTTTTTGTGTAAAGCAATGATGACCGCACATGTTACTTTGCAGGTAACCATGGTTAACAGGAGAAGAACAATGATTTCAAGCACCACCCTCCCTTTAAATCTTTCAGTCTGTTCTAACTCAATCAGCTTTTTCTTTGTCAACACTGACACCTATGTTAACGAGGCAATCACTGACATGATGTTAACTGGTCCTTTTCTGGTAGGGCTGAAATGCAGTGGAAAGGTTTTTTTTTTGGGGGGGGGGGATTAAGTTCATTTTCACGACAAAGAGGGACTTTGCAATTAATTGCAATTCATCTGATCACTCTTCATAACATTCTGAAGTATATGCAAATTGCCATCATAAAAACTGAGGCAGCAGACTTTGTGAAAATTAATATTTGTGTCATTCTCAATTTTTGGCCAGGGTTGTAGACATGAGTGATGATACAAAACCGCTAAAACGGTATTAAACCTTCAGCGTTCTTTAGCTTTACAGATTGAACACATTAAAATAAACATTTCTGAGTAAACTAGTTGTTATAAATCCTACCCAAGCATTTGCAGTTTACAGTTTTCACTGCTGTTGGCCCTGCTCTCTGTGCTGCTTACCTGAACTTCCAGTTTCTACAGGAAAGAGTTCACAGTAAACAGTGCAGTCTGTTAGCATGGAGAAGGAAGGGGGATGAAGGAGGTAGGAGCAGGGGCATGGCCTGCCATATAATACTACAGTGTATATGTGTGTTTCTGTTGATACACACAGTGTAGAGAGAGACAGCTCTAGTCCTTGCATGCAAGGGTGGCTCCATAGGATGCTGAAAGAAAAAGGAACCAACAGGAAACCTGGGTCAGCGGTCATTGCACCAGCTTAACCTTTTCACGCCGAGCATATGCAAATATGCGGCCTCTGAGCGGCTGGGCCTTGATGCCAAGTGGCTGCATATTTGCGTACCATTTGTAAACAAATGTGCTGAGAGCGCGCACCCTGCATACTCCCAGCACACGTGTCAGTGTCCCATGGAAAGGTCCCGATCTTTTCTTGCAATCGGGACCTTTCTGATCATATGACAGCCAATCGTGGTCACATAACTCTAAACCCCGCCTCACCTCCCAGCATCAGAAACCTCTTAAAGGCCCAGGAGGTACCGGCGCGTAGGGGTTAAACAAGAAAATGGGCAAGGATTAAAAGATAAAGAAACTGCATACCCAGTAAATGAATAAAGTTCAACTTTGCCAAAAAGCACACTGTGCTGTCCAATATTATAAGAATTAAGCAGCTGTTGGGGCCAGCGCCCTCTACTGTCAGTGCAACAGGAGGGAGCATTGTCCTGTTCTGGGACAAGTGCAGTATGTACTCCTGTCGCAGCTGCTAAGCTCATCCTAGGCGACAAGAGATCGTACACACTGCTGGTGCCAAAAGCTCACAAATAACTCAGGATGGAGTTCACAAGCTCTAGAGGATTTTAAGCTTCTTTTAGTAGTTTCGTACTACTTTCTTTAAACTGAAAGAAAGCTCTGGCTGGAAGATAGTGTGACGGAACGCGGCCTCAGACCGCAGCTCTTCTCACACACTCGTGACCGAACCGAAGGACCAGCCGATCTCGCACCGCGCTGTCACTTGCGTAACAGTGCCAGTCCCAGCTGCACCCTGCACAAAGATTTTCCAGCTTGCAGGAGTAAAATCTATGTGCCAGCAGCCTGAAAGCGATTGTTACTGGGTCAGGTTAATTATGAGAAATAAAAGAAAGGAGTTCAGAAGGCAGAATACTTGCAAAAATCCTTGGTTTGAGTCCAATTGTCCGGACAAAAGGTTGCCTTGGCTCTCACATCTCTTAGATGGTTCCTGATCGATGTTCAAGGAGAGCTCATTTTTTCTCCAGGCTGTCAGTCTTTTTCGATCATCTCAAAGGGGTGTCTCCTGAGAACAAATGACCAATCATCCAGTTTGGGGATGGGTGTTAGGCGGTAACCAAGGTTATAACCAAATCCCTTACAATTTCGTACTACGGTCAATAACCTTCAATAGGTACATGTAGCATCCTAGCAACCGGCAGATTAATATTTAGAATTATATTCCAAACGCAAAGATACCAAACATAGCATATCCTTGTCACTCCGGATAAAGAATGCTTTCTTCTCTCTTGTTGGTACTAATATAGTCATGTAAGTCTTGTATATTAATATGACCTATCCAATATATACTTCATATTAATGTGCCCAGTTCCTGCTGATGTTTATGAATTTGTATGAAAAATGACTCGTGGATTGTACGTTTTATGGCATCCTCTAGCTCGAATGGCCTTAACAGCTCATGACTGACTGAGCTATTGTTTTACAATCGGGCAGAGGAAAGTGGTTTTTCAAAGAAGACCCCTTGAACCAGACTAATTAGTGGTTTACAGCCATGGAGCTCATCTAGCTGTGTTTTACTTAGGATAAGAGGTCTTGTTGACCTCCGTTCACTTACAACCTCACATTCCACTCAAAAGGGAGGAGGGAGGAGGGAGGACAGGAGGGAACATGGTTGAGACCTAACAAGATGGCTGTCATGTACAGCATCCATGTCTCTAGTGCACACAATCGTCACAGGTAGGTTTAGCATACTATGCTGCTATACCCATATGCAACAGCATAGTGTGCTGACACTTAACATGAGCTGCTGAAATTGAATAAAAAAGCTACATATTTAATCGCTTAAATATAGACTTGAGCGATAATATACAAACACTAGTGTATACTTCAGTTAGCAATAAGGCTTAAAGTAGTTCTAAAGGCTGAAAGTATTTTACCTTCATGCATTTTGTGCATGAAGGTAAAAAACTTTCACTGTGCAGCTCCCCTCTAATACTTACCTGATCTCAATGCAACAAGGTGCACAAGAGCAGCAGCTTTCCTGGGGCTCTCCACCCTCATTGGCTAAGACACAGCAGCAGGAGCCTCATTGCTGCTGTCAATCACAACCAGTTAGGAGGGAGCAGGGGGGCGGGGCCGAGCCATCTCTTTGTGTCTTCTAGACACACAGAGGTGGCTTGGGAGTGAGCATGCACAAGTGCCCCCAGAGAAAGCAGCTTGCTCTGGTGGCATTCAGCAGTGGGGAGGAGCCAGGATTTCCGGAGAGACCCAAGAAGCGGAGGATCACGGCTGCTCTGTACAAAAACCATTGCATGGAGCATGTAAGTATGACATGTTTGTTGTTTTTAAAACAAAACATCTGAACCTCTATTATCACTTAAGTATTGATAGCACAAACTTCACTTGTATACTTCAATTGGAAATGAATGTTTTGCCCCTATAACCTAGTCATTTTTGCATTTAAAGTGTTACTAAACCCAGGACCCCGTATTCACTATATCTGGACAGTTCTGATTGGCCCTGTGCTGATTACGTGCACTCTCCCAAAAAAAAAAAAAAAAACCTCTGCCTCCACACGGTATGTCTTATCAGGAGATAAGAGGGGGACACTGGAAGAAGGGGAGGATCAGAGGGGGGACACTAGAAGGTGAGGATCAGAGAAGTCAGGATCAAACTGCGTTTTACACAATGCAGATGATTAACCCCACATTGAGTTTAACAAGCATGCTTTACTGCATATACGGACTGTTTTTACTGTTGTGGGTTTAGTAACACTTTAAGTTAAAACCTTTACTGCAAACATGACAAATCGTATCATCTTTGTTACTATCGGTATAGGTAACACCTCCATTTCCACAAAGCTTGTGAAGTTAGAGGGAGTATAAATTTAAGAGCAGTGATGTGGCAGGTGATAAGTAAAAGTATCCAGGGTTGGCAGATGAATGCACAATGCAGGAGCAACATGCTGTCTAAAACTGTTTTTTATTTTAGGGTCTGGTTTGTATCCAGCTTTCCCAGCAATATAAGGGAATACCATAAACATGATTTTTTTCTCTTTTTTAGAGAGGGAACCCCAGATGAACCTGACCCATCCTTGTCTCCTGTGTGTTGGAGTGTTAGTGGGCGTTATCTGGCCGGAGCCCTGGAAAAGACGATCAACATCTGGCAAGTCAATGGTATCAGTTTGGCCATCCATCTTCTATTTATCCATCTTATATTTTGTGTCTGTTTATTAAACTGTAGGTTGATTCTGAAGGATGTTCTCTTGTATTTTAGACTAGACACTTCCTTTTTATACTGTTATTATAATATAGTGTATAACCTTTTTCATCAGGTGGAAAAGGACTTGTGGACATTCAGCCTCACTGGGTCTCCTGCATTGTGTGGCCTGAGCAGAGTCCTGCAGAGGGATGGGCTAGTGACCAGCCAGAGTCTTTGTTGGTGGGTCGTGTGGATGGATCTTTGGGCCTAATTGAAGTGACAGATGCCATCAGCATGCGCCGTGTGGAACTGGAGCACTGTTACAGAAAAGAAGGTATGTAAAAGTTGGTGATTCCGGTCACAGTATGTACATGAAAACTGCACAAAATAGAATATTAACAGAACTTGGAACTCTTGGTCGAGTATTGGGCCTCATGCACACAGGGCGTTTTTGCAGCCACTTTTAGGGGCGTCAAGCTTTTTTTTTTTTTTTTTTTTTTTTTTTCTTCTTGTTTTTACTTCTTCCAAATGATCCTTTAAGCTCTCCTATGTGTCCATGCACACATAGACTTTTATAAGCTTTTAGTTGCAGTAGTCTTTAGCAGCAGGAAAAAAATCCAGGGCCAGTGCATCCAGGCGCAGCAGCGTTTTGGCAGAAGAAATGCTTGACACGTCTAAATGCTAGGTGCATTTAGCGCTTGAGCGTTAATTCATTTCAATGGTGAGAATAAATGATCATTCTGGCCAATGAATTGAATTAACGCCGAAGTGCTTGACACTTGTAAATGCACCTAAACGCTTGTTAAATCGTTAGATAACTTTTACAAGCGTCAGGCATTTTTTTCTGCAAAAAACGCTGCTGCCAGGAGGACCGCTTTTAGGAGAGTTTTTTTTTTTTTTTAACGTCTTGTGTGCATACGGCCTTAGGAGAGACGCACAGCTTTTAAAATCCACCAAACTATATTTAAGATCTTTTTACAACACATCTTTTACACTTTTCACTATTTTGTGGTCCTTTTTAAGTTACTCCTTTTATTTAGTGTTTGGTATGTCATCATAAGGGCTTATGCTGGCAGGTGTGATATTCTTGCACTTGAAACGCGCTTTAAATGCAGATCAGAAAAACATCCCATTGACTGTAACTGAGCATTACACATGGGAGCTTGGAGGCTGTGTTTGACCTGCTTTTTTTGCACTGCATTTCTTTGGGCACAGCAAGCCAGCATGTCCTATTAAGGTGTGTTTGAACTACAGGCAAAGCAGGACAAATACTGTGTTTTTAATTCTAATGCTGCTGCATGCATTCAAGTGGAAAACACAGCATTTGACTAGAATGTCTGTTGATATGGATCCTAAAAGGCTTGAATGTTGTGAACAAACCCTATACATCAGTTACGGATTTTGTGCATAATTTCTGCTGTGTAGTGTGAACATTGCAGGGAATATTTCTAAAAGAGTAAATTGGACACTTACCAAATGTTCACTGCAGAGTAATCCTTTTTTTTTTTTTCTCAATAGTTTTTATTGAAAAAATAGCGGTATTTATACAATCTCGTAAATACCGTATTTTTCGCTCCATAAGACGCACTTTTTTCCCCCCAAAAAAGGGGGGGAAATGTCAGTGTGTCTTATGGAGTGAATATGGAGCGGCCGGTCTGGTATTTCCACTGCCGCCGTGTCAGAATACCAGACCGGCCGCTCAGCTCTTCTCTGCAGCAGAACCTTACCTGTTCCTCGGTCCAGTGCTGCGCTGTCTTCCCACACCGGCTTCTTTAGTGTGGGCTCTCGGCTGTGACAGCCGGGTGCCCAGTGCTCATGCGCGAAAAGCGCTGCACTTTGTGAATGGTACGGCGTCTTCTGGGACACATGACAGGTCCCAGAAGACGCCGGACCAATCACAAAGCGCAGCGCTTCTCTCGCATGCGCACTGGGCACCCGGCTGTTAGTCGGGTTCCCACACTAAAGGGAGGACAACTCCGCGGAAGTGGGAGCGGGTACCTGTCAAATTCAGGTACCCACTCCCCCCTCCCTCCCCAAAGGTCAGCAGTCTCTTAGTCATCCCCTGTACTGTCTGCAGTCTCTGGTCATCCCCTGTACTGTCTGCAGTCTCTGATCATCCCCTGCACTGTTCACAGTCTCTGGTCATCTCCTGCACTGTCCACAGTCTCTGGTCATTTCCTGCACCATGTCCGCAGTCTCTGGTCATCTCCCCGTGTCCGCACTGTCACCTCCTGTACTGTGTCCGTAGTCTCTGGTCATCTCCTGTACTATGTCTGCAGTCTCTGGTCATCTCCTGTACTGTGTCCGCAGTCTCTGTTCTCCTGTACTGTGTCCGCAGTCTCCGTCATCTCCTGTACCTGCAGTCTCCGGTCATCTCCTGTACTGTGTCCGCAGTCTCTGGTCATCTCCTGTACTGTGTCTGCAGTCTCTGGTCATCTCCTGTACTGTGTCCGCAGTCTCCGGTCATCTCCTGTACTGTGTCCGCAGTCTCCGGGTCATCTCCTGTACTGTGTCTGCAGTCTCTGGTCATCCCCTGTACTGTGTCCGCAGTCTCCGTCATCTCCTGTACTGTGTCCGCAGTCTCTGGTCATCTCCTGTACTGTGTCCGCAGTCTCTTGTCATCTCCTGTACTGTCTGCAGTCTCTTGTCATCTCTGGTATCTCCTGTACTATGTCTGGTCATCTCTTGTACTGTGTCTGCAGTCTCTGGTCATCCCTGTACTATGTCTGCAGTCCATTGGTTCAGAATATTTTTTTTCTTGTTTTCCGCCTCTAAAACCTAGGTGTGTCTTATGGTCAGGTGTGTCTTATGGAGCAAAAAATACGGTATAGTGCAGCAGCAGCTATATATAAATTTCCAAAAAAAAAGTGCAGGTGAATCCTAATGGTAAATGAGTTTTAATAAACAGTGAATGATTCATCACTAGTGAATCTTTCATGAATCTCAAATTCACTGCTTTATAAATATGCCTCTAAGACATTATCTTTATGATTCAATTCTCTTATCAACATAGCTATGATGATCAGTACTAATAGAATATTGTGTGTGTGTTTTTATTATTTTTTATTTATTTTTGACAGTGGCTGTTACCTGCATTACTTGGTTTAGTGAAGACCGTCCCTTTGCTGTTGGTTTTGCTGATGGAAAGTTACTAATTGGACACAAAGAGCCAGAAGAGAAAGGAGGGATGGTTCTCATTGACGCACACAAGGTAAGATGTGCACTGTTGTCACTTGGTAGTATTAAACCCAAAAGCAAACATTGATTACATTGCAGCTTAGCAATTCTTGGATGTGATGGCTGCATTAGTTTTCATTTTTAGGCTTTCTTTCCCTTATTTTCACTTGGTGATCTTGCCAGTAAGTCTGTTGTATTTCAAAAGAACAAGCTCTCTTGCAGATGTAGCAGTTGGAGGGATAAGACAAACCATTTACCACTGACTGGTGTGCTTTTACAATGATCATCTTTTATTTATTTATGTAAATCCTTTATCCCAAAAGGAAAAAAAAAAGTTTCTGTAACCACTTATAAAGTGTGAGCTGGAGTTCTGCTTCAATTTGTTAGTGTGTCTAAATCTGCTAGTATGTCTACCCCCTCCCAGATTAGGAATTCTGCTGTCCAAAGGTGTGCCCTGTTCTCTTTTATCCAGAGTGGGGGCACTCTAATAATGTGTTACTGGCCAAATCACCAGGTGAATACAGGGGAAAAAGCCTAAAAATATATTATTGGTTTTTGGTGTAATACCCCTTTAAGGTGGCCTTACACTGTACGAATTTCTGAAATGTGCTCAGTGGTTGGCCCTGTCAGCCACTTTCTGTTCGACATCCCTCAACTGAAAAATTAAAGGAGCCAGGTGGAAAATTGTCGGCCAAAAGGTGACTTCATCCAATGAGATACAATTGCTGTTCAGGCATTGTAACAGCTGGCTACAGCAGGAGATTTCTCCATACAGCAATAGAGAAGCCTGCTAAAGTTTTTTGGGATTAACAAAAAAAGAACTATTTGAATATGGCCAGCCTAAGATTTATTTTTCTAATTAATCTGTCCTTTTTAGTTTACATGTAGAGGCTTTAATAATTACAAAGGTTTATATGTGCCATGACACCACCTATGCAATGAATTGAATTCTTGTTTTATAGGAGATGTTTGTAAGTGTAAAGTGGGATCCAGCAGGTGAACTGCTACTTACCTGTGCCAAAGAGGACGCTGTTAAGATATGGGGAAACACAGGTGGCAGCTGGAAAACCCTCTACAGCCTCCCACACCCATCATATGTCAACACAGTAGCCTGGTGTGCTTTGCCTGGGAAAGCTGACAGCCCACAGCTCATGCTTGGAACGTGAGTGTCTTTTGCAATGCTTATTCACTTTTACATGCATAACTAGTATTGATCCCATGAGCCTTTCGCTGACTCCATATTTAAATGGCTGACTCTTGCATTTGTCAGTGGTCTCTTTTTTTTTTTTTTTTTTTTTTTTTTTTAAGTGTATTCAAATTGTTTGCATGGTCTTACTGCTGGCCTTATGTAAGCTAAATATTACATAGAGCTGTCAGGGCTACTATAGGGTTTCCATAGAAACGAATGGAGCTAGTGATGTGCTTGTGTCAGTGCAGCTGGGAAGATTCTGATGACAGCTTCTTATAGGTATAGTATAAGCTATGCTCTGAGTTAAAGAGGGAGCGTAGAAATGGATAGGTGCACTTATTCTTCACTGGTGGAATCAATTTGCTTGTAAATTAAAAATGATATTTTTTTTCTTTTAATTTTAGCTGGA